ATAAAGGACTAAGAGATTATTAGCGAATATTTAATAATAGATAAAGTAGACTTTATAGCGATAATAGATAGATTAGATATTAATTAATAATATAGAAAATAATTAAAAGTAAAATCTACTTAATAAGATCTAAAGATTCTTATTAAGATCTCGCTAAGACCTCGATAAGACCTCGATAAGACCTCTTCTTAATAAGATCTCTTTTATATTTAAATTAATTATTCTTTATTAATTTATCTTTTTATTTTATTAGTCTTCTAATTAGTTATAATCTTCTTTCTCTTCTTATTTAATATTATTTAAATTAAAGTTATTATATATAATAGATCTACTATACTTTATCTTATCGTATTATTCTTTTAAATAAATCTCGCGTATAAAGATTTATTAATAAATTATTTAACGATATATTTCTAATATAATCTAATTATCTAATATATTATATATAGAAAGTATAATTATAAAGCTCTATTATCATTTTAATCTTTTTTATATAATCTTATATAAGAAGATTCTACTAAAAATTCTTAAAATAAAGAGAAATATTATTTAACTTTTAATCTTTTTTAATAAGAAATATATTAATTACTAATAGATTTAAAGTCTAATATCTTTTATTATTTTCTTAGAATTATAGCGTTAAGATAATTAAGTAATATTTAATTAAATCGTTTATAACGATAACGTAGATCTTTCTATATTTAAAGACGTCTTTTTCTATATTTTATATATTTATAAGAGACTTCGACGTCGTATAAGATATTCTTATTTATCGATATCGCCGTTATTAATATCTAACTTTATATTAAAAGAATAAATTATCTCCGCTTCGCTCTCCGCTCTACTCTTCGTAAGTTTAATTACTTATTTATTTATATATATCGTTATAGCGATACTCTACTTACTTACTTACTTACTTACTTACTTACTTATTTATTTATTTATACTTATCGCCGCGACGACTTATTACCGCGGCGACTCTTATAAGCCTAGTCGTTTAAAAAATAGAAGGAGATTATAATATCTAATCGAAGTAATAAACTAATTAATAAGACTATATATTTTTTTTAATACGCTATATCGTCGATTCGGCGAGTATTATAGCGATTACCTCGAGAATTAATATACTATAAAGAAATTTCTATATAGTACTACGCGTTTATTAAGATATACGATATTTTTAAATATTAGTATCGCTACTATAGCTAAGTTAGCTAAGTTTTTTAATAGAATAAAATTAAAAATCTACTTCTTAATTATTATATTATAGCTTCTAATTTAATAAGAGCCTATTTAACTATTTATTTAACTTTTTTCAAGAATTTCAAAAAAGGCTATATCACGTAGATGCGTATTTTTATTAAGAATTATATATACACAGGGTGTAAATATTACATATCGGGCAATACACCAAAAAAATAAGTCTTGATAGGGTTTTCTACTCAGACCCACCTTAAGGCCGATGGGGCCAAGCTGAGACTACGACGGTCGAGGGGGTACTCGATAGAGAAATTATTTAAGGTCTCTAATTAGTCAATTGAGTAGTAGAAAGGTCTAGAAAGTTACGTACACACATATATAGTTGTTATTATTGTTATTTCGTAGATTTTTAATATTTAATAGAAGAGTATACCGCTCTATCAGCTTCTTTCTCTATAAAATAAGATATATTTCAGTACTCGTGGTATCCAGAAGTGAGTTCCCACGCTAAAATTTAGCGCCTTAGCAGGGTCTCCCCGTAAATAGCTATATTTACTTTATTATTTACTCCACCATATTTAATTATATATATATATATTTAATAGTCTTATATAATATTAAGATTAATTTAGAGCTTAAAGTAGTTATAGCTATATATAGATTATTATATCGTAAAAGTTTTAAGATTATTAAGCGAAGAATAGAGATAAATAAGAGATTTACTATTATATTAATATAGAGAGTAATTAATAAAATCGATAATAAAGACTTTTATAATATTCTAATATATCTATAAAATATTAATTATTCTAGAGCTCTAATTCGAATAAAAAATTAATTAGACCTCTTAAAGATAATACGCTAAACTATTTTTAAGTACTTTTAAATTTCTTATTAAAAGGCTATATAGTAAGAGAATATTAATATTTTTAAAGTAAATAAAAAATAAAAGCGAGATAAGAATAAACTATAGTTATTAATCTTATAATCTATACTTATAAAAATAGCTCTTTAATATATATATTAAATTAAAAATAATTATATTATAAAGTATATTAAGCGAAGAATCGAGTAGAAGAAATTATAATTAAACTATTTCGAAGAATATTAATAAGATAATCTCTATATTTAGATTCTTAAAGAATTAAATAAAGAATCTATCTTTATTATAAGTAATAAATATTATTATAAAATTTATAATAATAATTATAAGAGACGACGAATTTTTATAGAGAAGAGAAAGAATATTAAAACTATAGCTATCGTCGATAACTTAATTTAATTTATATAAATATATTAAGCCTTCTATTCTATAAAGTTTAATATTAATTTATAATATTATTAACTAGTATAGACGATAGCTGAAAGACGTAAACTGGAGGCTAAAATTATTTTAAAAAATTACGAATAGAAGGAAGTAATAAAGAAAAAAAGATATTTTATAGAAATTCTCGAAACTCTTAAATATACTCTTATCGAGGTAAGTTTTAATACTATCTTTTATTAAGAAATTATTAATAAATATTAGAATAAGAATCGATATATTACTACTTATAATCGTTTTTTTAAGAAGAGTAGCGAAAGGAAATATAATAAGAGTATAAAAAAATTATATATTATAGTATAAGTCTTTAAGTATATATCTTCTTTAATATTTAAAGATTACGATATTAACGATAAATAATATAGAGATTATATTCTATTAGCTCGTTTATATAAATACGCTAAGAAAGTTATAGTTAGAAACTCTAATAAGAATATATAAATAATTAAGAATAAAACCCCCCCCCCTATTTAAAAAAACAAACTCCCAAAAAAAAAAAAAAAAAAAAATATAATAAAAAAAATAAATTAAAATTAAAAATAATAAAATTAATATAAAATAAATTAATAAAAAAAAAAAAAAAAAAAAAAAAAAAAAAAAAAAAAAAATAAAAAAAAAAAAAAAAAAAAAAAAAAAAAAAAAAAAAAAAAAAAAAAAAAAAAAATAAAAAAAAAAAAAAAAAAAAAAAAAAAAAAAAAAAAAAAAATAAAAAAAAAAAAAAAAAAAAAAATAAAAAAAAAAAAAAAAAAAAAAAAAAAAAAAAAAAAAAAAAAAAAAAAAAAAAAAAAAAAAAAAAAAACAATCAAAAAAATTTTTTTAAAAAAAAAAAATAAAAAAAAAAAAAAAATTTAAATTAAAAATAAATTAAAAAAAAAAAAATTTTAAAAAATTTTTTTAAAAATAATTATAAACTAGAAAGACCTTATCGTCTAGTAAAGTAACTTCGATAAGAGATGTTTAAGAGGTATCGATCTATCGAAGAGCGAATATAATATTATTATCTAATTTAAGATAATAATAACTAATTAGAAAGTTATTTAAAATCTCTAATTAGTTAATTAAATAATCTAAATATTTAAAAAATTACTTATATATAAATATAGTTATTATTATTATTATATTCTCGATATTTTAATATTTAATAGAAGAGTAAGCCTATTAAGTAGCCCCCTCTATAAAATAACTTTATAAAATAAGATATATTTTAATACGATTTTGCGGAGAACTGAGTAGTTTAATTAGTCACTCTCCCGGCGCTAAGTTAGCGTGGGAACTCACTTCTGGACACCACGAGTAGGATTTCCGGGAATTTTGGGAAATTTTTTTGGGGGTTTCCCCCGGCCTTTTTGGGGAAAAAAACACTTTTTGGGGGGGCAAAAAAAAAAAAAAAAAAAAAAAAATATAATTTTTTTTTGTTTTTTTTAAAATCCACCGGCACCAAGTGTTGACTCAAGTGCGATCGAATGGTCATCACTTGTGACTGTGACTTGGGAGTGACTTGCTCGCAGCTTTGCCGTCTGATCTAATATAATTGTATATTTTATCATGTGCGTTTTCAACTTCCCTGCTTCACTGCTTCTTAATACTATATCCAACTCCCAGAAAGAGGGTTTGCTAGAAAAGGATTGTGAGACTCAACGCTTCAACAACGGGTCTGATCAGCAGGGGGATCTGACACCCAACGGAACACATGATCAGCGTTGGAATCGTCGGCTGTGCTTGACTTGCAGATTTCAGGCCACCAGAAAGTAACCACAGGGAAGCACAAATGGCATGGATGTCACTGTAAAGCTTCTGAACTACAATGTTGAGGAAACAGGTAAAGCGAAATCATTCAACAGTGGGTTCACAACGACATGAACTCGTGGAAGTGGGAGATCCAATCAAACGAGGTATTTCCGAAGGTGGAGCATGTACGGAAGCTAAGAGTCGATGATAGGTATGGATTGAAAAGGCTTAGCTCACAGATATTCAGGATGTAGAAAAAAAGTGTCGAAACATGAAGGCTGGAATCCTGGCGGACAAACTTGGAACCTTCTATGCTCAGGCATAGGAGATGTCTGAAACGTCAGTGACCGGACGAGAGTAGCTCTCAGTAAGGCATTGTGATCCTGTCCAAGGCTTCATTATATACGTAGTCTATATCGACGTGACTGTGCGTACGCGGACGTAAACCGTGCAGCAGCATGGTAGCTCGATATGTTGATGGGAATTCCATCCTTAATGCAAGGCCTACTTGACCAGGGAAACACACGCAGGAACGTCCGCGAAAGGCGATGATAATCAGTAAGCATTGCTTCCGGATGTTCCAGAGGCCAATCGCTTTTGTGATGTACAGTCTATCCACGCTTGGTAAAGAAGCTGAAGTTCTTCTCTTTGTGGCAAGGTCATGAACCTCTCGCTTCTTTGTTCTCAGCCTAACGAACGTTGATCAGCAAGGGCTCTCAACCTCCTGAAAGAGGTATTATCGACCTTCTCAGCGCTGTGGTCTTTGCGGGTCCACTGTTCCTTTGCTCTTGGCTGTCTCGGGACCGCCTATGGCTCATTAGCATTCAAACAGCTAGCTATCCTACTGGGTTTTGCTTTAATACCTTCGCCTTTGGTGCTCTTTTCAGGGTCCTCGGCAATGTTGGTGGAGTGTTTGGTGTCGGTGTTTGAAAGTCCTTCCTGCTTTCCCGATTGTGTGCCCATGTCTCCAGCAGATTTGGATGTAGCAGCCTAATCTAATGTTAGCACAATGGCCATCCTGAAGGCGCCACATAAGGTGCAATTGATACCATGTCTTTGTCACTCGGGTCCTGTTCTGGCTCTTGAGCCTCGCCTTCTTTCCCACCATAGTGACTCTCGATTCTCTTCTTGTTGAACCCCTTCGCATCTGGAATATGCTTTCGTGTGTCGCCTTGCTCGTTTTCTCTGGTGCCACCGCTAGTAGCGCCCTTGAACTGTACACCTTCCACATCTTGACCTCCCTCCTTCTCGTGTATGGTGTTTTCTGAATCTTCATGATCTGAGGTATTGGGAGTATCCTTCTCTCCACCCTCACTATCAGAGTCGTCGGATTTGTCTTCATCGTTCTCGCCTTCTTTTGATTCTTGCTCGCCGCCTTCACTTTGATCCTCTCCAGACTCTCCACCTTCACTCGAAGAGCCTTCCTCACCGCCTTCGCCTTCTCCGCCGTGCTCATCGTGATCGTCATGTCCTCCGTGTCCGTGCTTTTCAGGATGTTGAAACCTCTCAATTTGAGGCTGCATCAGGTAATATACTGATGGTACGGTGACAACTATAGATGCGATGGCCCTGCACTTCGAGATCAGCCTTTTGCCCGTGGTTCGGATACATTGAGTAGTTCCAATGCCTCGGTAAGAAAAGGCTCGAGAATCGTAGCTGGCAAAAATGCTGATGCGGCATCAGAACGGGACATGGGCATACCAAGGTAGGTCTCCTGCCAGCATCGAAGATTGTTGACTAGAGTGACCTCCATCACTAGCATATGTACGTCGTTGAACCGGTCGCCATGTTCGAGAGGGTCTAGTAGCTCGTGCAGATTGGGCGAACAGTCTCGAAGTCCAACGAGAGGAAGCTCTGGCGATGACCATTCTGGCAAGTCGGGAACTGGTAGGCTGTGTTGAGGTAGGACAAGGAAAATGCGCAGGAAGAGACCTTTGTCTCGCTCACTAAGGGCCAATGGTCAATCGTAATCTGTAGAAATGATGAGGTTGGGAGCTTGAGAGCGTTGGCGGCCGATGCCGCTCCATCGGCCGGATAAACTCCGGGATTGACATTAGGACGTCTTGTCTTCCTTCCGTCTTTCTGCTTGATTTCGCAAATGTCCGAATATAAGTATCGTTGAGAGTGTTAAGACTTATCAACCACGTGTAAAAAGCTGCCGTCCTCTACGAATTGCACCTGTCCTGCATTTTAGCCTGCAGTTGCCTGGAGTCTCGAACCTTCTCGAGCAAAGCTCATTTCCGTTCTTTCATATCTCTACAGATACCTAAAGACTCGTATCATTCTCTCATGTCCTGACGAAGCATACGATTTCATGATGGCGCCCTCCGTACCTCAGAATCCCACACCCGCCCAAGCTTTGGCGTTACTGCCAAAGCTCAGTGATGCAGACGCTGATCTTCGTTATATGTCATTGAATGATCTCTACAACACACTGAATGCAGGAGCATCTACTTTCCTTACCAACGACTATCATACAAGTGCCAAGATCATCGATGGTGTGCTCCAGACTCTGGATGACCAGAACGGTGAGGTTCAAAATCAAGCCATCAAATGGTAAGATGTTTCTTGTTCACTTCGAACCTCGCTATTGACAACAGGATACAGTGTCAGTGCCCTCGTCCTCAAACTACCTCCAGATATTCTTGCACCATTTGTTCACAGAGTCTCGAATATCAAAACCACGCATTCGGTAGACACCTCGATACCTGCAACGGCTTTGAGAACTTTCATAACCGCATTCCCACGACCGTTGCCCGGTCTGCCTCCTTCTGGAAAATCTCAAGATGCATACTCTGCCATCAGTAGAGTCTTGATACCACGTTTGCTAGGCTACATAGTGATCCCACATGGCCTGGAGAATCTTCCTAGCCCGCCACCGGGAATGCTGGAAATCGGCTCAGAGAAAGGCGCGAACAGCGATGCTGTTGATGTTCTCATCGAGGTGGTAAGATGCTTCGGACCCATGCTTCAAGACCCGGAAAAACAAGCTTTCCAGAAGGCCATCATGAGCATCCTGGCTGACGAACGCACTGGTTCTGTCATAAAGAAAAAGGCGGTGGTTGCCATCTCAATACTTGCGGTCTACATGTCCGACCGCCTGCTCAGTACTTTCGTATCCAGCACAATCGAGAGTTTTCGAAGCAGTCATCTGACGTTGCCGAAAAGACGACTACTTATTACAATGGTTGGCTCGCTCTCAAGGTCGATACCACAGAGACTAGGCCCATACCTGAAAACATTGGCTCCGTTTGTACTTAGTGCACTCAGCGAAGAAGAGTACGAAGACTCCATGGAAGAGCTTGCTGAAGATGGTGCGCCCAATCTGGAGATTGAAGAGGTTCGAGAAGCAGGGCTAGTAGCGTTGGAGGGGTTTCTCTCATCTTGCAGTAACGATATGCGCGTGTTCACAGACGAGTCAATTGAAGCCGCATTGCGATATGTCGTTTATGATCCTAACACTGCGACTGACGAAGATGACGAAGACATGGGCGGCACGCAGGACGAGGAGAACGATGATGCTGAGACGAATGGCTTCGACGATGCTGAGGAAGACTTTGAGGAGGATGGAGCTATGAGTGATGATGACGATGCCAGCTGGAAGGTTCGTCGATGTGCTGCAAAGGCCCTCTACGCCATCATCTCGACCCGAAGCAATGGCGATCTCTTGGACAACGGCATCTTGTATAACAAAATTGCTCCAGTCTTGATCGGCCGTTTCAAGGAGAGGGAAGAAAATGTCAGACTCGAAATTCTTGCTACTTTGGCATCCTTGATCCGGAAGACTGGTGAAGGCGTCTCGCTGTTGAGCCCAAGCGTCGATGAGGACATTGATTTCACAGCGGAGTATGCTTCCCGCTCACGCAAGCGGCGAAGAGTAAATAGTGATGCTGGCACATTTGACGCGCCAGGCGTCTTTTCTTCGTCCATGGGTCTAAGCTCTCCCGCACCGTCACCTTCTCCAGTTTCTGGGCCCAAGGCGGATCTCGCTCGACTAAGCCCGGCAATTGTTCGAGGCGTATCTAAATTGTTGAAGCAGAACTCGATTCCGACAAAACAGGCGTCAGTCACTCTTCTTCGTGACCTAGTTCTGGTGCAAAACGGTGGGCTTTCAGACAGTCTGGGCAAAGTTGTAGAGCCTCTACTTGATGCAGTCAAATCCTCGGGAGCCACTGCAACCGGTTCAGCATCAGCATCAACATCCGTAGGTGGAGCGGCCGCAGCGAGCGGCAGTAAGATGCGAATCGAGGCTCTGCAACTCATTAGTGCGATCTGCGACACACATTCTTCCAAAGTTGTGGCACCTTACATTGGGTCCATCGTACCCACTATTGTTACGGCTATCAAAGATAAGTATTACAAAGTCTCGAGCGAGGCTCTTCTTGCGATTGAGAGCTTGATCAAGATACTCACCCCACCCCGATCGGCTGGCTCAGAGCAACAACGAAAGTTGCATGTTGGCAGTATCTATGACGCCATATCTACGCGCGCCGTGGCCACTGATGCCGACCTAGAAGTACGACAACGAGCCATACATGCTCTTGGTGTTCTTCTTGCACGTACCTCGGGATCAGGCAATGTAAAGCTCCTCATGACCACCAATAAATCCAAGGCTCTTGCTATTCTCCAAGATCGACTCAAGAACGAGACAACACGTCTCTCTGGCGTCAAAGCTGTCGATCTAGTGGTGGCATCCGCAGTTGACCAGAGCGACGTTCAACCTGCTTGGGCACGAGGCGTGGCGCTCGAGTTGGGCGCTCAATTACGCAAAGCCGACAGAAGTCTCCGTGGAGCAAGTCTTGCAGCATTAAGGAACTTCGTATCTAACTCAGTCGCTCTCGCAGGTCTTGATGACGACACTATCTACAACTTAGCCGGAATGCTTCTACCGCTGATCAATTCAAACGATCTCAACCTTCTTGGTCCGGCCATGTCAATTCTGGGGAAGCTCGTCAAGCGGTGTCCGAAAAAGGTTGTCGACACCAATCTAAATAACGCGTTGTGTGGCGTTGTCCTTTCCCCACTGGGTGGGGCCGTCTTCGACTCTTATCTGGGCCTGGTCAAGATCATTGGAGATCAGGCTGTAGGGCAGCCATTGATGCAGGGTTTACTGCAGAACGTGGGCGTATCTGGTGATCCTGCTGTCGTAGGTAAAGCAATTGGCACCCTTTTGGTGTCTGGAGGCTCGACAGTGGGCGTAAAGATCAATGACTTCGCCACCGAATTAAGGTCTTCGAAAGACGGCAAACGCAAATGTCTCGCTCTGTCGGTACTTGGAGAAGCAGGCTTACGTCTAGGATCATCCTCACCCCTGGAACCAAACGTATTCATGGATCACTTTAACTCCAAGTCTGAGAACGTACCTCGCGCTGCAGCCATAGCGCTTGGTAGAGCAGGAGCAGGCAATATTAACATCTATTTGCCAATTATCCTGTCAAACTCAGGTAAAACAGGCAACCTACAGTATTTATCACTTCACTCTATTAAAGAGATCTTACAACATGCCGGTAAAGCCCATTCAGACATTTCGCCATTCACCAAGGAGATCTGGAACCAGCTTTTGGTATCATCGCAGGCGGAGGACAACAAAGCCATAGGGGCCGAGTGCATTGGAAGATTAACTATCATCGAGCCTAAGACGTTCCTCCCCCTGCTCCAGGTAAGTTACTCGCCGATGGTATTGTTACAACGCTGACCGTGACCCCAGAGCTATCTCCAAGACCCAACGCCGACGGTCAGAGGCATGGTCATCCAAGCAATCCGCTTTACGTTTGCGGACAGCGATGACGCCTTTGATGAGGTCCTCAAGCCCATCCTTATCGAGATGCTAACCACGATGCTCAATGATCCAAGTCTAGAAAACCGACGACTTGCTCTCAGCACTTTGAACTCCGCCACGGCCAATAAATCAGACATCGTTCTGCCTCAGCTGGCACAGCTGATTCCCCTAGTGATGAAGGAGTCACGTATTAATCCAGATCTCATACGCGAGGTTCAGATGGGCCCATTCAAGCACAAGGTTGATGATGGGCTTGAACTACGTAAGGTGAGGGGACCCTGTTGCACAATATGCACGCTCGAGCTGACGTCTTTTAATAGAGCGCGTATGAGACCTTGTATTCGCTAATGGAGAATGCATACACACGCATCAACCCACTCGACCTCTTCGATCGCGTCATTGCAGGAATCGAGGATGAGCATGAGATCAAGGTTCTTTGCAATCTCATGTTGAGGAAGCTCATTGTCCTTGACCCCGAAGAGATGGTGCGACGTTTAGATGCCATCGCCGAACGCTTCCGAGCAATTCTGGCGTTCAAGCCTAAGGAGAACTCGGTCAAACAAGAGATGGAGAAGGCAGCGGAAGCCAGCAAAGGTGTGCTCAAGGTCACAGTATTACTTCACAATGCGTTTCCAGCGGCTTCGGCTATCGCGGGGAACGTGCAAGGGCAGGCATGGAAAGGCTACTGGGAGTGGGTCGGAAAAGAGTTCAAGCCACAGTTTACGGCTGTGGAGAACGAGGTCAAAAGTCAGGCTGCATAGGGAAGCCATGGGGATTGCGAGCATTGTTCACAACCATCTGCCCTTGCGAAAGAGTATGAAAGCGACTTCTGATAAGAGATCGGATGGAGGACCAAGATCAAGAGCGTTAGCGACAGGTAATACGGACAACCGGCCTGGTATCATCATCGCTACAAGCGGATGGACAGTGATCGTGTTGCAGGTGTTGTATCTTTAGACAGACCGAACATGCACTGAAGAGTGTGCGGTGCGCTTCGAATAGCATCGACACCTCAAAGCCATGCTCATAATCATAGTACGACTTGAATGTTGTTGAAACAATTTTCGATGTGTCGTATGCTCAGTCTTATGATTTTCCATGTACTGGAGATCCTGCAAGCTGTCTGCACATGCACATGCACATGTCAGGAGGCTCTCTACCGCGCATCCCTGATCCCTCACTGCTTTGACACAATCCTCCCCTTTCGTCTGTGAGTTATAGAATCACCAACACTCATAATCATTTTGACTTCCAATTTTCCCCAGATTCTGTCACAGAAAGACGGTCCACCATCATTAAAACACGTGACTTTACTGGACCCCTTTCGGACTTTCTGTACGGCCGATAAGCCCTCCCCACATTCTCTACGCCGTTCAGCTGTTCATCAGAGTACGTGCAAACAGGTTTCTGCTCAATTGTATCTTTTTTTCTTTCGTTGCCTTTGCAGAGCTTGTGTCGTTTCTAACGAACCTGTCAACTGTTCAAGTGGGACTGAACAGAAAGGAAGGACGGCCACTGCCTGGAGAACGCCAAGACTGTGTGTTCCCCACACCCTCTCATGCTGTAGCCCTTACGAGCTTTCACTCTGTTTCTTTACTTTACTACTTACCAGCCTCGCATGACAGCATCCTGATCGATACCAGTCACTTCCGTGGACCACCTCGCTGACACTGCAATTTCTCAAACATCCAGACCCCTCAGTCCCTCATTGACACATCTGCCCCTCACTGTCAACCTCCACGTTCCTTACCATCACCCCACAGTCGAGACTTCACCAACCAACCTCGCGCAACTTCTGAACAGACTCGAAATACATAGTTGACAGCGCTGAGAATTGCGTCTCACCGTCGTTCTACACGATATCTCCAACTGTCTCCTCCTAGAACCTAAATCAGCAAATCCATCATCCTGGCAGGGAACAAGAGAAGGAGCCTCTCCACTCAGGGAGGCGGCCTCTTGAACAGAATGTTTGGCAGCTCAAGCAGCCCGACCAAAGAGCACCATGAGAGCCCGATCGCGTCACATCCTGCCGCGAAGCCTACTTCTGGTCCTGGGAGTATACCTGGCGGTCTCAACTTGAACGCGGTCAATGAAGATGATGTCGATGATGACAGCCGAAATAGCTTGAGCTCGCCAACGGGGAGGAAGTCGCAGGATGAAACTGGTCACAACGGCGAGAAGAAGCGAAGGAGTAGCGGGATGGCGAAGGCTGGTGCGTTGTTTTCGAGTGCCAAAAATTCATTCCACATACACAATTCGCCAAATTCGACCCCTGAAGATAGTCAATTGGTGCCTCAACCGACGGCCATGCAAAAGCTTGGGAAGACAGATCCGGCGTTGAGTGTACCTCAAGGTTCACTCAACAACTCCGCTGGAGAGTCACGCCCCGGACCTAGGTCTACATTCCGCGTTGGAGTTACAGAAGACAAGAACAAGAAATGCAGACGAACTATGGAGGACACCCATGCCTATCTCTACAATTTCTTGAGCACGCCCGCTCCAAATATTGGATCAGACTCGGAATCGATGTCCAGTAGTATGAAGAGCCACTTATCAAAAGATACTCAAAAGTCTAGCAGTAGCTTGTCTACTAGTCCCCCACCGGGCTCGCATGTTGTCGAGACTGACAACGGTTACTTTGCCATCTTTGACGGTCACGCCGGTACCTTCGCGGCAGACTGGTGCGGAAAGAAGCTACATGTTTTGTTAGAAGATATGATACGGAAGAACCCCAATACCCCCGTTCCGGAACTGCTGGATCAGACATTCACCAATGTTGATCAGCAGCTAGACAAGCTGCCTCTTAAGAACAGCGGATGCACGGCTATATGTGCTGTTCTTAGATGGGAGGACAGAATACCAAACTCGAACTCGGCTACAGGCTCTACTGCAATAGCACCCGCAGCTGCTGCTGCTGTGAAAGCTGCCTCAGAAGCGCCGACATCAGACAGCAAGTCCGATGTCTCGCAAAATCCAACTCCACAGAGCAAGGCTATGTTGCCAGGCTTTGCATCGACTACACCCATGCCGAAACTTCAAAACTCTGCGTCTCGTCAGCGTGTGCTATACACTGCAAATGTTGGTGACGCACGCATTGTGCTCTGCCGCAATGGAAAAGCACTACGGTTATCGTATGATCACAAAGGCAGCGACGAGAACGAAGGCAAGCGGATTTCGAATGCCGGAGGCTTGATCCTCAACAACCGTGTCAATGGCGTATTGGCTGTTACTCGAGCGCTAGGTGATGCCTACATGAAAGATCTAGTCACAGGCCACCCATACACTACGGAAACAGTTATACAACCAGACATTGACGAATTCTTGATATTAGCCTGTGACGGGGTAAGTTCGCGTTCTCATGAAATTCTTCGACCATTTGCTGACAGGGTCTTCAGTTGTGGGACGTTTGCACTGACCAAGAAGCCGTCGATCTAATCCGCCACACTCATGACCCCCAGCACGCTTCGAGACTACTCGTCGACCACGCTCTTGCCCGCTTCTCCACCGACAACCTTTCCTGCATGGTCGTCCGCTTCGACAACAGCAAACTGCAGCAAACCGTTGAACGAAAGACAGAACCCATCGGTGTCGAAGGCGATCCGCCATCTATTAAAGCAGGCGGCATCAGCGAGGCAGATGCTATTGTGGGAGAGGCAAGGAAGAGTATGGGCGATGCCGGGCACGTACTGCATAGCGACGTCCGCTCTGAAGATGGTTTGGAAGAGGAAAAGGCAAGGGTTAGTCAAGAAATCATTCGCGAGGAAGAGGAGAAGGAAGTAGGGCCTGAGGTCGATCCCGAGGGTCTGAAGAACGTGCAAGCTCGATGATCATGACTGACGACGGCGGCACTTTTTATCAAGCATGTTGTTTTCAAGCAAAAGAAAGGGCGTGTGTACTGACTGGTTGGCTCCTCTTTATCATGTGGCTTTGGTCCAGCAAGTCTGGCAATGGCTGGCACAAGCTTGCCTTGAACAATGGAGTCAGGAGGGGAGTCCGCGCGATCTACTTATGACAGGGATCATTTTCGCTATGTACAGTACTTGTAGATCCTCGGACACAAATTGCAAAGGCCATGACCAAAGGGAAAAGACGCGATTTCCCAAAGAGTGATACAACCTTCTTTAGACTCCTCAATTCACCACTGGATAACCTATATCAGACCTTATAACACTACTCATAAGGCAATATAATCATCCAATATGGCACCCACAATAGCATTGACAGACCTTCGTAATCTCCCTGCAATTAGCCACAGCAAATACAAGCTGACTAGCTACAGCCTCCGATATTCTCTACAGCATCTTCCCCTACCTCAGCGCCACCGACTTCCTAAGATTCACAACCGTCACTGTAGAACGCCTGCTCTTCTCCCAATTACTGCACCTTGCTGACACCAACACCCAGAAAGCCCTCCACACCTACCACCAAGACCCTACCTTCTGGCACGCTCTCACCCGTGCGACCTTCCGCATACCAGACCAGCCCCTCCTCCAGGGTGCGCGCTGGCAATGGCTTTACAAGAAGTTGCTTACGCAGACGCGGCTCTACACATGGGGCGACAACAAGAGCGGAAATCTGGGACATGACAACACGGGACCGCAATCTCAGAGATTAAGTCCTCGTGCTGCGGTCCATGGGCGTGCGTGGAGGACCGAGGCTGGGAGTGCGGGATGGCCGAAGCAGCCTGTGATTAGTGGAGACGTGGGGATTGTGGCTGATGTGCAGTGTGGGTAGGTGAGACGCGAAGGTTCTGTTCAGGAAAGACGCTGATGTTGGTTACTCAAGAGGTTGGTCGACTACGATTCTCAATTCAATAGGGGCAATCTACATATATGGCATCTTCGACGGACTCAGGTCGGGCGGGGGGGCAAATTTGAGGAGACTGAGCTTTCCACATGCATATCCGACTACGTCGAAGACAAGATCTGAGCCGAGTACCGCCATTCAACAGTATTCGACAGGTCGTTCAAGCGTGCTGGGACTCTCGGATGATGGGAAGGTCTGGATGTGGGAGTCTGTTATGGGCTTCCAGATCAAGCTGGCTCATGTTGATATGGTGGGTAACAAGGTCGACAGAGTGATTGCAGGTAAATTGCCCTTCTCTAAGGCGTCAGAGATAACGGACGTCCTGACCATCCGGACGTAGGCTGGGACCGCAATTCAATGTACGTGATAGACGTTGGTATCGTTTACTGGGCCTCTGTCCAAGACAGCGACGTCGTCCGAGGCGGCCGTCAAGAAACGCTCGCAGTGGCAGACACGATGCTCGTCGACTCTGTCACTATCCCCGGAACCAGCTACCGCCGAAAACGATACAACGGGCGTACTACAGACGACGGCCTCGAGTCCCGCATCGGCCAAGTAACTCATCATATCGTGCTTGAAAACTGGATCGTTTTCACAACCGACCTCAACAGAGTATTTTGCTATCCGACCATCTTCCCCATGCGGGCCTTCAACATCCCGGAACCAATTGAACTCACTACTTTCCCCACCGCCTGCCCATCGGAGACATTCCGGATCCGCGACCTCCAAGGCTCCTTCATCCGCTTCGCAGTCTTCACAACTTCAGGCGCCATCTTGACAGCGGACAAAGACCTCCTCAACGCCTTCCACCATGCCTCAACCTCCCACCCCGTTCACCCTTTACCATCCCCCGTCCTTCTCCACTCTCCCCCATCGAACCCTATAATTTCCCTCGCTTACGGCGACCACCACTACCACGCACTCCATTCCACTGGAACAATAACATCCTACGGTCTCGAGCCCCAACGATGCGGTGCCCTCGGTCTCGGCAACCGTTTGATCTCCCATCTCCGCGGCGTAGCCCTCGAAGGCGGCGCTTTCGGTGGTGGTCGCATACCCCCAGCTCTGAATCCGACAGTCTGGTTTGAACCCCTTATGCAAACCTGGTTGCAGGATATGGATTGGGCGTCCGGCCAGCCTGAAGCGAGGGAGAGAGGGAGAATGGTGCTGAGTGGGCATGTGGGTGCTTGTGAGGCTACAGGTCGCTACTTTGAGCGCAAAGGAGCCTGTTGGGAGGATGGTATCACTAGAGAGGACGAAATGGGAGCGTATTTCGTCCTCAAAGTCGCCTCGGCGGGTTGGCACTCCGCGGCCCTCGTCTTAGTCGACGACTATAAAGCCGAAGCTGCAAAAAAGTCGCATCTCGCTCGACCACCATCGCCTGCCCCCTCGCGCGCTGCCTCGATCCAGAGCGTCGACACGCAAGGATTTGCGTATGAAGTCATTGATTCACCCGGCGAGCAGTTGATTATTGGGATTCGATCCGTCGGGCATTGGTTTTGGGATGTGGGGCGCTGGTTCCTGGGCCTGACTGCAAGAGATGAGGCAAGGGAACGGCAGGCGGGTCGGACGGAGAGGGAGGGGAGGAGTCCGGGGGAGAGGGAACGGGAAGCACAAGGGATTGTGTATGAGTGGAGTAAAGAGCATTTCCCGAGGTTGAGGATGGAGGGTGGGGAGGCGATGCCGGGGGAGGTTGAGGTTATGGAATGACCTTATGCGCAACATCCATGCATACTTCCTTTCATTAAGAGTTAGAAAATAAAGCGACATTCAATGAACCCATAAAAGAGTATTCTTGGTAGCCATTGTTGGATAAAAATGACAAGACTCGATCCTGCTCTTGGTTCAAGTCTGCAGCCTCTCTCATGAAGGCATCATCATGGTATCATCACGTCTCCGCCCATCTAGAGCCCGTCTCGCTCTCCGGCTTTTAGCCATCAATACCATGCCCACTCATGTCGACATTGACGTCGATAATACCCTCTCAACCAACATCCATCTCACTCTCCGCCGCACCAGTCGCATCCCCCCTCTTCTCCCTCACATAAAAGACAAACTCATCCAACACCCCCGGCCACGCCCCGTCCTCGCTCCACCAACTCATACTCTCATCCTCCAGGCTCTTCATGGCGAAGACGCCCGTCTGATCCCACATATCTTTACTAACACTCTTCTTCCACTGCGCCTCTAGATACTCCAGCCACAGCGTGAGCCATGGCGTACTGGCTGTGTTCCACGATAAGGAAGGAGCTGTCAAGAGGAGACGCCAGTATTCGAGGGCCGTTTCGAGGGGTACGATTTTTTGGCCCGGTAGGCGAGCGATGAGGAACGTTTGTTTATAGATGCGTTTGAAGAAGTCGGGTGTCGTTGCAAGGGAGCGGCGGAAGGAGGCTATTTGGCCTTGTTGCTTGGGAAGGGTTTCGGCGCTACAAATTTAGGGACATGGTTAGTCGGTGCGTGAGCCTGGCGCGATTCGTGCTTTGTGTAAAGTACACACCGATGACTTTGCCAGCCATTGACGAACCCTTCACGAGTGAACTCGCCCATCGTAGGTGCGCCGAGCTCTGTAAGAACTGCAAGGACTACAACTTCATCCAGCTTGACGCCCAAGTCCGTCAGATATCGCATCGAGCCTTCGATCCCAATCTTGTCTGGTTCCTCCGCCGCATTGTCTGGCAGACGACGGTATCAGCATGGTCACACAAGCAGAGGAAAATAGATATCGGACATACCTCGATACTTGTCAAATATTTTGTTCAGAGCTGGGGTGTTTGCAGTGCCTGACGAGCCTGACAATCCGTTTGAACTCTGGAAGAAACTGTGGTTAGACAAATTTGTATTAGCAAAATCATTCTCTTTCTTGATGCGAGTTCTAACAGCACGCCGCTCTTCCAGGAAAAAAGCGAGAGTTTTGCCATGACTAAATGCCTCTTCCTTTGCGTATTCCAAGGCCTTCTTAGGAGTCATGTTCATCCATTCCTTTCCGGCTTTTTCTGGACGTCCTGGTTGAGCTGGCCATAGTGGGAGAGAGTCAAAACTCGGACTTTTCAAACAAGATTGCGCAGTCGCATTCGTATTCTTGGACAAATCCTTTGATGCAAGTCTCGGTGTTGCTGGTGGTGTACTTTCGGGCAACTCCATTAATGGTGGCCTAGGCGATGGCGATGGAATACTGGTAGGCAATTGCTTTGCTTCTGGTCTGGGTGATGGTGGCGAAACATCTCTCTGCAAACCCCTTACTCCGGGCCTGGGTGAGGGTAGTGATCGCGTTTCAGCCTCGCCATTGCCCGTATCGCGTAAATCCGAATATGGCTGTCTCGTGAGAGAAGCTCCAAAAGTGTCATAGTCTGTGCCATCTTCCGCCTCAATAGGGCTGTCGCTCACCTGTTCGCTGAGATCTGCTGTTGACGAGGGCGGACCTCCTGCTGGCGAATCTGAAGGAATGTCTGCTGGTGACGGATGGCCTCCTGCTGTTGCAAATTCGCCTCCTGCTGACGAACTTGAATGAGTTTCTGCTCTTGACGGATCGCCTGCTGCTGAGGAGCCTGGGAATGCGCCTGCTTGGAAGCGCGACGGCTGGGCGGCATCTTCAATAACGCTAGAATCAGGTGCAGGTGTGGGTATATAAGGCGAAACGCCTTTGCCGAGTGGTGTATCGATTGCTTGAAAGAAAGACCTGTTGGCAACGTTCGATTGGATTTCTGGAGATGCTGCTCCGCTGGCGACTGGCTTTGAAGGCGGAGCAAGGACGTATTCGTGGCCAGAGCTGCTGTTGAGCAAACTTGATTCTAAATCTGGGCCCTCTCCTAGTTCGTCTTGACAATCGTCAGCGCTTGTGATGGAAGTATTTCCCTCTGTTGCTTCACGATGAAGCCTTTGGGAATAATCGACCAGTGTCCGCGAAGACTGGATCAATACGTGTAAGATGCGGATAGCTTCTTGATCGTCTTCTCCGTCGGTGTTCAAGTCTTCGCCAGCACCGATGCCTTGCTGAATATGATCCAGTATCGCTTTCGTATCTACAATTATCGTATTGGCCGGGTGGAGTCGCTCCAATTGCTTGATCGAAGCCAACACATTATCGTTGTCTAGCATCCGAGCTAGATAAGCAAGCAGTGTGACTGATTGCTTCGTTGGTTGCGGTCGCGTCCTATCAGCCAACTTGGCCTTGAGGGCATCAACCGATTGGTTGGCACTGGGGGGCGCAGTTGGAACGGCTTCGTCCAGCTGGGGAAATTGACCGCATTTGCACAGTTGTTGCAGGCATTTAGGGCACTCAGGCTCAGCTCTTGAACGTGGAGATGATCCATATACGCATTCACAGGGCAAACGTAAGCATCTCATACACATATCTTCCGAACGAATTGCATCGCGGTCAAAATGGCTTAGCACAAAGGTTTCCTGGTCTTCCCCTTCCCTCGCAAAAAGATCAGAATGATCGCCATGCTTTGGAGATTTAAGAGGAGTGTCTCCATGGAGTGCCATTGAAGCTTTGCGTTTGGATTTTGGAAAGGTAACAATAGTCTTCGCATAGCTTGCCCTCCTTCTTTTGGTTCTTCGAGGTGAGATTGAGCGGACTTGTTCATCAATGGTATCTTGTGGCAGCTTCATCTTGTAAGCAAGCTTACGGGCCTCCTTTGTTGGCATAAGCAGGCCCCAGATCCCAGTAGTCATACCGTTGTCTGGCGACGAGGGTCTTCTACGGCCGACGTTCGCTCTATGACGAGGTGGTTCGCGATCAGATTCTACATCTGCTTCGCTAGCAGATTGTTCAGTGGCGGGCGCAAGAGACGCAGGCTTTGGCCTTGGAGTGCCTGGAGGCTGCACACTGCTTTCTGCCTCGTTTGCATAGCTATACACGTTCGGACGCTCGCCTGGAGGAACTGCTGGTGGGCTCTTAGACGCTTGGTCAATGCTCATGGCCTCCGACTGTTCTGACTCATTCTCCTTGAAATCTCCTCGGTAGTCCATGTCTTCCGTCGTAGGCCCACCGGGTGACTTGCTCCCATCCACGGGTAACGCCGCTGCAGCAGCGTGATCTCTCTCTTCATTTGCATGCGGATCTGGGGCCACGATCGCACGAAGAGGGTTTTCCCGATCTTCATGCGACCTTTCATTCTCTTCTTCCGAGGACGATGAAGAGGACGACGAGATGACGAGAGGCTCGGAAGACAAAGATGAATTATCATTGAAGCAAGCATCCTCCCACATGAGTATCGCAGCCGTTTGCTCATCTTTGTCAAGGTCAGTAAGGATATCACTGATGACATTAACCTCAAGCGGGAGACCCTCCAGACAATGCTGAATCATAGGAATAACCTCGTGTTCCTGGAATGCGCCACTACGATATAGCCCAATGTAATTGACTAGCTCCTTTACGATTCTACCTTCTTTTTCGTCCAGATCCAGGACAGGAAAGTTCTCGATTTCTTCCCTGAACATTTCTACACCGCTGGAAAAACGGCAATGGGCGGAGACTCGACGAGCGCTTCGTTCCTTGGTTGGGATGTGATCCGTTGGCATGCCAAATTGCTGGAGACAAATGAGCAATGTTTCATCGCTCATGTCGGCATTGTTGAAGGTATCACGATAGTGCCAGGCTGCCGTCTCGAGCGGGACGCTACCATTCTGCACATGCTCATACACGGTCAAGAGCTGTCTTCGCGTCAATTGTTGCACGTCTTCGTCATCGTGCTGAACCATCCTACTGGCTTCTTCTCTGACTCTGTCCATGTTTTCTGCCGCGCCTCTGGGTAAAACACGTCTATATCTGCTGCTGACGTGTACCTTCTTCTCTTGATCAACATCAATGCCGAACATCAACTCCCTCGATCGTCCAATGGGGCGAGTATGTGGCTGTCGAACATCTCCCATGGGTGTCTCGAGCTGCAGGTTCATGGCTTGCAAGGTGGCTTGGAAGCTCCTCTCGTCCATGATGGGTCGGCGTAGAGCAAATCGAAAAAAGACAGGGAGGTCTTTCCTTTTTATCCAGCTACGCGGGCGATTGGCCTGGAATATCCAAGAGTTGAAAAGCCTCTTTCTTGATTCCCAAAACGATGATTCTCCGAATGACACTTCACATTCGGAAATTGACCCTTGAGAATTCTGCAACGGATGTCTTGTATCCGTGCGTTCCAGATCCTCTCTTATGGCCTCCTCACCGTCAGGATCGTCGCCGAAACCGCCCATATCCTCGAGTTGCTCCATAAGAGACTTTTTCTTCCTCCTTCCCCCTCCCGTTCTCCTCTCCTCTTCCTGGATGATCTTCCATTGCTCCTCCGCGGTCAACATCCTCGTTTTCCTGGAGGGGATCCACGGCCTCGATACAAGAGGGGACCAGGTGTTGCGAGCTATGTCCGAGGTTCCAAGGCGTAACCGTCGAAGATGTCCCTCCAGTCACGAGCCTGAAAATAATGCAACGGAATGCTAGAAGAAATTGATATACGTACGCGTCAATTGCTTGCTCCACGTTCCATCCATGAGATTTGAGATGCTGCGTGAGGTAAAGAAGTCAGTCAATCGCTCTTGCAAGAGTCAGGTAGTTGCTGAAATACTATGGAGCAAGCAGGTGCCACCAACACCACACTCGCAGTCAAAATGAGGCCTCAAGAGATAGTACTGAGACTTGACTTTACCTTAGCAGCAACGCTGTCTTTGGTTGACGTGAAGCCCACGAACTGGGAGATCTGCGCCTTCTGTTGAGGCGTGTACGAGGAGGGCATCTTGAAGCGATCCAGGTTGTGATAATTTCAGACCGATGTGAAGTACTATAGAGATCAAGTTGTGCTAGCAGATCATGTTGTCTGAGTGTTGCCGAAGTGAGACCCCGGTTCTCACTTCAGGTGAATGACGATGCTTGTAGGGCTGAGTCTGAGGGTTACGAAACTGCCCATATGTTAACATCCATCTACCAGGTCCCGTCCGAATTAGACAATAGGGCCCAGATTATGGATGTTAGCAATCAAGATTACGGTTTCTTTCTCTCATGTTGCCCACCGGACAGCAATGCTTGTGTACATTGAGGATATCTAAGCGGCCAACATAGGCCTGTATCTGTACATTGAGGACACAAGGAGATTCCTGTCACCCATGCACATCTATTCTCCCAAAGGCATATTGTCGACCTCCTCGCTCAATGCTCGCCAATTATCAGCTTGAAGCTCAGCATACTTTACACGCTCTTGACTCCAATCCTGATGCAACCTGCTGACCTGGTATTGAGACTGTTGGAAAAAGACGAGCTCATCCCGGATGCACTCTTTGATGAACACTCCTCGGGCATGCTGATCGACAATTGATTGCTTGTCCTATTCAGTGTCAGCAATAACTCACACCAATATGTAGAAAGCACTTACAGCTCTCACAGCTTGCTCAAGCTTTTCTTGTTCTCCTGGTTTGGCCGGGGCCCCTTCCGCCCTGCCCATGAGACCAGCGAGCTTGTTCTCATTGCTCTCAATCCTTCGCTCTAGATAGGGGATGTTGTCTTTCGCATATCGATCGCGCCGGTCAAACATGTCTCGAATACTGACAAGAGTATCTCGTTGCTTTTTGAAGTCCTCCAGAACACCCTCGTCCCAAGCGCGAGCTTCGTCTTCTAGTAAGCTCTGACTGGTCGTTAGATGCTTCGCGGTCGAGCTTATGCCCTCATTTAACAGTGGGACGTCATTCGTATCAGTCGCGTATGTACTCTGTGAGGTCTCGGTTACAGCCATCAATGCCTGCGAGAACCGAAGGTAATCTGCTGCGATTCCTTGATTTCGCTTCGCTAGACGCTCTAGTAAACCACACAGGCCGATGTACTTTTCTGATGATTCCCGAACGCCAGACCGGACTGTGTCGAAGGTCTCCGATAAATTTGTAGGCAAAGAGTCCTCAAGGCCGGAGGGAAGACTTTTGCCCACAAACTCTTCTTGCACTGAAATGGTAGCCTGCTTCCTCCACACTGCAAGTTCCTGGTGCTAAATATGAGTTTTTGATGCAAGTCGAACGAGTAAACAGCACTCACAGTGGGCACGGTTAGGAACATTACAACGAGTTGTTCTTGACCTAGAGCTGGATGTCTGACTAGGGCATTAACGAATCTTACCAGACCACGTCTGCGCTTCTCCATGAATGTGACGTCGGCTGATAGATGCCTTCCGTTGACTGGATGTAGTCAGTCGTCAGTATAAATGGATTTGACAGGGCCTTGAGTCCTACCGGCAACTCTTTTCGGTGGTAACAATGGCAATGCTCTGAATGGATATCTTTTGTGCAAACAGTCTAACAACCACACAAAGTCACTGTATCTTCGTACGACCGAGCTTGCTCTTCTTGCGCTCTTCACCTCGTAATTGTGATGTTGAAACATGAACATGCCTTCCTTCTCTGGAAGAAGGCTGACACTGACGGTCTCCTCGACGCCTCGGTTGATAGTACGCCCTCCACCTAAGGACCTTCCAATGCTCCCTCCAGTGTGGTTGCCTTGGTCGTCTCCACTTGAGCCGAAGCCGCCACCTGACTGTCCTGCGTTCGGAAACCCACTGCTAGGTGGCCCCTCCGATCCCCAACCTCCAGCACCTCCATCCATGGGAGGCTCTCTCGTATCTTCTCCCGAAGGCATCGTTGAGCTTGGACTGTCGGAATACGTCGTGAAAACACTCGTAGTCCGCGACGGCTCAGTGACCCCATTTCTTATTGGCTTCGCCGCTGTAGGATTCGACGACGGAGTTGCCTCATTGTTGACGTTATGGGTGTGACCTTTGTGCAAAGCTGGGCTAGACCATGGATCATCGTCTAGGTTTTCCAGCGAGTCTTTTCTTATTCGGCGTGATTTAGGAGGAGAATTTCCGGGAGTAGTTTGCTTGGGCGGTGCACTGTGCGCTTCCTGTTTTGGTGATGTCTCTTCGAGGTTTTCGGAGACTTTGGCAGACCTGATCTGCTTTATGAAGGGTACCGATGGTTCGGGAAGATCTAGAAATGGAAATATTAGCATCGATAATCTACCTTTCACATTACTCAGTCTTGCTCACTTCTCCGTCTCTCGTCAACCGAGTCTAAAGAAGCCTCTTCACCCTCCTGGGACAAACCGATCAGGGCGAGCAGGACATTGAACTCGCTCCGACCAAGTCCAGTGTCCTGCCCACCAGTGACAAGCTTGAGTATCCTGTCCTGCTCAGACGCATCAAGCCCACAACCTTCGAACAGTTTTTTTGCACCGGCAATCCCTATTTGACCTCCTTCTGCTTTGTAACTTGTCTCCCGTAAAGCATCGAAGGCATCAATGTAGTTCTCTGAAACATCAGACGCGGGCAGCAGTCTCTTGACCAAGTCGCTCCTCCCGGCCTTCTTCGGGGTCGGCATATCCCATGGTGAAGCACTATTAGTGCCCTCATCGTCGAACAACGAGCTACCAGACTTTGCACCTGATGTTTGCTCATCATCGAAAAGAGCGGATTTCTGGTTGGGGCGCGCAGGCTGTTTGGACAAGCTCGAGTCGTCAGGGGAGCTTCCAAATAGTGACATCTTGGCTGGGAACGCTCTGTTGCGGCTCGGTGCTATCACTCAATCCCTCTTATAGAATGTCAATCGACAAAGGCTTGGCATTGCGCGGTCGAAAAATGTAAGGAAGAAGTCGAGGAAGTCAAATGAACCGAGGCGGCGACGCGGTTGAAGATGACGACGGCTAGCGTCGAGGAAGACGTCTAATGTGGAAAGAACAATTACCAATTTTCACCCTCGTTCAGCGAGATTGTTTCTTCTCTATACCTTTAATCCGAAGTCTACATGTACGTGTTGCTCGCAACCAGGGTAGATTTATGGTCTTAATTTTCGCTCTTTTGTACGGTCGACCAATTCATCAGTGTAAGGATGGCGATGTCAACATTTTTGTATCATCTTCTTCAACCCTGGCTTCCTCTCAATTCGTCATGCTGCCGCCCATTCTATCTCGCATCTTATTTGGTAAAAATCGTGGGCGTTTCTCTCAATACTTTTCTTCAATCTACGTGCGTGTCCTAGCAATGCTCAACCGGTAAGCATCCTTCATTCTCTTGGGCAAGGGGCTTCGCAGGGTCGGATTCGTTGCTCGCTACTCCGCGGGATACCGTCTCTAGAAGAGTTTCCAAAACAATAAAGGAGAAGTAGCTACGCAAGCTCTGTATACACGAACTCGTCTGCTAGGTGTTGTGGTCAGAAATCGGCGACTTCAACGTGTTTGCTGCGTCAGCTAAATCCCATCACCTGAAAGGTCACCTCGCAAATAGACCCAAATTATAGAGAAGAGGTGGGGGGGTTGTCGTCTGAAGTGTGTGTATTTCCAAGAACCAGCTTGAACAGCCCATTCACGGCCCAGCCTTTTTTCCTGGACGAAAGTGATCCCTAAAGCCAGATTTGGCGTACATTTGATCATACGACCGTTGCGTTGGGGCAAAAGCTGCCGCTAAAGTCTCCAAAATCATTATTCCATTGCTCGCCATTCATGTTCTTGTATTCAGGATTGTCTGCTTTCTCAGGAAAGATAACCCTTTCGATCGCGTGGTTGAGGGAACATTCGCCAAGCTCTTCACCTACAGAAAATATGATTGGTTATGTAGGCCTTGGACAAACATTGGCTACCACTTTAGTCATGCAAATATACCGCATCTGGTCATTCATTCACCAGCATAATTAACTATAGCTTTGTTTCTTCAGCCAGTCACAGACCATCGCACGTTCTTTCTGACACAGGTATCACTACAGCCAATATCGAGTGTGCACGAGGCTGGCATGATGATGATCACCGCTGGCCTCCGGGAAAAATTACATGGAAGCTCTGGAGGACCAAAAATATATGGAGACCAAATACGGTAGCTTGTTTGTTGACTTCTTCTGCCTTTCGTGGAGTAAGCTGGCAGAAAGGTCGAGACGACCCCGAGAACCGCGGAAAGGGAGCGGACGGGGTACTCCTGGTCTCGGAGCAAGTGGATCACTCATGTGTCCCAGAAGGTACAGTCCCAGCTCTCCCGGACAAAGACGCGCTAAAGCTAGCAGTGACCCTCGCAGCCTGTGCCAAGATATTGCGATTTCAACTTCATAATCTCATGGTTCCCTGCGTGGCCTTCAAATACACATACGGAGTGACTGGTCTCAAACCTACGTAAGTAGTAGCCTAGCCCGCGTTGTCAAAGCACCGAAGAGATCTGTTCGTGTCAACCACGTAGTGGGCCCATAGCCGGCGTTATCCTCTGGGTGCTCAGGCTGTAAACAGGCAAAGTAGGCTTCCTCGCATCAGGACTCAGGAGACGCCCAGAACTTGCTACTATGCACCGTCAACTATCGCACACACTACCGCGAAGCATCTCTCATAGGAGTGGTAGGAAGTGCGCGGTCTTCTCCTTCTCCTTTCACGGCTAGTAGTGCTAGTCCCATTACGTGGAGATTCAAAAAAGGAGTGGTACGGCTTCAAGTTTAAGGATCGGGCTTTGGATCTTCGTACTTGGAGCTATGGGCCTGTTCGGGAGAAGAAGATAATAAGGATGTTGAAGGCCTGGCGACGAGTCTTTTACCGTCCAGCCTCCTATGGCTGCAGAGTAAGAGTAAAATGGAAGGAGAATAATTTCGGTCTCCCCCCCAAAATTAATACAGTGTCATCCCAGTATTCAATCTGTTCGTGGCGAACATCCATTTCTGCTTTACTCAGCAGGTATTGATTGATTCGAAGGCATGCCCGAGCAGGCCCATTCGACGTAAATACCGCTACTTGAATGGCCCCTTGTATCTTTAGATACGGTGGATATGAGCCGTAGCAGGTATGCAGATTATGAGAAGTACAGCTTTGAACTTGTTGATACTTCCAGGAGACGTATAAGCTTGGTCTCATGAAACGGAAAGATACAGTCCCAAATAATCTATAGTGAAAAGACTCGTGAGAGCTCAATTCTTGCAGGCGATAAGACAGGAGACCCGAATTATGCGGAATTGAAGGGAGCTGGCCCATAAGATATTGGACCGTTGAAAAGGCTGAGGCCGCTTAAATCCATGACGATGATGGGCAGCGTACCACGTTCATCGTTATGATGATGGCTCCTTGCCTTTCGAGATGCCAAAAAATTTGGATATTTTAGAGAGCTAGCCCCTGCAAGAGCGGTTCAAAGCGAGTCACGCTATGCTAAATCACTGCAACCTAAAATGCAATTGATATCTCTTGCGGCCCCTACCCTCATGGTATGCATATCTAAAGCATCAAGCATCACTCTCCATCGCGCTTCCTGTCGAGTCCCTACTCGATCCCTCGTCTAGCCCCGTTTCCTCTTCAGATCGCTCAGCCATTGCCTGCTTCAAAGCGATATCCTGCCAACCCTCCCCCCCAGACTGCAACACCAAGTCAAAATTGGTGTTCTTTGGGAACCATCTCTCCCTTCTCGTATGAGCTTTACTACCACCCTCGAGCGCTGCACGGCTAGCTCGCGTAGTCCGCTGCCTTTTGCCATTTTTGCCTGGTTGCGAGAGCAAAGAGCTCAGTAGTCGCCGTTGCTCTTCCAGCCTGAGATCGTAGTGGACAATGGAACGTACGTAGGGCGCGAGATCTTCGGTGATGGTGGATAACGATCCGTCAAACGTCGAGATCTGAGGGCCTTTTGGAATACCAAAAACTATTTTGTTGGACCTCGCGATAGGCTCAAAGACTGCCGCATAGTCGAACCTCACGTTTAGTCTTTCAGAACGACGGGCTTGCATGCCTTCAGTGATCATGTAGATTACCTTGTCGTTGCTGATTGAGGTTTCAACAGGTTCTTCGTCACAGGGGTGCATTAATCGCCTTGCACAGGCCTTGATTGTGAAGGCTATTGCTTGGGCCACACCGGTCTGGTCAATAACAGGATCCGCTTGAAGAAGACTCAAGCCTTCAACAAAATTGCTGCACACTTTCTCCGTGAGCTCGGGTTGAGCAGTATCAAGCGGGGCCTGAAGTGGATGGTCAGTATTGGCAATATATGATGCACTACTGACTTACCATATCAGCGATCAAGGGAATGCGGCCTGGGAAGGTGTCTGCCGCACTGAAGCTTTCGGCTACCTGGTCAAGTACTGATAATTGCTGGAAAGCTGGCGTTCGCAACGGTTCCTCTTGAGTGGCCAACGGCAAAACGTATGAATCACAAGCCCCAACGTCTATATACCATCCATACCAAGTCTGCGAAAGCATCTCTGCTTCCTGATCCATGGACTGTTCTGCTAGAGATTTCTGATGTTCGCCACTCAGCCAGCCCATACCGGTCTGATACGTTCCTTCGCTGACGACGCGCAACGGTTCTTGGCTCCGGTCATTGGAGTTCGTCGAGGGCGATTTATCCAGCATCCACTCTAACCCTCCTTTAGTATCACCAATTGCCATTTGGCAGAAGAAGTTGAGCTCAGTCATCGATGCCCGCAGATCAGAACCCTTGGATTTATATAGTTTAAGAACAGCGTCCCGTGGGAGTATATGACCCTCGTTGCAAGCCACGAGCAATAAGTAGTCTGTGGCTAGCTGCTCAGGAGCAGGCGTGAGGCGCAGAATAGCATATAGGACCATATCTTCTAACGGGAGCAGGCTTTCGTCTGTACAAGTCATTATAACAGGTCGCTTGGACTGTACGAGCAGTTCGAGGGTAGTGGCCCAAAAAGTCTTGTCTTCGTCGAAGAGTACGTCGACCTCCTCTAAGAGGATGAGGGACTGCTTTTGACTTTGGTCCCTTTGTGGAGGGTCCTTTTTGGGGCTCAGTTCCTGTACTTTCGGTTTGCTTTTCGAAGAGCTTTTCTTTGGCGCTCTTTTCGACTTGAAGAACGAATTCACGGTTCCCTGTCGTCCAGAGTCTAGGTCTTGCTTCAGCTTCTCACTCGACAGGTTCATGGTCTCCGCTTCCTCTTTGGCATCTGCGCCTTTATCTGGATGGGCATGGTTTACAAGATGATTTCGAGTCATGTCGCCCACCTTGTCCCATATATCTCTACCGCTTCTCCGGCTACCAGCGTTGATTTCGAAAACTTCAAAGCCAAGTTCTCGAGCCACTGCATGTACAGCAGCAGTCTTGCCACACCCATGCGGACCACTGATGACCACAGCATTGGTAACCCGCTCGCCGTTGCCAGAGTTCCCAGCATCTCTGGATCGGATTATCGACCTTCTCAGCATCGAGCCTGGAGTCTGCCCATCTTCAGAGTCTGTAACCTCGCACATTTCGTTTGCTTCCTCGTCGCTTGATAACACAAAGCCATCCAGTTCTCCTGCTCTCCTTCGTTTTCTTTTCGTGGTAGCCCTTCGAGAGGATACGGAGGAATCTCTGGGTTTTGAAGAATCACCGGCCCGAAAAGCAACGGAGTTGATTGTCAACGTCTTCAGCCAGTCTCGAAGAATGAGTACTTCACGGCCTGGTTGCAGCACTTGCTCGGCACAGTCTGGTGCGTATTTGTGAACCCAATCTTGAGTTTCACATTCGAACATATCAAATGCAGTCAGAGAGGTCGCAATGTTCTTATACATACGATGCACAGCAGGATGGAGTGGGCTTTGAGGCATCTGTAGGTTACCGAGTTCATTTTCGTTTTGTCTATCAGTCGCGTCTTGGTATGACATTGGGAGCTTGCTTGCAACTTCCCGGCGTACAGCTTGCTGCAGCTCACGACCGGTTACAATGCGGCGAAGAGGACGCCGAAAATCGCGCCACTCCCGAGAATGGACTCTTCTGAACACCTCATCATTGCTTCGATAGGCCTGAACGACATCGATGTACGGCGTTAGGATCCGCTCCTCTTTTGGTATGCGAACTTCAGCTTCCTTCATCTTCCGGCGAGCTTTTGATGCATGAGAGAAATGAGGTGTTGGGCGAGACATTTCAGCAGAATCGTAGTCTTGTCTAACATGGACCATACCTTCAGGAGGCCACAAAGGCTCCATTGCACCAGGAAATCGAGATATTCGTGCTTGATCAGAGCGGAATGCATTGCCTCCAAGGTTCAAGACTGCAGCCGAGCTTTCAGAAATACCAGGAGGTTTGCTTGTGACTCTCGCCTTGGTAGGGCTGACAACTTTTCGTATCGGTGTTACAGGGCGACCTCCAACTCTAGTCTCCTTATCATCATTGCTTTGTGCTAATTCCTGCTGGCAACGATCGCGCTTGGGCCCTCCAAGAAAGAATGGATGCGTTGGTTTTGGAGGTTCGGGCGGTCTGTTGGGCTTTGACTTTGCGGGACTGGGGTTGATGGCCGTGCTTGAGAAGATATTTGCAATTTTGCGCCCCGTAGAAGAGCGAGACTGAGCATCGGTACCGTACCTGACACTGGCCACCAGCATCTTGGGAAGTGTCTCAGCCTTTGCGGACTTCCTGCCACGCTTGGGCTTTGCGTCTTGTGCAGGGGCTTTTGCTTTGGGAGAACCCAATTTGCCATCAGGGCGAACTCTCAACATCTTCTTTGGCGGAGTTTTCGCGGTGTCCTCGTTCGAATCTGCGCCTGAAGGTTGGGAGATCTCCTCGGCCAAAGGCATGTCTGCGTTGATAGGGCAGGAAGAGTCGGTTGAGCAGCCATTCTGACTTTTGCCCCTTACTGATAGGTTTGATCCATTACTGCCTGTTCTGTTCCAGGCAGTCCTACCAACGCTGCTTTCGCCCTGATCGCCTGTAGATCTGTATGTGGCATTGGACCCTAGCAATGCCCCAGAAGCGGCAGCATTCAGCTGGTCCACCCATTCATGTGTCTCCAGTGGGTCTAGTACAGCGGGATCCTGATCAGGTGACCTGGTCCTCTGCCTCTTGCGACGCTTGTCGTTCACATCAAAGCCTGTTTCCGCAGAGTGTCCGGCATCTGCCCAGATTCAGCCTCAGACATTGATTCTGGAGTGAGGTGGAATTGACGTGAAGGAAACTCACTGGCCTTAGGCATAAAGAAAGCATGCATGTCTCGCCTATTGTCATTAGCCATACCCACAACCACTGCCATTTAGTCCTGTTTGTCACTGCCAGCAAGCATGCTTGTCCCAGACTCAACGGAATCGATCAGAAAGTCTGTCTTAGTAGGCAGTAATGGGATTTACATGAATCGAATAGAGAAGGTCGGCATCAGGTTCTGGAATGAAGCCTTCTCCACCGACTTCACTGTCTTGTGAAGTACAGTGCATTTTCTTTCCGTCATTCGACGCGCTTCGCGTTAATTGCTGTTAGCGCGCTAGGATAAACTTCGGAAGCTATCAGGCAAATCACGAACTTTTTCTTTCCGTCTTTTGATTTGATCGCTGTTGTGCAATAGCGCAAGTTGTCAAGCCTGCTCCTGATCAAGGCTATTATGGCTTTTGGAGAAGATTCAGCATCACCAGAAAGATGATCCAGAAACCCTATCTTCTGGCAGACATACAGCAAGATCTTAATGGCTTACCTAATATACTTGCTACCGATGTGCTTGCTGTTGCAGGATCAAAGAAGCGAAAGAGATCAGAGCTTGCCTTAGCGATTGACCGCCAGGGTATCAACATCTATGATGTGAGCCTACGTTCCGTATCTCAAGGCTACTCCGAACAAGCTAACAATCATTAAAGATTCATTCGTCAAAGCTGATTACATCCTATGCGATATCTCCCCAGGCTGTCTTTACCTGCCCACCATGCTCCATTAGATCCCGCCGATTAAGAGATGAGCCTGCTCGAAGATGTACATACTGCTCAGTCACGTCCCCCAAGCCCCGACTCATCTGCTTTTCCGAGTTTTCCAATGCAGAGATCACAACTACGTCAATCAATCTGAGCAAGGAAGCTGCGCCGGTATCACATTTGGATACCTTTCAGGCTGGTTCTGGAAACAAGCTACTTGCCTTACATGATGACGGAACGGTTACGGGCTACTCAAACGGCCTGGAGACCGAGGAATGGCGTTCAAATATCAATGCTGGCGCCTCAAATCTGGTTTCGGTACCGGCCATACAGGCAGCAGCAATCTTGAGCGTTCAGCAAGCCCGTAAAACGGTCTTGAGGAGTAGAGAGGATATCCTAGCAACATTGGGGCCAGACGAAGATCCGGTTGATCGTAGCCTTTTGCTCGTCATGACTCGTTCTACGACAAAGGATGCCAACAGCAGTGCTGAGACGCTGGAACTACGAATGTTCCATATCAGAATGGCCGGTTCGGACACAAGTGGTGTTGCTTTAGGCCCAGGACAAGAACTGCAACCGTTAGCGACGCTAGCCATGCCTGAGCCAAGTCTTTTCACCTCGAAGAAGTCTCGAATCACCATCCATACTGCGAGTGGGACTATCTATCAAGACGCAGAGGGCGCATTGGCTGTATACGACCTGACTGGATCTGTTCCCTGTCTTCTTCACACTGTGGTCCGGAACGACGCCTTCTCGTACTTGCGACTATCGCCCGAATTGGTAGCCTCCAGCAGAGGCGCTTCCCTCTCTGTCATGGACCTTCCATACAAATCTCTCCAGGCCGAGGGTACTTTGACATTGAATCACGAAGCCAAGGTCAAAGAGAAGTCAAAAAACCCCAACGGTAAACCAACGATAACCGAAAATGTGCGGCTTCTCTCGTACTTTGCCCCCTTGGATGTCATAGTTGCGCTTGCTGGACGGAAATTATTAGCAGTCCAATTACCCACAACTCAGAAAGTACGTGCATCTCGAAAGCGCAAAAGAGAGGGTCTGCTTGTGAATTCCATTGGCCGTGGCTTTTCATCAATGACTGGAGCCACTAAGACTTCTGGGGAATCAGCCCGCAAAATCAAAAATCTAGGCAGCTATCTACCATCTCTTGATAGTGATGATTGGAAAAGTAAGAGAGCTGACCTGGACCGGTGCCTCGCCCACAATGACGAGAAGGAATTCGAGAGGCTCATGGCCACTGCTCTGGGTATGAAGGCCATCGAGGAAGACAAACAAGCTTCAAATTCTGGGGGTCGAAATCACGTTGACCAGCATGCAGTCAGCTATGTCCTGAAAGCTATGTTTGGGGTAGACCAGGCTTCCCTTGATGTCGATCCGGCTGGTGAGAAACCAAGAAGTTTAGACATCCGCTTCTTCCCACACAAAATTGGCAATTGGCTGATTGACAAGGGTCTCCTCACCTTGAGTCAAATCGAAACGTCACTAAAACAGCATGGTGCCCTTCCCGTCATTTCAAAGCTGGCGGCTGGGTCGTTGATCCGAGCCATTGCTAAGTTGGATTCATCGGTGGAAATTCTTCTTTCTATCTTAGCCAGTCCTGTCCCTTTGAGCTCAGAAGAGCTTGTCCACATTCTTGTCATTGTCACTCAAAGTCCGAACTCCGAGGCCACGGAGACTCAACGCTTCTGGACTAATGGTGACGGGGAAGACGACAGCGGTAAAAATGGAACCTCGCAGCTTATCAATGGGCAAACCACCGATTACCCGCCGTCGTCCTCTCCAATCCTCCCTGATAACAACTTAAGTCGCCGTTCACTGTATTTCGCCATGAAGAGACTATACGCTTGTCCTTCTTCTTCTGTAGCGCAGGCCCTCAAGAGAGAGCTGTCAACTCCGCAGCTACGCATCCTCGTGGATACCTTGCGAATGGAGATTGCTCGAAGCGGATGGCTTTCCCCGTATGAAGACAGCCTGGAGGCTGCGGATCTCAACCTTCAAGACGACAGACAAATGTGTTTCTTAGCACACCTCCTCAATAGTGTCATAGACGGTCTTGGGACCGGTGGCTGGATACTAGGCAGTCCCATGACCGACGATTTGACAGAGACTGCCGATACTATAGCATATATGAAAGCGGAAATTTCAGCAGCACTGGAAGGCATCGAAGAAGCCACCTATCTTAAAGGCATGTTGGGGGAGATCTTACTCTGCGGTAAGGACTCTCTCAATTCTTCTGTGACACAGCCGAGGTCGAACGAAGCTCAGCCTACAGCTCTTCCAACAAAGCCCGTGACCATAGCTCTCGATGAAGAAGACTCTCAACTTCTACCATTAGGTCTGAAGCCAGCACCGGTGGTCTCGACGACTAAAGTTGGCGCTGGTGGTGAGCTCATAAAGCGAAGCAGGAGAGACATTGGGAGGCTGAAGAGTAAGATGGTGGGGAAATATAGCTTTGATCGTGTCATGATATGAATAACGATATCAACATACAATTCAAACTGGCCCTCCGCTATGCTATAAACAGCGATTTGGATAAAAATCACCCTTTCTATGCCTACACCCAAGTGCTTAAGCCGTAGCCGTCGCCTGCTTCTGTGCACCCTCCCTTAACGCAGTGACCAAATGCGACCCTCTACCCTCTCCTCCCTGGGCCAACCCACCATCACCCCCATTAACCACGACCTCATCTCTCACCCCTTCTTCATTCTCCACGACCTCCACTGCTGGGAATGCAGCTGTATACCTACTCCTTTCCAACCAATCATGAAACACCTCCTCGGGCCATGTCTCTGCAAACTCCGCGTCCAATTTATTGGCCCATCTGACTTTCACACCATCGACGCCTCCCATCTCGCTAGCGACGTCTATTGGTGCCTTTTTCACCTTGTCTTCGCCCTTCTGCTTTTTCAAAGTTTCCACCCTCCGCCGTCTCCTCTCTGCATTCACTATCCTTTCCTCCGATGGCCCTATCTTTTGTAGCTGCAGCACGGCTGCCAGGTCTGCGATGCTGTTGGCTTTTTGGTCCATAAGAACTTTTCCGCGCCTTTTCTTTGGTAGTAGTGAGCCCTTCCACTTCCCTTCCGTCTCCCTAATAATATCCAGCGGATAACTCTTCTCATGCAATGCCCTAAACTCTCTCAATCTCCTAAACGCCGCCAATCCCGCATGCGGACTTGGAAAATACACCATGCAGAACGGATTCCATAGATCTTTCCGTAATGTCGAAGGTACGGTTTTCTTGCCGAGGAAGGGGAGTTGGGAGAGCGCGGCGGCGTTGTTGAGATGGCGGGTCAAGGAATAGACGACTTGGTTTGTGCGGATATTGTTGTAGAAGTAGATATGCTGGCCATAATGGACGGTCTGGGTGGCATTTTCGGAGGTGGGCAATGGAACGCCTTTCTGTATAGGCTTGCGGATGAGAAGGGTGTTTTGGGGAAGAGGTGCCTTTGGCAGTCTCGTGACCGGGCGACTCAAGACCCTGACAGCGGATGGACTGGCCATTTATTGGTCATGTGGAGAAGAATCGGTTGCCGTGATACGACAGTGCACTACTCGCCAGCCAAAAAAGACCACAAAAAGAGAAAGAGAAAAAGATAGAGCATCTCAATCTGAAGCTCTTTGGCTAGCGCGGAAGCTGGCCGCAGTGAACACCGTAGCGGTGATTTTTTTGCTAGCTCAGAACGAGCGACTACTTGCAATTAATGTTTACCTTTTGCACGAGTCTCATTTCCCTTTGGTCTTATGCGGTATAGAGTCTGAGTATCTGCCTGCTCTTAGGAGTCACGAATGATGCCTCGCACTCCTTTGATTTCACCGCGAATCCAGTGCACCGCACCTCTTCATTATGTCTAGCCAGCATGAAACAAAAGCCAAACAAATTGGTTCAAACAATTTTCATGATGTCAAGGGTCTCTCCAGAGAGAGGCCTTGGCTACTGCCTTCCGTCAGTGTTTCAACAATCAGAGTGAAGCCCAACTCTGCGCGCTCTAGCTGACGGCTTTGGCAATCCTCAGAATCGCAAACTTCGGCATCTCCTAGGCATCTCTTTACGAAACTTAACCCTGTCCTCACTGCGTTCCAGGACCCGTAGGAAGACGCTAGATGACGAGTTTCTACCTCACGCACTCAAGACACCCGCGAAACTCCTCTCCCAACGCGAGAATAAGCTTGAGTATTCAAGGTCGTCTAGTGATCTTAAGTCACCACCCAAAGCGAATGTGTTAGCCGAGGCGGAGGATTCCAAAAATGATGCACCAGCAAGGCCGAAGCCTCCAATCAAGCCCAGAAGAAGAAGCACACTCAATTGGACAAATGCGCCCCCCAGCGTTAGACAGACCAAGTTGGAGGATGTGGCTAGGGAGAGGATGGCCGATACATGGTTTTCACTCCACTATTCCGGCATAGACGAGCCCATCTACGTGAGCGAGGTCATCGAGAAAGCTATGAACCCAAGCTTTCGATTCTTTGATCTTAATGTATACGGCCCTGCGGTGACTCGACTTGATGAGCTGACTGTCAAATACTGGGCGAAGACGGAGAACATGGACCAGTATGTCTTATTGGTTGAATTGCAGTTGTGTTTCCGCTCTCTACAGTTCATTGGCAAATCAGTGCGTCTTAGTCACTCCGTTATCTCCAGCCAATTCTGACCGTCATGAGTATTTAGCTCGAGAGCTTCCACCATCCTCTTCCTCAGAATTGCATACTGTTTCACCTTTCAGATGGCATCTACACAAGCTTTACCGACCTTCCACTGGATGAGCCTGTCCTGGCTGTTTCAAATACACCAAAGCAACCACATGGACTGCAGCCTACATCTTCATTTGATGCCTTGATGCGTTTGTCAAATCTTGATGATTGCATCCAAGACGCTCTTTCCACGCGTGAGAAGCTTGCTTCGCAGATCAGTCATTTGCTGGAAGACCAAAAGCAATCCTCGGACACTATCGACTCCTCTTCGCAAGCTGAACAGAGACTGGCATCCACTAACCGCTCGCTCACAACATGTCGAAAACAACTCACTACCGCCCAAACCCGGCGATCTGAGCTTCAAGCAAGCCTGAAAGCCCGTCGCAATGCTATTACTTCCGGAGACACGACACAACAGAGAGCGCAAACAAATCTCGCCTCAGCACAAACGAACCTCAGCTCTCGAAGATCACTTCTGCAGACGACAAAGTCATCGGTTTCGGGTCAAATCCGCCGCATTTGTGAAGACCTCTTGCGTATCTACCCGATCGAGCCTATCGACCACAAGCCTCTTTCCTTCACCATCCGAAATTTGCACCTACCGAATGCTGCATCTCCATCCACCTCTCCCTACACTGACCCCGCTGTGACTGCCGCTGCTCTTGGCATTGTGGCCCACGTGACTTATCTGCTCTCGTTCTATATTTCGGCTCCACTTCCCTATCCACCTACACCTCATGGTTCAACATCCACCATCTTTGATCCAATCTCCACAAACATGCAATCACATGCAGCCCGCACCTTCCCACTCTATGAGAAGGGGGCAGTCACTTATCGATTTGAATATGGAGTGTTTCTGCTCAACTCGGACATCGAGCTTCTGATGAGTAGGCAAGGATCGAGAATGGTGGATCAAAGACACACGCTGCCGAACCTCAAGTACTTGCTCACTGTGCTGACCGCAGGCAAAGGAGAGTTGCCTGTGAGGAAGAAAGGTGGAGCCAAGGTTTTGGAGAATGGCAGCGCTGGTGAGCAAGAGGCCGAGAAGAGTCCACTCATGAACGGGAAGCAGCCCTATCGCGATAGCAAAGGAGTAGCAGATGAAACACAGAATATATAAAAAACTGATATCCAGAATCTTTCAATCACTTCTTTTCATGGCAGTCGTCCCTTTATTTGTCCCAAACCTTCAAATGCACGAGCTTCACTGATTCAAATACGCGAGCTCTTCACCCATCACTCGGGCACGGCATGCATTCTGCTTCTGATCTCCGCTGGTCCCGCCTGTCAATTCTCAGTCTATATGCTCTCCACATCATTTGCGTAAGATCACATGCTCTCTACTTCAACTCATGTACTGAGTGCTAGATTCTCGCCGGTCCACTATCGTCCTGTCCCAGACCACCTATCCCCATCATCTACCCAAACCCAACCCAGTCTCTCCCACCTTTGATCTGATTCCTCTTCTTTCCACGGCTGATCGATAGATACGGACACTGACAGCAGAACTCGAGCGTGCCACAACCCGTCGGCGCTTCGGGATCGAACTGCGGCGCTGCCGAGACCGCGGCCGGATGGGGAGACGCGGAGATCACCGGCAGTATAAAGAGCCCGTGAGCTCCACCATGATGGGCAATATGCGTTCACGAGATATCCGCTCACCAGCAACTGCGTCTCGCGGCATTACTCCTCTCGAGCCTCACCGAACACATCATGCCGCAGGAGGAGGCTGAGAAAGAGAAGGCGCTCCGGGATCAGCGCGCAGCCCGAAATGAATGAAGCCTTTCTAGCTTTCACAAGGATCACGGAACCCGACTTCCCTTTTCTATTATACTTCACAGCCCGCATCACTCTGGAGCATCGGTGGCTCATGCGAAGTGCCAAGCGAGGATCGGTGCCAAAGATGTTGATTTCGTCCTGGGAAAGGGTTCCTGCGGATGTTGGCATCTATAGGGTTTTTGCTACATCTTGAGGATCTCGCCACACTGACACTGGGAGCGAGAACAACTGCGTCACAAGGGCACTTTCAGGTACGAGTGGGGCCTCTGGCATAGACTGCCGGGGACGATGCGCGCTTCCAGCAGCGGCAGCCTCGACATGGCGGTAGTGGACACTCACACCCTGTTGGCGGAAGTTGAGTATTCCCTGAACACCGCAGAGAACGCCTCGACTGGATCCATTACCCCTTTCGAAGCACTCTATGGAGTCAAACCCAGGGATTTTCGGGCAAGCATAATACCAGGCAGAGACTCGGCGCCCACGGACTTCATCAAGGCCCGAGAGACAATTCGGAATGATACTTCCGACGCCATCAAGCTGGCACAGGCCAAGATGGCTGCCAGATATGACGCCAAACATAGAATCCCTGATCTGGTTGGTAGTGTGTATCTCAAATTGGCCAGAAATGGAGCAGCAGGCTATCATATCCCCAAAAACTCCTTGAATGAGAGTTTCAAGGAGTGCAAGTGCGACAGTTCTGGAACTCATCTCTACCAACGCCTGAAGGGCTATTCTAAGGTCTCCAAAGCGGGTAACGGAAGAGAAAGGCAGGGTGTGGCGAGAGACGAGTGGCCTTTTTCTTTCGGCCGATATCATGACCCAAGGTATGTACGCAGCAGTATCAAGGCAAAAACGGAAAGCGCGGCTAGGAAGCAGATTGGTTGTTGTTGATCTGAGGCGCGTGAGTGATAGCGTCATCCACTTTTGGCTTCGCACCCATTCTCTGATGTCGGTCTCGGAATCTTGTATTTACAGTGTAAAAGATTGTGTTGTTTTCTGTCAGGTCCCTTCCATTCATGCGCTTATTTGCATCAAGACTTGATGGATGTTGTCGAGAAATAGAGAGCTGCGGAACTTGAGCAGGAAGCTCGATTCTGCGGACTCAATGAATATGTACAGAAGACACCTTCTCGGCCCCAGCATGGATAGGTAAATGCAACAATATGCAATCATAACATGTCTCACTTATACAGAAGTAGTGTTACTCACGATTCCCCCGGTACCGAGAGTCGTACATCGAATTTTGCGGGCTTACTTTCATGGCGTTCATGCTCAACTGATGGAGAGATCAACCGTCGGAAGCTCAGCCATGTGATTCTTCAAACTCCCATACGGCCTCAGTATCACATCCGTCACATTGCCAGTACAACTTCGATGCCTCACACCCTCGGGTAGAGCAGGCAACGGCGCTGGCAGTCCATTATACAACGGCCAATCAACTTCACAGCCTTTGCCGGAGATGTATGTAGGTGGGGCTTGGTAGTCAAAAATGGGATTCTTCAAGGCTGGTTCTGTTGCATTGTTGAACGTGGTGTGGAAAGTCAGGGATGAGATGTCGATAGCCATGTTCCAGGATTCGGTATTTTTAAATGCAAAGTCGTGAACCTCATTGGGAATCAATGGTGCGCTAGTGTCATAGGGGCTAGCATTAGAGTAGGAAGCGTTGTAGAGGGAGTTGGGCAGCGTAGTCACTATTTGTCCAACGTCGAGGGCATAAAGTATCGCGCCATGGTAGACAGCAATGGTTGAGTTTGCTCGTTGTTCCACACGGACATTGGCGCCTATGGTGTAGGTCACTGCACTGGTTCCAAACCCTAAAAGAACTGGCATCATTCCCGTACGAGGATCAGGAGTGAGTGGAATTGCCCTGTTGTTGTTTACAGTGATGGAAGAATTGTCCAGTACAGACCATAATGGGACGCGGAGGTAGAAAGTGAACGGCGAAGTGGTGGTGACGTTGTAGTAGAGTACTGGACTGAACGGATAATTGGTTGTGCATGTGATCACGATATCAGTGACCACATTCGTAGTAAAAGAGACTTGAGCTGGGCCCAGTAGAGCATGGCCTAAGCCGTTGTCGCCAATTTGGACGAAGGAAGCGGAGAGGAATTTGGGAAGTCCTTGTGGCATATTGACTGTGCAGCATGGATAATTGGGTTCTACATTCGGTCAGCACCGGGAAGACAGAAGGAAGCTCCTATGCAGATTCTCACCCAGTCCATAGATGATTCCAAGGTCTCCAACATTCCAGAATGGGTTCTCCTCAGATAATGGCTTTGCGTATGGCTCACTAGCCACAGCAAGATATTGGCGAGCCCAATGGTCTGCTGTTATGCTGACCGGCAGCGCGTTGAAAGCCGCACGTTCGCATCGATCCGCGAAGTAGTTGTCGCCCAAAGTATGATACAAGTAAGACATCGAATACATCGTCTCGACCGCGGTGCATAATTCAGAGCCTCTGTTCGAGCCCAAACCCGTTTCTCTTTCATCGCCGATAATACTGCCTGCTACATCCCCGTGGTAGCTGAACGTCCAATTGACGCCATTGCGATTATTCTGTAAAATCGAGTCGTTTCCCGTATATCGGTAGATGGTTGCACCGGCTTTGAGACCCTGAGCAGCGTTGACTCCGTGAACGAAAGGGAATCGCGGTGAGCCTCCATCGATATCATCTTGGATAGTGTCCAGATCGACGAATATGAAATTGTCCTCAGTCCAGTAGCTAGACCAGTCGAAGCCACGGGACTCAAGCAAAGACATTGTGTCAAGCATCATAGTCTGGTTTCCAAGCGGATAACTCTCATACAGCCATTGCAGGGAGATGAGCATGTCTGGGAATCTCACTCGACCCCAAATCTGCGTGAGCCCAGTGTTTTCGACCAGCATAGAGTGCATCAGATCAATGAAAGTATACATGGCAGGAACGACTCTGTTGGCTTGAGTGTTATCAGCTTCGACAAGCTGAATGAGTCCAAGAAAAAGAGGATATCGTGCCCAGAGATCTCTGTCAGCGGGGGCTTCTGGACCAAGCCAGCCATCTTCCCATTGATGTGCGACTATGTACTCGGTGGCATCCTCTACTTGAGCAATCAGACGGGAGTCGTTCAGACCTATCGAAGATTTGAGATTAGCGTTTCCTTTGAAGACAATTTCTGAACCCTAAGATAGGTCTGAACAAGATGGCACTCCTAGATTCTGTCTCACAATTCCGACTTCCGCTCAATTTTGGAAAGCACGGAGCCCAGAGAAGGCTTACCATACGCAAGAGGGACCAGTCCATTGAACCAGTAAGGCAAGCCTTCGTTGAGGACAGAGTACTCCGAATTACCTCCAATCCAGGGGGACTGATGCACCAGATGGTAGAAGTCATACTGGTGCCCAGCTAGGCCATCTGCCATAAGTTTCAGTTGGTCGTTTGTCCATCCCAATGGTTGGATGGAGCCAAGTGGAAGCGGTTGGAAGATGTACGGAGCCAGTGCTAAATAGTCAGCCATGCTTGGAAAGATAGAAGCTCTCAGTACGGACAGGTCACGTTAGGAGTTGAGCTCGAACTATCGAAAGGCCAAAAGGCTAAGCGCCGAAGGATCTCTTCGAGGCATTGAAATAGGGGAACTCTGCCACCTAGCTGCATCCATAGGACGAATAAAGACATAGAGAGGAGGAGAGCCAAAGGTAACCACCTCGCCGCAGGCAGCCATGTGACCTTGTTTATCCGTGTTTCAACCTGGCGGCTGCAATCTTTCAACTCGTGTTCGGTACGCAGCGTTGCCACTTTTCTCTTCTCTCGAGTTTGATGGTAAAGCATCTTCAACATCTTGCGAAAGATAGCTATGCTTTGACTTTGATCGCATGTCCAGATGCTGTCGTTCCAAGAGCGGAGTCTAAACAGGGCGGAGCGGCAGGGCGGGACTTAGTGTGGCGAGGCGGGAATTGAGAAGGCGCAGCAGCTCTCATCTTTAAAGTATCCTCTCAGCCACCACCCTTTGGACGTCGTATGATCAATCTTTGCTGGCATGCTCAAATCATTCGCCGACTCTAGTCATGCTGCTACTACATGTGCACAGCGTGTCATGCACTTAACCACTCAACGAATGTCATGCTCGATCGCAGTGATACAATACTCATGGTAGGAGTGAGTGGCAGGTCCTTGGGACCTGAAAGTTCTCAGCGCTTGGAATGCAAGTTGTGAGCTCTACTGCCTGAAGGGTTGAGTCATAAAAGGATCCCAATATCTAAATATGCTTGCAAATTTTACCACAAGGCTGATATTTTCTGGGTTCCACCTAAAATCTTTGTCAGTTCAAGAATCTGGTTGACTGAATATCAAGACGACGGCAGATATCTTATGCTGCCAGACATATTGGCATCGATTTCTAAAATAAAGGCTTAGTACCTATTGAGTTAATTCCCATATCTGACCACGAGATCTCTGCTAAAGTCGAAGAATATTGAGACCGTTGACGTAGTATCCCCTAGGAGGCATACGTGTCCATCTAAATATTTCTCATTGCCAATCGGGTGTCAGTAATGTCTACGGTGGCTACGAATCGGTCTTGAACAGTTCATATTTCGAATCTACAGGCTTGATCTCATCTACACCTGCACGACTCACTTAATTTGGTTGCCACATTTCGCCTTTGTTTGTGACTACCCGTTTCTAGAGCCACAAAGCCTATCATCAGCCCTGCTCTGATTTCATTTCATTCAGACCTCAGTTACTCGGAAAGCATTCGTGAGGCGCCAAAGACCTGGGCTACTTCACGACTAATTCACAAAACAGACGCCATCGCGGGCATCGTGGTGGAGACATGGAAGCATGGACTCGTACAGCTGTTCCTGGCCGAAGTAATACATGTCCGTCATGTTATCATGCTCGTCTTTGAAAGTCGGCATATCGAAGTGGAATGTTTCGCATGCGTTCGTATACGCCGAGTGCATCTAGAACACGGAGAGCATTGGGTAAGTGAATAATAGCGCTGCCTTGGACGAAGCTGTCGGAGCAGACTTCCCACATGATTGATGGAATGCCGAATTAATGTAGTGCAAGGGCGAAAATGAGGCCTGAGAGGCGGCGTCGATAATGGCGACGTGGGTAGATATTGACGATGTGCATTTTACAAAGATACGCGAGGTTGCTATTGTGACCGAAAACATGAGAAAGAGGAGTGAATGCAAAGGGTCGGTGCATGATCAAGCCAAGAAATTCCTAACTGTGATGGATATGTCTAATATACCTCCTGGTATCAGGCCTTCCATGCTGATCCTTGTATTTGATAAGTACCATGCAGAAACGCAGTTTTGCTCGCTTTCGCTCCGACACACAACATCAACCCATGCGCCGCTTGAGTAAGCAAAGCGGGTGATTTATACAAACCGCTCTCAAATGAGGCCTAGAAATATTTCGGGGTTGACGGACATCTCGTTGTGGAAAGCAATAGTCCGCGATCTTTGGCCGAGAGCTCGAGTATAACGGCAAACTCATCCCAAAGCGTCCAGATAAATGGGTATGGCGGTTTTCCACGGTATTACACTATTCAATCGCCGAGCTTTCATGCGGAAGATAATCCGGTTATTCGGTGCGTTGCAAGGTCTTGTTGCCCAAATTGGTGCTCGATCGTATGGCCAATTTGCAATTATCCAGGCATCCAGCGCTGTGGGAAGTCCTTGAAATCCTCGAGCTTTGCTCAAAGTCGTGCAATTACCTTTTCAACTGCCTCAATGATTAATACTTTCAGCTCGTGCTGCAATCCCTCGGATCGTTTGCGTCCTCAGAAACCTGGAAAACAATACCCTAACCTCAGTACTGGCTTCCTGTCTCGGACACTAATCTCCATACAGATCATTAGTAAACCGTGTCATCATACGCGATGCGCCTTCTAATAATCCGAGCCACTGATCGCGTCGGCAAGCCTGGTTGTTAAGGAATCCTTGAGCCGAGGTCAGTAGTTCGACTTTCCACTCGAACAGATCTTTGGACTCAAGATTACAGGCCACACCGTTACCGTCACTCGTCCGCTATCTAGATAGATACTCTCCAGCCAGGGAACGGCCTGACTATTGTCACGGCATCCACATCAAGCCACCGTAAGCACTGACATACAGAGGCCGACATCACAAGGAACTCCATTGGACGAAGCTGCCATGGGCTCCGTATTCAAAGAACCACTCATAGTAGTCATCACAAGCCTCGGCCACAATCGCACCGGCTCCAGTCCGCACTGCAAGGCCGGTTCCCACACCAACATCCCAGCCGCGATGCGCGCCCGCGGCATCCGCCGAGTCGTGCTTCCAGCACTTGGCGTCGGCAGATCGAAGCCGAATTTGTTCGTGCTAGAGGGTGGACGATCAAGTACGCAAGCATGGCGGGGTGTTTTGCCGATCATGATCTTGTGAATGAGTTGGTTGGGGGAAGAGCTTGCAGTGAATGCAGTCCGGGCGCGGCCAACGAGGTTGGAAGGTTCGAGAGAGGAAGCCTGTCATTTCCCCTGGAAAATATGGGAAGGGCATTGGGTGGGATTGCCGCGATGTCACGGAAGAGCGTTGCTGGATTCGTGTCTGCCGCTGCCGAGAAGCATGATTGGGATGGGTCGAGTCCTGTTATTCCGAATTGAGTATGGCAGTAGGTGCTTTGCTGGATGCTTTCATCAACGGTATAAAATTTGTATTGGCGTTTTTCGTTTTATAGGCTGATATTGAAAAGAAAGGCCCTCGAAAGGAGGACCAGCCGGAAATATCCAAAGAAGGCATACCACATTGTCAAATATTCGTGTTTTGTACTACTAACTACCCAAAAGCAAGCCATTTGACTCACGCTTTCAGATCAATACAGATATGCTGATCAGAATGTGAGCAAAACGCAAGAGGCACAGCCTCACCTCTCCTTCTTCTTTTCGACCACAGCTTCAGTATTGGGCTCCGGCGCTTTGCCATTCACTATGCTGCCGTTCGCTTTCTTCTCCTTCGCCCTACGCCCAGCTGTACCGACCTGCCCACCCTCACTCTCCTTCTCTTCTTCCGACTCTTCGTCATCACTTCGGACATCCTGTATGACCTTGGCAAAAGCGATGTTGTAAGCAATTCTTGCGATGAAAAACAGCCAGAACATATTTATACTTTGCAAGCTAGCGAGCAGCGCGAACGTAATGTACTGACTAATCCAGCATTTGTACTGCTGGGTTTCCCAGTCGAGCTCGAAAGGGCCAACGGTGCGGAATTCTGTGAGTGTGGCATACAGAATCACGAGGTTGATGTAGTGTCGTAGGTAGGTCCAGATGGCGATGAAGAGGGAGAAGTACGGGACAATTAGTGGTGATTTGATGTAGTTGAGAGTTTTCGAGGTCTTTGCAAAAGACAGATTAGTTTCTCGAAAATCTTGGACGGGCTTGACTTACCGCGAGGAAGAAATCGCTAATGTCATGCGTGATATAAACTGCCACCCCCATGTATGTGAAATGGAACCTGTAACTCAACCCGATCAACGCCAGGGTCACAATGTGATGTCCAACTAGCTCTCTGAAATCTTTTCTTGGTTTTTCCAATTGTAGACATAACACAATAGCTTGCTGCGCCCAATAGCTGGCCTGCAGCAAATAGTACGCCTTAAAAAAGCCGTCATGGCTTCTGTGCGGATATCCTTCGAACATACCCGCCGTATTGAAATACCACACGGGAGTCCGGCTCATTACATAGAGCCCCAGTGGTCCAAATACCGCAAAGTACATAGCAGTGTAGACTTGTTCCATGAAGCGGTTCTGCTTTGAGCGCGAACGGATTCCGTAATACAAGGCCATCGGACGAACGAGTCGCTGCATGAGGAATTCGCGGGTAAAAGAGAGAACAACAATGTAGAAGGCCACAAAAGCGAAGTCTTTGGGCCCTTTGCCGTAGTAGGTTATACCGGCGTCACGTTGGGCGTGGTAGGTCATGAGATGGTGGTCGGATGGGAGAGGGTAAGACAGAAAGATGGCGTTATGAAGAGGGTTTGAAGGGTTCGGATTGATGGCATAGGCGGAGAGGATGAGGGCCATGACGATGAGAGGGTTGATCCATGTATGCCGAAAAGAGAACGCTCTCCATCGCCGCAGGACAGACTTCGCTTTCCGTCGTTTGGAAAAAGGGCGGGCAGATTTGGTTAGAGAGTTACGCTGAGCGAAAAGGTCAGTCCAGTTATGGGAGTATCAGATATGGCTGGGTGCATACTGGTGTCAAAGGGGGAGAGTTGAAGGTCGGCGTAGGCTCGAGGGTGGAGAAAGCTGAAGCCCCCGTATCGCCCCGAGGATCAGCTCCAAGGCCGCTTGATTTCCGCCGTGGACGCGGCATCTTTCTCTGAGAGACGGAAGATGTGGGAAAGATTTATGGTAATGAAGGTAAGGCTTGTTGCGAATTGAAGAACGCCGGTGCCATTAGGTATTCATAAAATGATAATATGTCGCGTGCTGAAAACCGTTTTTTTGTGGGAGATTGCATGCATGGAGGCAATCTTATGTCCGACTCCGACTTAAGTCAGGTAGCTGACTTGGCTGACTTGGCTGACGTTGATTGCCGCAGTGGTGAATCCTACATCCTTTTGCAATAGTCCAATCCTCTAACATGCCGCAGCAAAGTAGGGTTTATCATGGGCGTAGCCGATGATATCTCTCCAATTTTCTCACTTAACTCTGAACGAAGGTTGTGATAAGTATGGGCAAGAGCAGGAATAACTTCCGGGCCAAGTCCCCAGCGATACGAGTACGCTAGCCGGAATACCTGTATAAGGCTGCCGATGCCGGCTTTATCTCGGTATCTCGAGATCTTGATCAACCCTCTCTCACCATATACCACCAAAGGATCGAATAGATATACAGGTAGTCTAGCGACTGACCTACGTATCTCCATCTGTATTTTCAACATCCTGTCTTGACCTCTCCCTTAGCAACGCTGTTGCCATCCCCCACTGCGAATCACGCGTGAGGATGGAGCTGTTGCTCGGAACCAGAAGACGCTGCCCACCGTGACCTTTATGACTTCTATAGTCTCCTCGGATTAATTCATTATGGACACAGGTCCACATACCCTTGTAGGCCGCCAGATATGGGCCAACCCTACCTTGACCAGCAGCAGTTTGCCTCATACCTGCCAACCCTACACACTCCCTTCTGGCGGCGAGATAAACATTGGTCGGGGAACAATTATCACGCTGACGCAAGATGCGGGGTTTCAACCAGCGTGCTCCGGTTCAGCAGTTCCTGCACCGATTGACCCACTTCAGCCAGGAGTTGACCTTTCCGTGCTGAATCGTCAGGACCCGTTCTACTCCTCGACAAATCCACAGATATACGCAATCGCAGCGGCGACGATCGTCAGTTACATGTTGCTCATCATCCTTTTCATCACACCAAGAACTTTTTTTGTCGGCGGTGCAGGAGGTGGAGGTGGCTTTCTTGGCTCAAGAGGCATGATCAGTGGGGCTTATGGGAGCAACTCCGTCATTGGGATCGGAAGCAGACCTTGGCTTCAGAAAATAGCAGCTCTGACCGTTGCAACGTCCTTGACGATTGTCACGGCCGACACGTTTAAGTTTGCCCACCAACAATACGACGCAGGGTACCAAGACGCAACAGAGTTGACCATCAGAGTCATCAATGGAGTGGAAGTCCGCGTTGCGAGGACAATTTCGGAGACCTGCCTCTGGCTTGCGCAGGCGCAGACACTCATACGACTTTTTCCACGGCATAAAGAGAAGCTTCTCATCAAGTGGTGTGCTTTCGCCCTCATCATTATGGAGCTCATCTTTACTATCCTCAACCAATTCGTTGTCGACAGTACAAGGGACCGTTCTCAGTCATTCACGGATGCTGTCCCAGCTATGAACTATCTCTTCGCGCTTGCCCTAAACCTCTGCTATGGAACATTTGTTATCTACTTCGCCTTACAGAAACGGCGTTTCGCTTTCTTTCATCCTCAGATGCGCAATATGCCCCTGGTCGCTTTACTGTCTCTCGCAGCCGTGCTAATCCCGGTGGTGTTCTTCGTGCTCGATCTTTCAAAACCTAATCTTTCGGGATGGGGGAGCTATGTTCGATGGGTCGGCGCCGCGGCAGCGAGTGTGGTGGTATGGGAGTGGGTCGAGAGAATAGAAGCTTTGGAGAGGGAGGAGAAAAAAGATGGCATTCTTGGTCGCGAGATCTTCGATGGTGACGAGATGCTTGACGCTACTCCATCGTCGGATCCCACTTGGCCAAGCCAGAGAAAGAGGGCTAGTAGAAGCGGTAAACGCAGCGCAAGTTCTGGCGCCAGTAGGAGCACTGGCTGGCATGAAATGACCACCAGAGTAAGACATATAGGTCGATCACAGCAGCGGCAAGATGGAGACTCCCGTCGCAACTCTAACGCCAGCAACGTTCAAGAGAGACATGATGTAGTTGCGAAACAGCAATGTCACCCTGCGAGACCGCTTCCAGTGGCGTCGCCAGTAAGCATAGCGGATACTACCAGCGCTAGAAGCACCGTCTACGTTGTACGGTACCACCCCACCAGCGAGCCCACTCCGCCGATACAAGAGGGCATCGAGACAAGTTCGGACGACAGAGATGACCCACGGCAGCTCAGTGGGCAACCTATTGGGTTCCCGGAATTGGACGCTGAACATGTAGAAGTCACTTCGAGTCAAAGATTTCTCATTAATGGACTCCAGTGGCTGCCAAATCCTTTCAGACGCCAGCGTACCACACCGCCTCCAGAGGTTGTCCGGGCTCTTGCAGTACAATCCACACAGCCTGGGCCCTCCATCACGAATTACGCGCACCAGAGCAGCTTGCTTGAGCGATTGCATCTAAAGAAGGGCCCAAAAGCACCAAAAATCCAAAGGCCTGCAATCGTCATCCCTGCCCCCACTCGTGGACCGGGCTCAATAGATCATGATTCAGACAGCCTCGAGAGTGGTGACGAGAGTGAGGGGTCCACGGCACGAAGGAGATCCACTTCGACGTGCACATCAACAAACAGAGATACTGATCTACCCCCGGATGCCGTTTTGAATGCAATCAACATACCTCAACATACCCAAACATAGCAATGCAATCTCTCCTCTTAGCGAGTCCCGTCCTCCGCTTTTCGCTGAGGCTGGCGGGCCCTTGCCATTGGGAGTACCGCACGACCCGATGACGAACCATCGACTCCAAATTACATGAATTCGCTCAGAGCTGGGACGCCTCGGCAAATCAATGCTGGGATTGAGCATCCAGATGTTTCTACGATCGTTCATGATAAATGATCATGACCCTGTTGCACATGAGCATATGACTGACGACTGGGATGTCCTATCCAATTACACCTCGTTACGAACAATATTAGATGGAATAATTGTCTTCACACAAGCGTGGCGCTGGAGTTTGTAACAGTGTTGGGATACCCACTTGAATTTATAGAAGGAAAGGGGCTCCCAAGGGAGATATATCAACCATGGGAAAAGAGGGGGATTAATCATGTTGTATTACTGTTTAATACTATGATATGCTTGACTAGTGTCCCAATATTAATGACTTGCTATCTACATGCTTTGGAGAGTACAAACATGAGTGATGGCAGGTCTTGGAAAGCAAACAGGATAGAACCCGGACGTGACTTCGTCAATCAGACTTGTAAGGATAAGGTAGAGTACTCTTCAGTACTTTCCTGAGGCTGCCACTTTGACCGGCCGGCCTAAATGACCACGATGCCGCCTAGCTGATAGTTGATGAAGTTAGCATAATCGGGCAGACAATTGCGACATGTAAAAGGATTGCCCCAGGACTTGAGGAGTAGAAATTGGTCGGGAACAGCAACATCTACAACCACAACAACAATAAGAAGAATGAGAACATGCGATGACAGCCCAGGTGGACCTCAAGCGCAGAAGAGTCCAAACCTATGTGACATATTCTCTGCGGTAGAATCCCATCTAATTCGTAATCGAAACCGTGACTCCACCAAACCAAATGGACTTTAACAAGTAATGACGACATCCAGCGAAAGCACCTCCTAAATTTGATGACGGGCAGGATAGTTCGGGTTGCTTCACCAATAGTCTGTCTAGTCCATATCAATTTCTGGTGGCTCGCCCAGAACCTCGGTTATCGCTGTCACAAGCCGACATGTATCACCACTGCGTCGATCGTCGCCCAGAACTGCGGACGCTGCTTGGTCACCCATAGACTCCGTGATGAATTGTGGTCCCCAGCCTCGATGCCGGAGCGCAAAACTATGCCTTGGGACCGCTGCTGCTAAGGTCGCCGCTAATGTTTCGCGGTAAGCTGACATGTACGGCAAGTCGTAAGCGATGAGAACATCCTTCATGCCGCGGTGGATTGACCATGCTAAGGGTGACCAAGCAAGGTTGGTCTAGACAGTTAGCAATCGCTGCTGCCTCTTTGTGTTGCAAATATATTGTCGAGCTTTCATCTTCGACCAAGGAAGGTACCTCGAGCTGCCGTATGCAGGGAGGTGCACCTGCGTTGTTGCCTAAGCGTTCATGGAACAAGAAGTCTACTTGATACGCCATTCGGCCACAGTGATTGTACAGACCAGACGCAGAGCTTTGCGCAGCGAATCTCTTGGGAAGTAATTTTAGCAACCACTTCCCGGGCCTCTTCCGGCCTGCAAAAGCCATTTTGGATGGCTTGCTGACAACATTAAAAACCGAGGTCAATGACACCGGCAGCCATCTCGATGCATTGGCGGGACCTTCTGGCAAAAGAGATAGGGAACGAATCCCTTCCGCCTTGAAATCTCTCGTAAGCTTGGAAGGTAATTGTACGACGCTCACCAAGGGGCCACTCTATCTGGTAATAGCCGTTCTAGCTCGCGTAGCAAAGGCGAAGCCCTGAGGGATCGTTCCAGCGGGATATTTCTCGACCTTGTGACAGGAGTACGAAGGCGATCAATGTCATTCTTGAAATGGCCATGCAAGCAGCCCCTTCGTGAAACCCAAGTGGCGACATATTTAGCCGCCTATGCCATGGAGCAGTGATTGGGGAATCACTTCCGGATAAGATTGATGGATGTTTAGCATCCTTGTCGCCGATGCTGATAGCTGAAAGTTTTCCTTCGTCAAACCGCACCTGAGACCAGTGAGGATGGACCACTGTTAAGAGAACTGTCCAAGAGACTCCTCCAGGCTTGCATCTGGAATTTCGATTTAGATGAACGGTGTCCACTCCTATCTGACTGATGTCGGCATCAAGAATGGGATCAGGCGGCGGTGGTTGGCGAGGCTGTGCCAGTTCTTAGATGCCCGAATTGTTCCCCAAGATGCCAGATGTTCTTCTCCACGCAGCCTGTAGAATGTATCCGATTGTGCTTTGAGGGTGCCAACTTGCGATATGATTGACGCTAAGCCGACAGCTGTGACCAGAGCGGGAACCCAAGCAGCGGTGAGGTTCGCAGCATCCATGTTTGGTCAATGTAGTCAGTTCAACATGTATATGTCGAAATCAGTCGTTGCTTCGAATCCCACATCCTTTACAGCAACAGATAGAGAGAGGAGAACATGGACCAGGCTACGAAAATATCATGTATGCCTTCAGCCTCACCGCCCTCGTCTGGCGTTTCATCAGGGGAAAACGAAAGAATGAGTGATCAGCTGCACCGTGTCCGCTATATCATGGTTAAAATTGCAGACTTACGACATGCAAGCTTATTTGGTAACACCTTCCATCTTTCATTCTCAAGTGAGAACATCTTGACTGAATATTCATGCTGGCTGATTACAACCGCGCTCACCAATACACCCAACCGCCCTCATCCTGCGAAGATAGCCTGTGTCGTACGACAAAAGGGCGACGCCCACTCAATCTAAATTCGATTGAGGGTGATGTCAACGAGGTCGGGGCGAATTTGTGCTTCTTGGCACATGTCTTGGCATTCTCGTATTCTCGAGTAACAACAACAAACTATATTGGTTAAGCATTTCTGCTTGCGAAGATGGTCGGTTCAACATTAGGAGTAATTGTATACGCGATTTGTGTCTCCGGATATGAAGACTGGGGAGACGGGATAGAACATTGAACTTTATTCTATGGGTCAATTGCACTTAGACTGATTAGAATATACTCGTAGATACGAGTACGAGTGTGATTTGCGGCTGATGATCCCGAAAGGTCCTTCGAGGCATGAAATGCGCAGAGCCCCCATCTTCTACCTGTCATTCTCACATTATATCCGCTCTGACTTCTGAACATCGAAACGGCCATCGTCATGCCGGACCCAAGCATGATGAGCCACACGTTTGTTAGCAGTTTGGGCGCCAATAAGCACGAAAACGGGGCTTCGGTTTTACCCCTGCCACTGAATCTGATAGCTCTCATAATTTCATACGTATGCATCACGTACGAGCAGGGTCATGATCCAGAAAGCTGACCATCCTCAAAGCTTGACCGCCCTGCAGACCTCGGCCGGACTTGTCGCACATGTCGCGTTTTCCATTATATCGGCCTCCCTCAACTCTACTCCAACGTCTCCTTAAGATCTTACGACTACATACGCTATTCGCGCCGTGATGGCCGGCCAGATGGCTGCGGCATGGCAAGCCCTTTCTCTATGGGCTTGAATGGGCTGGTGGCGAGGAATGTAGCTGGCTACGTGAAGCATTTCGAGGTCTGCGGAGAGTGGAAAGAACATGAACTGGAAGAACACGCAAAAGTTGGGAGGGTACCTGATGAGACCATGATGTTGAATTCGCTGGTGCGAGCAGCGGTGGAGAAGATGGCGGTACTAGACAGCTTCAGGTACTGCATATCTGTCTAGGTCTGGAGCCAATTCGCTGACTTGCATTCTAGCTGGGCGTTGAACGTCAAGATGTTGCCGGTTATATGGCACGGACTTGCACAGCGGAATTCAATAACGAAACTCACGGTCAGATTCCCTTCAAGTCGACATCCTCGACCACTCACCCTCGTGCCCCCAATGCCGAACTTGCAAGACTTGAAGGTCACCGACATAGACCCACTTTGCTACCCAGATGACATATCCCTACTTCTGCTCGGCTCTAAAAACCTTCGACATTTGAAGCTTCATTGGAGTCCTCGCATGCGGGAAGCTCGGGAACTTAGTACGCAGGAATCCGCCTACTTTGGAAGATGTGCTGCTGCAAGATACTCAATATCCCTGCAAACCCTTGCTGTACAGAATCTATACACGTATCATGACATCTCCAACTGCGACTTATTTGATCACTCCTTTGTGGAAGAAGTAACGTTGCTCAACAGCACTGGTGGACTTGGTGATGATGCCGGCACCGCCTTCGTGGACCAGCACAATTGGCGAAAGACCGAAGAAAACGTGCCGTCAAACCTCAAAATGCTCCGTATTGATAAAGTCTCCCGTCAACAATGCTCATTCATCGAGAGCATCAATGGACTAGAAAAGCTATACCTCATCGGTCCACAGCCTTCCCCAGGACGCAGAGTCAAAGGCACCACGCCAAATTGTGGAAAATCTCTGCCGGATTCACCCGCCTCCAGCCACTCTTCTCCCAGCAGCACCGACAACTCCAACATCATGACCTTAAAAGAAGACTACATCGAAGCCATCACGAAGAGCCATGGCCACACTCTCAAGCACCTCCTCCTCCTCCCGCAATGGCGCCTCACAGATGACGACATAGCCCTCATAGTGCGCCAGTGCCCAAATCTCGAACAACTAGGCATCGGTGCCGAATACTCCAGCTTCAAACAGCTCAGGCTCCTCGTGCCTTTTTTAAACAACCTCACAGCAATAAGGATCCTGAGTAGCCCAGATGATACAAGCTTTGTGAACAAGATGCGTGAAATGGATGATAGAGGGATGCACGAGAAAACGCTGTCAGAGGAGACCGCAAAGTGGAACTTGAGTACGCTGCAGTACATGGAATTGGGTGGGGAAGATTTGATTTTTGAAGTCGGCAAGAGGGAGGGGGGGAAGGCCGGATGGAAAAAGGTCGTGAAGAAGAAAGCGTGGGAGGAGGTGAGGGATATTGCTATTTGGGCTTTGGATTCTCATGACTTATGAAGTGGACTGGAGAGATCCGAGTCTGTATTGGAGGTACATAGAGAGGATGAAGCGTTTCTAGGGGGCGCCGCTTGTATGATACCATACCATTCAAACTAGCGGCCTGCTTCTTCACTCAAGCACTCTCCTTTCTCGCTTCGCTCCTCCATCGCTGGCACTACGACACTCTTCGCTCCAGCATGCGATACCGAACTCCGAACTCTCTCCTTCTCTGACGCCAAACTCCCGCTCTTCTGTCCCAACGCACCGTCTACAGCAGACCGTCTAACCACCTGTGTTTGCTGACTCCACTGGCAATATATCTATCATCGTCTACGGAGCACTGCCATTCCTCAACGCGGTTTGAATGCGTTTATCATCAGCCCGCTCTATGCATATGGCCTCGCGGGTGGAGAAAAAATTTCGTGCAATAACACATGAAGCTGCAAAATGTCCGATATGAAGAAAGGCTTTTCAAGAAAATTGCGGGAAAGTTTGATCCGGATACTCCTTACCCCCAGGGATGTCCGATCCCCGAGCCCTCAAGTTGAGTAAATCATCAACAATGGCTGTTACAATGAGACAGCTATCCCGTGGCTTCTTTGAACCTGGTTGGTCGAAAGGATCTGAAGCGTTTATGATACTCCCAACGAAAAGCTCTCCATTGGAAGTCCTGCCGCTTACAAGCTAACCACCACTCGTCGTTCAGTTCAGAGCACTCCACAATCCCTTCGTCACCGCCACCCGATCTCTAACCTTCACCTTTCCCGAACCCCCGGAACGACCTACGCTTTCACCTCCTGCGCCTGGACATTCGTTTCACTCCCGCCCACCTCCCCCTCCTGATGCTCAAACTGCGCCATCTTCTTCTATATCCACCTCCCCATGCTCGAGCACAACATCGTCTTACCTACCTCAAATTCAGTAAACGAGATCTGTTATCCGCGAGGTGCTATCGTCAGCGATTGGTGCGGCTCGACTACGTTCTTTCCACCGACGAAGATCTACACAAACAGCGACTTCATAGAACTTTCTACGCGTGTTTAAAAAGGTCCGGAGCCATATAAGATCCTATGGAGTAACGCGATTATCGTACAATTTTAGATCTCGGACGATTTAGGGGTTCATCAGGCCGCAGTTCCCGCAAACATCATTAACGACTCCATACTTTCGTGGCCAATAGTTCAGACCGGTAGCGTAGCCTTGCTCGATGACCACCGAACCCTCTGTTGCCCTACATATATCGTCACCAGCGTCTTTGGTTCCGTGAGGACGAGCCAGTTGCTAGCGCAAGATGGGTGATGATTTAATTCCCATAGATCCTCTCTAGACAGCGTTTTCGCAAACTTTTTGCAGAAGACCAACAACTCTGGATGACTTTTTCACGAAGGCTCTGAGGCGAAAAACAATAAAATCTTCCTCTCTTTCGGACTTGGGAATTATGACGCTAGCCATCCCCTATGAATGGACAATTTTCAGACGAACTTTGAGCCTGGGGGGTGCTTCGGAAATCAGCCGTCGATGAGGTCAACCAGTTCCAAGCGAGCATTTCTTCAAAAACAACAAAAGTAACCATCATAGAGATCTACAACTATAGATTTGCCAGGAAACGATCAACTTCCCGATCACACACGAGCTTCGGCAGCAAGATTCGTAATATGATTTGACTGGTGCGCATCACATGACGTGCTCCAGACCGCGTGAGGTACCCACCTACTACTCCAACAAATCATCGACGGTGGCCTCGAGACGATGCGAATAGAAAGTGCTCGATGGTGGGCACTTGTGGAGAAAAAGAAAAAAGGTAGAAATAACTCCGAGGTGGAGAAATTATGCGGGGCCTTCCTATTTACCACTGTCCTTACTTGAAAGATTTCCATGCAGTCATCATGATCACCGACTGATGCAACGCTGCAAGGTAAGTCAGACGGCTCCGTGTGCTGCAGAAATGGAACTACCCGCCCGGTCAAGTGACAGAGTCGTGCATAAAAGCGGGCTGGCCAAATGGGGATAAACACATCTTTTCGAACAACCGGGCTAGGTCGTAAATTTTTTTAAAATGTAAATGTAGAACAGACAATCGTTAAACAAGTAATGAGTGCTCTTGCGGTTTCGTCAAAAGTTAGTGTTTTATCAAATGCTGATAGGGGTGGCGTTGCGCTCACAAATGATTGATTTAATTTGGAGAGGGGCGGGGGTCAATACCTTCGCATTCAGTGTCCCAATATTCGAGTACACCGTAACATTCAAACGAGATCATCCCGGATTGCCTCTGCACTGTGTTTCTAGCCATAACATAACTCAGTTCTGTCTCTCCCATCTAAGCGAGCGACTTCGAGGCTCCAGCATTTGTAGCGTGATAGCTGAGATAGCCGAATCATCAACCATACGCACCAGCGCCCTCTTCGCATCCGCTTCGCCTTCTCCGTTCTTGACTACCGGCCTCACGCGGTATTGCCGGAATAGGCTCGCCAGAACGGCTACAAATTCTACCTGAGAGAATTTTCGGCCGACGCATTCTCGTGGACCATCTGCCCAGGGGATGAAAGTTCCGGCTTCGGGCTCAATGAAAGTTTCCTCTGCCATCGGCAATGTATGATTACCGTGGCTGCTGAATGTGGGAGAAGAAGCTCTGAGCCAGCGACTCGGACGCCAGTCGAGGGCGTCCGAACCCCAAGTTTGAGGATCAGTGTGGAGAGCTTGTACGTTGATGTTGATCGCCGTACTTGAAGGAAGTATATACGTTTTGTCGCCCAGAGCGAGGCTTTGGGAATGAAAACCGGTTGACTTCGGGATGAAGACTATGGAGCCATACAGACGTAGAGTCTCGTACTGACTTTACGTCAGTGGATATACATGGCTCGGAATCAGGAAGTGGGGAGGGAACTGGGCCATACCATCACAGCAAGGCATCGTTCTAAATTAGGGAAGCTTTCCTCGTACTTCCAACCTCCTGAGCCACCAGAATTCCCTAAGACATGATGGACCTCTTCTATGAGCCAAGCTTGGCATTCAGGGTTCGCAGCCAGCAGCACGAGCGAAGTAGCCATAGTGTTTGCGGTCGTTTCATGCCCCGCAAGATTGAAAGCAAAGATATTGCCAAAGATTTCCTCGTCAGTGAGGCCTAGACGGGTGGAGTCGTTTATATCACTAGACTTTTGGGCCTCCTCTGAGGCTCGCACAAGTGAGCCCATTAAATTCCCAGTCCCATGTTCACGTTTTGCCGCCATGTTGCGTTCATGCGTCAGCATCTCTTCCATATATTTCTGGAACTCCTGGGTCGCGACACCGAGACTCCTCAGTCTCTTTGGAAGAAAAGACAGGGTCAGAACCTTCTTTGGAAATATGGCGAAAGTTATAATGTTGCGTAGACACAGAGAAAGAGCATCCCGATAGGTCATGCTATGCCCGTCAGACAAGTCGCGGACCCCATGGTGGAAAGAATAAGAGAGACCGAATCCAACGCAGGTCAGTACGTGTAGTGCTAGCGTTGCGGTGTCTGCCACGGTTTCCCTTGTGCCTTCTGCTCCTTGCTCTGCCCAAAATTGGGCCATGTCATGTGCTTGCCTCAGAGCTTCCTTCCATACCAGCGAGCTTGTTCTCTCGTTGAAGTTTGGAGCCGTAAGCCGCCTTTGACGCTGCCAGTCTTCGCCCTCGACCTACAGTCACCATTAGCTATGGACACAGTTACATCAAACTTCAAAGTTTGAGTTACAGTGTTCAAATTGCGACCAAAGACATTGAGCTGTTCTGTATCTCCATCAGTAGGTAAAATCACGACTACAACTTTGATTGGTTCACCTACCATACATGACAGCTGGCTTGATGAATTCTTTCCGGCGCGAGAGAATGGTGTGCGTGGCTTGAGGATCTGCGACGCTGACTTCGTTTCCACTAGGCGTAACAACAATGAACACAGGGCCAAGCTCATCGTGTAAAGCATGCTTGTCATGAAAAGTCCAGCCCATGTATGTGCATCTAGCCCATTTCCCAAGGCCGAAGGGTAGATGCTTCAACAAGAGTACGAAGGGAAATGTTCTGTAAGTCAGTATCCATAGCGGATTCAAAGGTGATACAGGACTGATGATGACGGGTAAGGCAATCTTACGCGCCGTGTTGTAGGTTGAAATGACAGAGAAGAAAGTCAAAGACAAGAAGGCGAGGATGACGCTGGCAAGCACAAAGGTCAAGTTCATAGTGCGTGTCGGATTGGAATGGCGGAGTGAGATACTTTGTGGAGGAAGGCGAATAGTGGGGTCACGATTACTCAGAGCGAGAGGGTCGGAATGCTACGTGTTTGAGCTAGAAGTTGTCAGGGTAGTTGTAGCAACGACTGATGGAGGCGACTTAATGCCAATGCAATATTGATGAGGCTGAGGTAAGGTAGGCATCAGTTCGCGGCGCATAAAGCTGGCGGAAGTTGTACAAGTACAAAGAGAAGACGACGTCAATATTATGCAGCTGAGTCGTCTCAAGCCTAAAGTACCTTATCCTAAAATTCTATTATATCAGCATCATGGTCGATTCCTTTTCATCATGTCTTATGTCTTACTTCTTCATGACATTCTCTATCCGCATCGGAAGATGGTAAATCCGCTCTCCTACAGAGTCATCATCATCGTTTGACAATCTTTGCAGGATATGGGATGCACCTGCATTAATGATTGAATTCTAGTCTACCCTAAAACGCAATCAGGCGTCTGCAGCGTTCCATCCGCTGTGCTGCATCTCCACGTTACTCCTACTGTAGATCTCCGTGTCGGTGCCGATCATGTCCACCTCTTGACTGTTGTATCAAATGCCTCACTAAAGTACTTACAGCCTCTGAAATCAATGAGGCCTACACCAGCCTTTCTTCTTCTTCTTCTTCTTCCCCTTCTTCTAGAGAGCTCTATGGCACGCGTAGAGAAAGACGGGCTGGGACTGCTCTCACTTAAGGTTTCACCTCACTCGTTGCATACAAAGCTATGCCATAACTTGGATGGAGGGTGATGGTGGTGAGAGTACTTCTCGCACGAGGCTGAGTACTATCCCATTTGCAGTCTGCAAAGTGACGTTACGGGCCAGGTACCCCAACATATAATGTTACGTCCCACAAGCATTATCATCCTCTTCACTATTTTTACTGTTATCCCTCGCAACATTAACCCTTGTCTCTATCCCAGGAATCAGCTACAAATCTTCACAAGCTATACAAGTGCTTGATAGCCAGAATGTCCAGCAATTCTTCGCAGCCTAGCAAGCCTCCCAAGATCAGCCAAGAAGCCTTCCAGGTCAGGTTTTATTTGAACCCTCAAAGCCTTTCAACAAAGCTCATACGATAACAGGTTTCAGCTGGCTTTCTCCTTGGCATAGCAGTGATGGTAGCAGGAGGCCGTATATTGGCTCGTTTCTACAAATCACACGGTGTCACCGTTGACGATGGCTTCTTTTTCCTCGCGATTACCACTTTTATCTCTGGGACTATTGTGCTTTACTTAGGTTTACCTTACATCTATTTGCAGGAGAATGTAGAGGCTGGCCTACGCGCTACCCCGGCAGACCTTGTTTCCCAACTCATTCATAGCGAGAAATTACAAGATACGGCCACGACGTTGTTGGGAACTACGATCATTAGTGTGAAGGTTTCCTTTTTGTTCTTTTTCCGGGACCTCTTGAGACAACAGAAGAAAATGTTAGTTTGGTGGTGGTGTATTCTTGTCTTCCTCATCCCTACCGCGCCCATCCTTATGTTCTCCAATCTCATCTCTTGTTCATACTTCGATGAAAGAATTGGTTAGTTTTGCATCCAACCAGGGTTCCGAATTTTCTATATTGATAAGATCTCTGCTTAGTCGAGTGCGTGACTCCCGTGGCTCTTGCTAGGCAGAACGGGACTCTCAGAGCAACAGCGACCTTGGACATTGTCTCGGATGCCTTACGTAGGTCTCACCCTTCGCAATCCGCATTGCCCTGCATACTAAAAGCAGCAGTCATATCCATCCCGGTGATACTACTCTGGAATGTCAATATAAACCTCCGTCGGAAGCTGGCACTTTGGGGGATCCTATGCCTCAGTATCTTCACGGCCATCACGGCGGTAATCAAAGTCGCTGGAGGAAACATCAGCCATGACCAAGTTGACTCCGCGTGGGCGATATTTTGGCTTCAAGCTGAAGCCGCTGTCGCAATCATCGTGGTCTCTATCACTGCATTCCGCGCACTTTTCGTTGCCCACCGAACATCGAAACAGCAATCGCCGGCTCATCATGCCTCTACCTCCCGATCTATCTGGAGCAAAATTGTGAGACGCGATGACGATCTGCCCGCGGCCCTGGCACCAACGTTCACTGGCGCTCGGACGTATATACGTTATTCTCCGTATGGCTCGGGTAGCTTCAAAGGATCTCGAGATATGGAATTGCCATTGCAGGGACCAGGGATTCGTGTCACGCATGATATCTCATCGGACAAGATAAGTTGCACTAGAATGTAGGACTCAATCGACGCTGACGTTTCTCCAGACTAACCAGCATGGAGCTCCGAAACCCTCTGCAGAGTCTTTCGTGTGAGAAACATTGGGCCTTAGCTAGGAGGCTGAGACCCAGGCCAGGTGTTTAAGATTCCAATCTACGCTGGGTATTATCACCATCGACTGTGTTTAGATCTACAGATCACAAAGAAGAAACCGAATTCTTGGGCCATCTTGCTGTGCCAGTCCTATCTAGGAATACTATCCAAACGTGTGAAATCCTTGGGGGAGTCGTATTCTTCTTAGGATATGATTAGCTGTTCGAAGACCATCATACCCCACGCTTTACATATAATTATAAAGGATCGTGACATAACTCTGGATATAATGCAATCAGTGATAGTGAGTCTGTGACTATTCATTTGCATTGGGAGAACCTAACCTACAAGGAGAAAATCATAAAGTCACTGGAAAGAGGATGAAAGCCGAGGCTTTTTTTCTGGGACCGTAAGGATACAGCAGTGCACGAGATTTTTGCTACAAAGAACTCAAGAGGTGTCCCATCGCAAGTCTAGACTAACTATGCTTCTCCAGCACATTTTCAAGCGGCACCCCTCGAGACATCTCAATTCGCTGGCATTTTCCCCTCGTACTCACTGCATCTTCTCTGTGCTTTCTGGTACTCACTCCGCACTATTGGCAATAGCCTTGAAGTCGTACCTTCGCCCGTTTGGTGGAACCCTCATCTTTTGTCTATCAAGCCAAGTAAGTTTCTTTATAGTCAGCCTTGGTGCTTCCTCCTTTCCTCTTCCTTCGTGCGGAGCTCCACAACGAGGGTAGTGAATGGTAACAAATTTTGGTTCCGGCTGCGTGATAGAAATCTGTCAGTGTCTGTACATAAGATCTGACCACAGTAGGCTCTGCCGGATTAGATTGTCTTCACCTGTGAATCACTGTCATATCATTCTGAAGCTAGCGACTAAGCAAAGACTCTGAAATTGCCCACTCCTTCTTTTTCCTTGGACGACTAAGCAGCTTCTTCAAATGACTGCCCCTTCCACTCCCCCAACGACTAAGCGAACGACTAAGCAACCCTCCCATTTCAAAAATTTATTCTTCAGTCACCATGGCACAACACAAATCAACATCCCTCATCATCAACTTCCATCAGCCACCCCTTCCACCCACACTCCTGTCTGTACAGCTTTCATCCTCATCTACATCCTCATCCGCGCTACCTCACAACAAGTAACCAACCCACTCACTCGCCACGATGGAGTCCAGCGAAACCCACAAGTCGTCGCAAGAGCCGCGAAAAGTGCTGCGGACACCAAGAAAGCTCCCTGTGACAGACAGCAAGGGCGTCTTGAAGTAAGTCAATCGTCAGAGAGAAGATACCGTCGACGACGACACTCTGACGGTGCCCTAGGCAAGCAATCTTCGCTCGCGGAGGGGAGAAGTTGCAAGAGGAGATAGAGCTACAGGAAGAACAGCAGCGACGGGACGACGAGCAACGTGCGTTTAGCGAGATGCTAGCGCGCAATAACGAAGATTAGGAGGCAGGGAGGAGACGAGAAGGAAAAGGACGAAAGAGGGAACATATGACTGGGTAAGATGAACCGTGGCAGAAGCATTGCGGGAATGGTAGACTGACGGTGCACTGTCGTTCAGCACTCCCCATATCCTTCGAGCCCGGATCTTCAAACGGACCACACAGCCTCCGGCAGCTCTTAGCGTTCTGATTCCATCCAAGGTTCAGAACTGGCACCGGAAAACTTGCTGATACTCGGGAGCTCGTATCTGGTGTATACCCACCTACTTCGGCATTGGGGAGTCACCGCTCAAACTATTCTCAAGCAATCGTCGCCTCCTGCGGGTCTGGAATCTGGGTCCGGGTCATACGGTATCTGGAAGTATTCAGCATTCCACATCTCCAAGACCGAGACGCGGCATTGGATGTCTGCCGATCCCTGTACAGGAGATCGTATTGGGCGAATATCGAATCGGGTGTGGGACTCAGCGTTAAACCTCTTTCCAGCACTTGTCACCTCCTCCGAGTCCGGGATTCCAGGAAAGATCACACGGCGTCCGGAAGTACTTAGCATACTGTCTTTCTCCAAGATTGGGACTGGGCACTGGAAGCCTATCATTCCCTGTTAGGGAAATTGTCTTCGCAGGCTTCTTCTTTCCATAGAGAGTTATAAAGTTTGATCTTATCGAAGTCTTTTTTAGCCAGAACACAACCAAGACTTCTGAGAGGGATCTCTGCAGTCCTCAAGCCTTCCAATGAGATCTATCTTTTGGGCTTCAACTATGACTCCTGCACCCACATTAGCTTCAGAACTACCAGTGGATGGAAAGCGGAGCTCCAGGCACATTTTCCCACCCTTACCGTCCGCTATCCCGTTGGGAGCAGGTTCAATGGGAATGGCCGCCAACGCAGTCGAACATTGGGCACTAGTATACTCGATCTCCTTGGCTTCATTCCGGATCTGCCCGATGAGCTGTCTACATTGAAAATGTTTATCTCATTCATTTACCTGAACACGAGTTATTCGCTCCGTGTATTGGGAAGAAAAGTGAAAGCGCAACAATGCCGACGGAGCGGCACGAGGAATACGGGACATTCGACCCCATCGTGGTCAAGAAGACAATAACCCTGTCGACGACAGCGAAGCTCTGGCGGAGCTCGCTTTTGATGATAGCGTGGCCTTCACTCGCATGTCCTCAACGTCTTTGGTCGCTTCATCGCGGACGAGGCTTAGAAGTTCGAACTTACCAAGACTCTAGCGTTCAAGCGCGTTGCTGAGTTGAACGCTGAAGCTAAGGACCTTCGCACTACCACCGCCGTTCTCAACAAGCCAGACAATCTCGTTGGCGTGCTCCCCTTTCTGTGGAAGGACCGTTTCGACTCGCATCAACAGGAACCATCCAGAAGACCGCTATGTGTCTGCCGGTCCATGCCTCAGTGTCGGGAAAGCCCTTGAGCCAGTGGATTCGACGACCACCGTTTACCACTATGGCCCAACCACAAGCCGAGAGTCGAATCCAATCTCCAGGTCCTACCAAGGAAAACTCTCATACAGCCTTCGAGCACAACGCCACGCTAACCCAGAGAAGGGAGAAAAGAAGCTCCTCGCTCAACAGAACACTGACAATGGCTGGACGATTACCAGAAACGACCACCGTACTCTACCAGTACATTGCCCCAGCGGCTCCTTTATGCTTGCATTCTCAAGAGCCAGTAGTCGACTTCGACGAGCGTCCAGAAGCACTGGCTTTATTCGCGTTTTCTCCAAGGTTGGAAATCGCCAATGGAAACCCGTCCCTATCTTGCGCAACGAGATCATCCCAGCTCTCGCAGACGAAATGAGAGCCCGATCGACAACCGCACATCTTTCGTCCAGAAACGTGGCAACCACAATCGCAAGCAGGGAGCGCTCTTCCACGATGCCTATCTACCTCGTCCACGGTTCAAGATCGTGATCGCCTCAGGCTCGGTACTGGAAATGGCGAAGGAGACTTCGGTTCTGGGAAGATGGAGGGCAGGAGGGCCGATCGATGTCCACCGGTTGCGTACTACGCCCGTCGGCGTCTCTTTGCTCCCCAGACGGTGCGGTAGCAGATCTCGGGGATTTCCATCGACTGAACACCGCCAGACCTTTTCGAAACCAGGGAAATCAGACCACCAAGTCCGTGAATGCTGTGTCGGATGATTGGGATACTGTACAAAGTGTACTCACCGAACTCACTGCGACTGACTTGGGGATAGAGCTGCTAATAAGAGCTCTTGGGAAGGGCGAAGAGATTTGTTGACGACATGAGTATTCAGCAGCTTACCCATCTTCTGGTCTTGCCAGCTGCGTTTCCAGTCCAGTGATCAATGGTGACCAAAGCATTCAACGAGAATTGATATCGCCCGGCCATGAGGAATGGTGTGCTGATTATTCCTCCAAATGCCATCCCAACGCCTCGTTACCGTCCTCCCGAAGTCGGTGTTGTAATCAAGAACACTTCTCCATTGGTCCCCCGTTCTGGAACTAACCACAAAGAACCTCGTCGTCAATGACCTCGTCTCCCCAACGAAAGGCGGCCCATGGCCCGCCCAAACACGACCGGGCTTCCCATCGAAAACAACCCCACCTTGTGACCACCTCCCCCATTCTCGATCATCAACAACCTTCTATCGACATCACCCGAGTCAAGTCCACAACCCTAGACATACGAACCCCTGAATCCGCCTAAGATACCACCCACTCATTGCTGCGACCTGAGCCTCCGAGGAAGCAAGCGCGATAGATCATCGCCGTGGCCAGGTCCATCTCACAACACTCGCAAGAGGGACGGTTCGAAAATCCCCCAACTCCCAACTCTCCAAACGAGGAGCGACGTGCCCGCCAACGGATACCTAAGCCCCCTACACCATCAATCCGCGCACATACGAAATCCCCCACAGCCGCCCAAACCCCGATCAATCCGGTCTTCGAATCCGCCCGTCTAAAACAGCTGCAGCGATCTCTGCCCGCTTTCCGTCGCGGCCTTTGCCACCCTCCACCTCGAGAATGGATACCTCGAGCGTGTCAAAGGGAGGCCGGGGGAATCCCATCGTCTGCGCTCGCTCAACCGGCGATCCAAGAAAGCAAGAGAGAGACCAGGCTCCCAAGCAGCCGACTTCGCGTCTCTGGATACTCAGTTGTGGAACGACGCGGTGGGCAAAGACATCCGGACCACAGTTAACGAGACGCGAGGGGAGGAATGCTCCAATCCGACACGCACGTATGTAAAGCAGAGGAAGGACATTGCCGACGACGATCCGGCCCAGGTCGGAATTGCCGTGAGATGACCACGACTCCGAAGCCATCTGCACCATATCGGCAAAAGAGGGGTCTGAGCGAGCATGGGTAGAGCGGTCCGCCCGCCCCAAGGTCGAAGTGAGCGGAACCGAATTCGTCCCATGACGGAGGACACTGTACCGAAATAACCATTCACCGGAGCGTTTCCGGCGGGACTCACGCTCGAGTTCGAGACCGTGCTTCCAGGCAACCGTGACCGGCGAGGATCCCATCAGCTTCCCGAGGACAACGACGGATGCGCTCTTCTGGATTTGACGGACATCAATGGCGGCGATGTCGGGGAAGTTTATTGGGATCACTGTGTGTTTTGAATAAAGGCTCTTAGCACGAGCCCAGGTTGGTTTCGGGGTTGCGCGGAAAGGGGGAGGGCGGAGTGGGAGTGATACAGATGTGCAGGCGCAGGAGGTGAAAGCGGAGGGTTGCGTCAGTGAGATTGTGTCACAGCTGGCCATCTATCAAGTAGAACGGCTTTCTGCCCAACATGTACACATTGCCGATGGCTTCTGTTCCAAGCACCCAAGGCTATCTAGGGTTTTGCTGCCGTGTCATCATGAAGCCTGACCTCAACGCAGTACGCCAGATCGTTACTTACAGCCAAGCATTACGGTTGTCCTTCCCCTTGACCTACTAAGCCAGCTCCCACATAGCCAAACCCCCAAAGCTCATCCCCACCCTTCCCTTCTTCAACCTGTACTCCTCCACACTCAGACCCCTGCCACTCTGGCCATTCAGCGTCTCCACCGTATAGGCACTGACCCTCTGCCCCGGCGCTCCCAGCTTCTGCGGCACAACGTCCGCCCACCAAAACATCCCGTTAGTGTCAAAGGGAACAAAGTCATCCTCTCTCCCATCAATACCGTGGATCGCTAGGATGAAGACATATGGTTTCCCTGCGCCGTTGCGTACGGGATCCCAATGTTCACAGATGCGCGAAAACTGGAAGCGGACAGGTGCGGAGGGTCGGACAGGTAGTTTGAGATATTTTGGTAGGAAGGTTGTTTCGCTAATGCCCTCTTTCTCCGCAACGCCGGAGTAGACCTGCAGCAACGCTCCACCCGTATCACCAATTATGTATTCTTCCCAACTCACTCTCCTACCACCCGAGCGGAAGAATTGCGATTTGTTGGTGGGGAAGTGCCGTAGCCCGAACTCATCATTCGACATCGTGAAAAAGCGCGGCGAGAAATGCTTGTTATAAGGCTGGCCCTTCCCATTGACGTTACCCGCACCCCAACAGCAGTCGATGAGCTTCCACTCTCCGTTATCGATCTTAACAGCATTCCAGGCATGCGTAGAGTATTCCGCGGGTAATGGTGCGCCCGGAGGTAGGGCAGAGAAACCGAATCCTTTGCCGTGGCCGCCGACGACGACAGATTCGAGACCAGCCGTTGTAGCTATGGCAGTAAAGAGGCCAGCATAGCCTTCGCAGACGGCAAGCCCACTCATGAGGGTCGAAGCAGGGGTGGACGGTTGGACACGATTGTTGAAGAAGGCTTCGACATCGTAGGATATATTATGGTGGAGCCAAGTGAAGATTGCGCGGGCTTGGTCTGTAGGAGACGAGAAGGGAGCGGTGAGTTGGGTGGCTATCCAATCGAGAGAGGGAACGGATTCGCGGGGGAACTTGGCAGCGTGGGCGTCTGGGGCGGAGAGATCGCGGCAGAGGAGGCAGGAGGGTGCGGAAGTAGGTATTTGGGGCTGAGCCTTGGGATTTGTGGAATGGAGTTCTGTGATATCGGGGCGAGATGTGAGAGGAACAGGCGGTGGTGCTCCGGGATTAGCCGGCCCCGGACCTGTTGCTCTGCCGTTGGCTCCATCGGTTGGTGCTTGGGCATGGGGCCTGTTCATACCATAGGAAAGAGCAGACCTGGCCGGCATAGGAGGTGGTCGCTCTGGCGAAACTCGCGTGGTAGCCGTGCCCGACGCTGGCCGTGCGGGTCTTGGAGGAAGCGATGGCGTATTCGGGGGAGGCTTTATCTCCACAGTTGCGACGCTGGATGTCGACTTAGTGCCCACCAATGGCATCCTAGCCCTCTCCACATCCTTGTACCCTGGGAAGGCCTTTGACTTCTCAATATCCTGATATCTTTTCTCCACATCATCCTTTGTCCGCTTGGGGGGCAACGGTGGTAAAGTCGAAGGATCGAAGACCGGTGCTTTGACTCGGCTTCCGTCCATAGAAGGTGTCCTCGAATGCACAGTCTTGGCCGTTCCGTTGGACAGAGCAGACATTGTGGAGATGTTTGAGAAGGTCGAAGAGATTGACTCATTTGAGGCCTTCCTGCTCAGTTGCAAGTTCTCAGATGGTCTCCTGGGTGGCAGTGCAGGTGAAGGTTGTGTAGACATTTTCCTCTCGGGTAACCTTGGAGGAGGCGCCGGTACAGGCTTTGCAGGCTGCGAGACCCTTTGACCTGTTCGAACGATATTCGTAGGGGGTGGTAGTACGCCGTGTCTTCTTGGCCCGATGGGCTCGTTGCCAATGCCATTGCTCGACAGCGCGTTGGATGCTGAAGTTTGAGGCACGCTTATAGATTGACTTCTTTGCTCTATTTGAGGTCTCGTCTGAGTATACTCTGGCGGAATGTCGTCTTTTGAAGCATAGGCGGTGATTGGTGCCCTGCCAACTTGACCCAGGTTCAGAGCGGCAATGCGGGCCTGGATAGAGTTTGTTTGGCTCTGTTCAGCCATTGTGTGTGAGTGTAACATAGGATCAAGTATGCTTGAAAAGAATGAAGTCTGCTCTGGTTAAGTAACGAAGGGGAAGGAGTGGATGGGTTGGGGAGAGACATGTCTTGGCAGTATGGTACTTTCCAGAGCTTAGCGACAGTGGAGGCTGTGCTACAGCTTGATATTCCTTCGTGCATATTGATAGCCGCTAATTGCCTTGTCACCATCATGGGAACTTGGAGGTATTGTAGTATATTGATATGAGACAGCGTATTACTACTGTGTGAGTGAGAGAATAAACGTTGCCCCGTTCCAAGCTTTGAGATCCTCATTGGCCCTTACACTAAAAGTTGGCTCACAACCAAAGCTTTCGCCTATACTACAACAGTACAACATTGTTCTAAGGTACCTACCTATACATTTCCAAGACTTAGAATAACATAAATAGACGCGGCACTCCTGCGGGTTATATTGGTTTCTGGTACATAATCTCATTTCTGAAAAACAGCATCATACATATTGTCGAAATGAATAATCATTGCCGTGCAGCACCGGCGACAACTTCCTTGATGGACAGGGTATGTACTCTTGCTTTTCCCTAAATGCTACCCGGCAGTATTCACAGTACTCCAGGTTGTTCCTCAAAACCATCCTCCCTAAACCACCCTCCCTAAAACCATCCTCCCTAAACCACCCTCCCTAAAAGATCGCACGATAGGTTCGTTGCAAGTAGAAGACCCATGGAATCGTGACTCGTGAATGCATCATTTTTGCAACATGCATAAGATGAGGCAAACAATGGCTGTAAGCCGGCAATCGGCAAAGGAAAGAAGTGCTATTTTTGTGACAATTCTGTACATGAATGGTAAATTGTGACGGACGGGCGTTGGCCGTTATCTTCGACTCAGTGCTTTTCGATGCTGTAGTATGTACAGGTTCCTTGGGCTATCGTAGCGACAGGATAAATCATGCTCGTAACGCCATGATGTCGTGTGTATGTATTCGAGATTCCTGGCAATGGATGTGTATTTACGTCGAAGGGTTGATCGAGGCTTCTTCTCTTTCTTTGATATGTGCGGCTTGTACGCGCAGCGACTGGGACATCTCTCGGGTGACTGTCGATGTTAGCAATGCTTGGTATACTGAGCAAGCAATCGACTTACCAGGCCAAACGGCAGCTTTCTCAAACATGCGAGCATGGACCAGCAGAATCTTGCTGCCATACCCGCAGTCCTCCATCTTCAGCATGTCTGCTGCTATTGGCCGGCTGTCTGCCAGCTTCGTCTCTGCGCTGGTAAGGACTTCGTTGATCTTCTCTAAAATCCTCAGATCTTTATCCCCCATTAACATGATGCCTGGAACCTCGGTAAAGTCTATGTCATCTCTGCCGAGTATGCCCAAATAACGACCTACTCGCTCTTGGACCGTTGAGACCCACTCAGCAAGGACTTGGGCGCAGTCGAAAGCGCACAACGCTGATTGTAGGGGAAGCTCTCTGGAACTGAAGTCTGCGAAGGTGACACCGAGATTATTGGCCATGATCAAAGCGTTGACCGCCAACTCTGCTGCAAGAAACAGCTGCTTTTCCCTCGTGGTGCATTCTCCAGATCGACCATTGGGCGGATTCTCTGATGCTGTAACGTCTACATAGGCGAAGCCCTCAAGCTTGATATGAGAGGATGTCATACTGGGAGAGCTACTTGTGGTACTGGAGACAGCATCTGATTCGCCGCTGGGGGTGCTGGAGCGAGGCGAGTGACCGGCGTGTTGGACAAATTCATTGCCACAACCTAATTCATCCGCCATAGTATCAAAGTCACGTCTGAAGAAAGCCTCCTTCGAACGTCCGAGGTTCACGTACAACCGAACGTATGCAAGGTCCAACAACGGTATGCAGTCAGCTGAGAGCGAGCTTGCACCGAAGGGATTGGGCCTTTCAATACTGTGCTCCGGGTTGCACGACCACGCTGCTTGCCATGCTTTCAGAGCAGGCTTGATACGATCATGCATTGCTTGAGTCTCCACTGGTGTCCACTGTCGTCCCATGTGCCTCTGCCGCGTCTCCCAAATATAGTTGTGGAGAGCGTTGATCAGGATGAGGCAGCCGAAAGTGCTTGGTCGGATGTCGCTCTCTGGAAGATCTTCGAATTTCATGTTGGGCGGGTCACATGCCTGTCGCACGCCGTGACGCCCCTGCTGCGAACGCTGGCTTGCTGTCAACAAAGAGCTAAGTGCAGAAGCAAAGGACAGTGATCTCTGATCTGACGTAGCACCCCCGAGCGAGTGCCAGGTTTCGGCAGAGTCGGCAGCCCAAAGACCTTCATCACAAGGTAAATCGAGCCCAATCTCCGAGTTCATCAAAGCTGGAGCATGGTTGTAAGCAGAGACTAGCAGGCTTGATAAGATGAAGACAGCGTATAGTGTTCGCTTGCACTCTTCGCCCAGCTTCCAGTAGTGCCATTCATTTTGAGCATCGAGAATGCTGTAAGATCCAGCACCATTCCACTCGTCACCACCCATCTGTGCGTCTTCTTGCTTGATGTGTGGTTTAGTCCCATGTGCAGAGCGAAACCCCGGCACCGGTTTTGTAAGCTCAGCTGCTCGAGCTAGACTGACAAGGGCGGCACAATGCGTACTTGCGATGCCTGCAGCAGTCTTATCTCCACAGTTGTGACCATAAATGACATTAAGCAGCATAGCCTGTACGAGCCATAATGGGGTGTTTTGAGCATAGCTCTCATTTGAACCATGGTTTCCATTGAGGGCTGCCGACATATCTGCCTTGCGCCGCTCCTCCAGATACAAATGTATCATCTTCTTGGCCATCTCAAAGAGCTCTTTCGAAGCGCTCAGATCGTATTCGTACAGAGCCCCAATAGCGGCCATAGCAAGAATAAGGGAGCCCCCTCCTCCTGCAATGCTTGATTGACCGCAAGCGAAGTATTCACTGGAAGCTCGAAGGCTGCTGGTAAATGCTGGAGAGTCGAAAGATAAAGACGGGATATGCAAGAACGGTAGATGAGGGTGAAAGTACTGAATGTAGGCAGCTACATAACGTTGGAGATCGTAAGTGCTCGGAAGCGGAACGCTGCTTATGCTTCTAGACCCGGAAGAAAATACAGGAGACAGAGGTGAGGATACCTGCGGATGAGAAGTCTTCCGTTGCCTGAACATGGATGGCTGCGAGAGACTTGTTAGAAGAGCTTGCCGAGTTGCGTCAGTAATGGAGTCCGTAGAAACAGAGGTCACAGAGCTTTGTCGATTGCTGCTGCTAATAGATGCTGCGGAATTGCTGGGAGTATCCGAACTATTATTCATGGACGGATGAAAATAATGGTGGCTCAATCCAGGTAGTAAGGATATTGGGGTCTGGGAACTCAAAGGTGGGGGAGAGGAGAAATACTGATCGCCATTCCCCATGTTTGTGTTCAGAGATTTCGGAGACAATTGGCTTGGGGGACACAGATCAGGAAACGGCTGCGCCGATAGGTCCATAGAAAAGGCCGGTGGAAAGGCCGCTTGAGACATTGAAGCGTTCGGCCATGCTCCCGACGCGCTCATCGAATTGTTTGATCCATCAAGCATGACCTCATTCATACCATCAGGGCTGCCGGTGCTAATTGCGGATGGTGAGGATCCATCTATAGCCTGCTCGTTGTATTCCTGGAATGACATCTGATGGTCAAAATTGTTCATCCAGGTAAAGTGTCCATCATTGTCCATCACGGGTTGAGCTGAGTGGACACCTGAAAACCCTTGATGATACGGTGAATGCACCATGTCGAAAGCAAGATTTTGCGGAGAGTTGGAAAAGTGTAGCTGTGCTGGATTCACAGTCGTTCCGGGTCCATACAAGATACTGTCCATATCAATGTCACCACCAAACCCTCCGAATGGTGGAGCGGTACGTAAGCTTGCACCAATGTCGATACCCTGGTGCTTTGTCTCGAGCTTTGGTAGCACATGGGAATTGCCATGATGTCCAGTCACTGATGACATCCCTCGCAGGGGGTAGGTGCCAACACCTGGGAGTCCATGCGAAAATCCATTTATCCCGCCATGGTGACCAAGGCCAAGGCCGATGGCTTCATGCCTGGAGGCGGACGAATTTGCGGCCGCAAGCAGTCCCAGAGTCGGGCCGTCTACATGGCTTATGGTATTCGCTCTTGGGCGCATGGCGCTAGCTCCTGTGGTTCCAGAAGCATTGTTCGCCATTGAGTTTTTACGAACCCTTGTAGAGCCTCCCGGAGCTGCGCTACTAGTACTCTCTCGCCTTGCGCCTCTTTGCCTTGATGGCGGCAAGGCCGTCAAGTGCAGCTTCTGCTGATGCCTTAAAAGTAGGTCCCGCCTAGCAAAGCATCTGGTGCACTCCGGACAAGCGAAAGGTTTCTCTTTCGTGTGAGAACGTTCATGCCGCTTCAAATGCTCGAGACGTGCAAAGGACCGGGTACAAGTAGCACAAACATGAGGTCTGGGCTTATCCGTCTTCGGAGGGGGAAAGTTGGGGTTTGCATTCTGGCCGCTGTTCAAGGACTTCGCATGCGGGCGAGCTAGGACCTAATCAGTACCGAAGCTGCTATCTTTCATTGGGAACAACAGTGTAGATATGGAGTGCGGTGGTCAGGACATACCAATGCCTTGTCCGCTGGCATGACTGCTGCTATCGGCACTTGTGACCCCACCAGAAACGTCAATGCTGGTCGAAGGCGCGATTGTATTCGATTCAAGGGCTGCTGACATATCCGAGAGCGATTTCATGACAGATCAAAATGCCGCCAGGAATGACTGGACTGACTCCTTCTCCAGAAATAGAAGTCTATGCTCGTCTTTTACGAGTCCACCGTCCGCAAAGACCTAATCTTTCGGCTCGTTGGGAGAAAGAATATAACAACAATGGCTGTAGAGCCAAATTCTCAATATGTGGCACCGATTGAACGCGGAATGGGATGAAATGGGCAATGACGAGATTGCAACGGGCACTAGCGTTGAGTCTGCGATTAGCATACGAATCATGTAGAGGCAATGGAGAGTAGACGTCGAGTCTGTTCGCCTACCCTATCACTGAAGACCCAGGCGGATAAACGGTATCGTGCAGATGCAGCCAGCCGTCATCCAAATTGCAACTTCGCAATGAAGAAAGCAAGCTGCTCCTGGCCGCTGGGAAAGATTTGGAGTATTGTATGTACGTGCGATTGGCGGTGGTGTGGTATGTAGAGTGTTGAACGTCGTAGACTCCAGCCTACTTTGAAGCGCTCAGCTTGCCGAACGGTGTTTCAGGTCTGTGGAGTGCAAGTGATGGTCTGGGGGGCGAAGTCGGACGCCGACCGAACCGTACTGGGAAGATTTGCTGGTAGTATAATCTGAAATCGTTTCTTTTCTTCCACAGGCCGTGGGGGCGCGTGTGTTTGAGGGCGCCGAGGCTGTTTGTTTTGGATGGCGGTTTGGATGGCGGTTGGGATGGCGGCGACCAAGCGGTTGTCCAAAATGTCAAGAATCATGAAGCATGCTTAGTGTTGCGAGAGCATGTGAAGGTGTATTATTGTACTGCGATCAATCAATTGGATCTTCCGAGGAAGTGTGAAGACAGAGAAGTGTTGAAAGAATAGCTACGGACGGCAATCCGACGTCACGAAGGCGGTTCTTTACCGCAGGCAGCTGATTGGCGAGAAGGAGGCAAAGGCCGATGCTGGACGTAGCCTGGTGTTGATCGACCGTCATGCGCAAGTGGCAGAGACTGGCTCTGGCCACCAATATTTTAGTGAGTTGGGATGTTCAACTTCTGGCGTTGTACATGTGTGCGATCAATGGTTCCTGAGTTTAGGTACAGACAGACAGGAACTGAGGGAAATCAGGCAAAAGGAAGGGTATACCGATACCCCAAGATCCGGGGGATGCATAGAAGCTCTGTGAGCCCTGTGAAGCCAAAAAAAGAGTGGAACCGCGTTGCAAGCGAGCCTTTAGATCAGACCCTCGCACCGAAAACACTTTATCAGTTATGCAAGAGTACTTTCATCAGAGCATGGGTGAAGCATGGGTGAGGCATGGGTGATCCCATCTTCACACAAATAAGAGGCTTACGAGCATTATTCTGTGCATGCGGACTAGACCGCGAAGGCACAAGGATCAGCTCGTGATCTGAGCTGGCCAAGGAACCAGGATTGAACGGCCGTCTTGGTGGCGAGCTAAAATAAAAATAGTGAAGAAGTTCAGGCGAAAAAGCAGCGGCAAAGGGCTGTTCTTTCCCATCCGATCATTCAAAAAAAAGACGGGAAATGCACCGACATATCTCGGGAAGAGAGTTCGCGGCATATGGCATTTTCAATTCGATCAGCACATTCAATTTTTAAGCCCATTCTTTACTATTATTATTCTTCACTACCGTAGGTATTATTTATTTATTACTCTTCACCCACTGCAAATCTTATGGAAGCCGTATGTACTTCCCACTCCTTTCCATTTCATTTGTATTCTCATAGGAAAAAGGAGAGAAGCAAGTCATCTCGTGACCATCCCTGACTAACGTGGCGGCCCCGTGGAGAGAATAGGTAATACTATTACCAACCATCACGTTCAAGCGTAACGCTGGGTCTGGCACCTCGTGGCGAACCAAACGACGCAAACGGTTTTCAGGTCCGGGAGTGTCACTACTGCTTGCTGCTGCTGCTTTCTGCTTCTCCCTCTCAGACAACTCTAGCCCGATATGATCAAAATCCGGGGTCTAGCGGCGTCTTTGCTTGGAGGACCATTTCATGTCTTGCATGCCGTACCCGCCTACTAGCAAAAAAAGCTTTGGCACCTGGCCGTGTACTAGGTACCACCATCCATGTACTAGGTACCACCATCAATGTACTAGGTACCACTATCCTTGTATCTTCTGTACTAGGTACTAGATTTGCGCCTAGAGGCTACAGAGCAACTCGCAATTCACAACCCCCTACCGGAAGGTGGAAACGAGCCGACACGCTGAAATTGGACCATACAGATGGCTTGTTGTTCTTGGCGCTGTGCTGATCGTGAATGGCCGAATGACGAGCTAAAGAGATGTTCAAGAATGAATGGTGGAAATTTAGTAACGGGACCAGCTCCGTTGGAAAATCATCTGGGCCCGGTGGAAGATCCTTCGGCCTCGAGGCTCAGCATGCCCGTCGCTCAAAGAGAATGGCAACCCCCTGCCCAGTCAACATTCGAAGTCAAGATGTGTGATCAGCTTACGTGAGTTCAAGAAAGACACCACATGACTATGAAACAAGTTCTTATGGTTCGCTACCTTTTTCTCCTAGCTCATATTTTCATTTTCCACACCCGCTGACCACCCAAAAGTTAATCGGACATCGTCCGAAGCTACCAATGTTGGACAGAACCCTTGAAGTATCCAGTCTCCAGTCTCCAGTCTCCAGCTCCAGCCACTGCTCTAGAACTCGGCCGAATGACATTCTCTACGAAATGACATTGTCGGAAGGCGAGCCCAAATACAATGTTCTGACGAGGCAGACACTCCGAAGATCCCACAGCCTACCTTCACAATGACCCTCGGTCAAAGATGGCTTGGGCCGGGTTCCCGGGCTTCCAAATCCTCGGGCTTTAACGCAGCTGCGAGATCTAACGGGCGAGCAGCAGCGGCGACCAAGTCGATATAACAATATCCAGGACAGCGCATCCGCAAGGACAGGATACGCCGGCACGAACCAATGGAGAGTCGTTGCCATCTTCCCACGCCTTTATGAACGGAAGGTCAAAGCGGAATTTATGCATCTCCTGGAGCGGGATACAGAGACCAGAATGGCAAAAGGGAGACGCTCTCTAGCCCAGCAGCCCAATGCTCAAATCGTTGATGCAGCACACGGCCCTACTACGGCTTCTAGAAGTCTCCAAAGGATTGTGTGGTCCTTTCGACCCACTCATTTTCCGTGTGCGAGAAGCACGTTGACCGAAGCAGCGACGAGTCTTCTGCAAGGTGATGTAGGATGCTGCATATGCATTGCGTTGGCTTCGAACTTGCGTTGTCCTCACATCCCACTTCGCGCGAGAAAGGTGGGCTGTTAAGCGCCGGCCTTAAAAAGATTGATCGTATCGGAAAGGAAGGCAAAGCGAGCCAATGGGGGAAATTGAGAGACTGGAACAAATTCAAAGCCAAAAGCTGCCATATCCCAATATCAGAAGAAACTTATGACCAATAGGAGACATGTGCTCAGCGACGATTATCAGCCAGTACTTGGAAAAACGAAGTCCACTGTGGCCAACACGAGTCGAACAGAGTAGGTAACATTCAGCGCGGAAGAAAGCATAGTGCAATTCCTAATGAGTCTGTTTTGTACCTTTCCGCCAATTGAACCTTTCCGCTCGTCATCTGTCGACTAGCTAATCCTGTCGACAGGGTTGGGCAGAGTTCTCTTCTCTCATCAAGTTAGATGTGGTCCATACTCGATTTATGGTCATGGACTGATGGGAACGGCAAAACATAGTCAAACCTCTGGCGCTCCTAAAGCAACCACAGACTTAAAACTGAATGTCGAATAGACACAGACCGTAGGGAAAATATTGCCCCGTTTCTTTTCTCGCCAGCAGTATCTCAAAAGTACTCTGGCCGCGAATCCCAGAGAAACCCGTCAGTCGAGGTGACAGCGTGTTCTGAAAGGTTCCACAGTCCGCAAACCGCACCCATGTATGAGTATGTAGAACATGTTGGCTTTCAACGCTCATTGAACTTCCGATCTACGTGAAATTCTTTCGCCTTCAACTCAGAGCATTAATCAAGCTATCCACCAAGACCCCACCAGCCCCAACCCCCCCCCAAATCCAGGCATGCAACCAGAACCCCCCCACCCACAGACCGAAGGAGTCTGCCGCACATAGATAGCATCAGTCATCTCCGCCGTCACCATCCCTTCCATCACCCCGACCAGCTCGTCCTCCTCCTCCGCGAACAGCTGTCCCTCCATCCGCGCGAACATCCGCACCACCTCCGCCGCCTGGAAAACCTGCTCGAGATGGAGGAATCGGGGCCCCGTGTCCGACAACTATGTTTGCGTCGGTGCTTCTTCCTCCCACTCTAAAGTCCGCGCCTCGGAGGCCTGGGTGCGGCGGGCCTCTGGAGGGAGTCATGCATCCGGGGTGTCAGCGGAGAGAGGTTCGTGAAGCGGGTGCAACATCGCCCGAGTCTGTCTTTCATACTGCTCAGTTCAGGCATCGGGTTCCTGATCATGCTCACCACCCTGTGTCTCCCCTCCGCTCCGCTCCCCTCTCCTTCTTCATGCCCGGCCTCCTCCGCTACCGGTCCGCTTTGACGGTTCCCTCGTCCACGGGTCTAGAGGTCTCGGTCCTCGTCGAACATTTCTTCATCCATACCGTGCTGGGTCAAGGTGTCCTTGTTGTTCATGATGGTGGAGACGAGCTCTGAGTTCTTCAGGAAGCTCATGCTCCGAATCTAGTCTTCTCATGTAAGCGTTGATGACAGTGTGCGGCGGCCCAGGTGGCATGCCTCTCCATGGCCCTTCTCTTCCATCACCACATCCCCTGTGCATTGGTCGATGAAAACGTTCATGGGACTGTCTGGTACGTATCCTCGTAACCCAAGAAGTCCTAAGAACTCACTTGCTTTACGTCCTTTGGGTCTGATGTGACCGTTAGCGTTTCCTATCTGCACCACCCGAGCAAGTCGTCAACGAACATTGTATGGTATGATACCTGATACTCGCTCTGAGCGGTCTGTTCTTCAATCATCGTGACCATAGCTCCTGCTGCCATGTTCATCGCCTCCGACTTGGCAAAGATATGAGACTCTGGCTCATAGAGCGTTTCGAACCGGTGTCGTAGGTGGGTCTTTGAGGCTTTCTTGACGCATGCTGAGCGGTAATCGAAGCTTGAACAACGCATGCACTTGTAGCAGAGTCCGAAAGTGGCATTTAACTGTCAACAATGCATCCTTGTGGACTGCAACCAGGGACATACCTTATCACAACCACCACACGTTGCGTTGTAAGTCATGTCGCATTTTTCGTCTTCTTCATCTATCTCATGTGCTTTGCCTTTTTCGTCTTCGCAATCCTCCCGATGATGTTCATTTGCTTCACCTTCTTCGTCTTCCCCCTCTCTGCTTTCTTCCTTTGCGTTGCCTTCTTCACTGTCTGTATCCGCTCTGCGGCCAGGCATTCTGCGTCGGTGAACTGTGGACGGATAGCGAAGGGCGGATGGTAGAAGTTTGGTGGATGATGAAATGTGAAGGCTTGAACGTTACACGGCAGATGACGCAAGGTTGCTAGTTGAGAGATAGAGCACGAAGGTAGGACGCTGGAGCATGGAGAAGCCTAGGATTTGGCGGCATCCATGGTGACACAAAGGCCGGCAAGGGTTTTGAAGGTCCGAGAGTCCAGGTGCCGAGGGGCGGACTTGCTTCGATTGGTCCAGCAGGCCAGGGAGATGGCACGGGGGAAGATTCCTTCCATTAGCCAGGAATAGCGAGAAGATAGGTGATACCTCAAAGGAGAGTACATGAATAAGGACTGCTTGGTGCTATTGATAAATAGATAACCTGTTGGGAGCATGCCGTGATCTTATTCCAGCATGGAAACAGCGCTCATCGGCACACCAACACTACCACCTGATCCCGTCTCTGCTTGTTCATGTCCTCTCCTGACGCGGGCTGCGGTGGCGAAGGGGCTGCTATTGGCAGAGGAACGTGCGTGCTCATCGCTAGACTACTCTATACCTCCTTTTCGAACCACCATATCCAGTCAGACGCTTTCTCCACGAGCATCCTCTCCGCCATCTTCCCCCACAAGAGTATTCTCCCCATCCGTATCCCCTACAAGAGTATTCTCCCCATCAGTCCTCTCCGCCAGCATCCTCTGCATGAGTATCCTCCCCACCAGCATCCTCTCCACCAACATCCTCCCCATGATTATCCTGTCCACCAGCATCCGGTTCACCAGCATTCCCCACCAGCATCTTCCCCACCATCATCCTGTCCACCAGCATCCTGTGCACCAGCATCCTCCCCACGATTATCCTGTCCGCCAGCATTTTGTCCACCAGCATCTTGTCCATCAGCCTCTTCTCCACCAGCATCCCTTCCACCAGCCTCCTGTGCACCAGCATCTTCTCCACCAGAACTTCACCAGCATCCTCTCCACCAACATCCTCTGCACCAGCATCCTCTCCACCAGCAACCTCTGCACCAGCAACCTCTGCACCAGCAACCTTCACCTCTGCACCAGCATCCTCTGCACCAGCAACCTCTGCACCAGCATCCTCTGCACCAGCATCCTCCCCACCAGCATCCTCCCCACCAGCATCCTCCCCACCAGCATCCCCTCCACCAGCATCCTCCCCACCAGCATCCTCTCCACCAGCATCCCCTCCACCAACATCCCCTCCACCAGCATCCTCCCCACCAGCATCCCCTCCACGCCCATCCTCTCCACCATCACCCCCACCACCATCACCACCCCTCCGCACACTCCCCGCCCCTCCACCGTCACCACGCCCACCGCTTCCAGCGCGACCGGAACCCCGAGGTTTATCCTTCGCACCCTTACCGGCACCTCCTCCTCCCCCCTCCCTCCCTCCACCACGTCCACCGTCTTTCTGCGGAAGTCTCTTCACATCGTACCCACGGCTGCTCCGAACGATTACCTTCCGGCCACCTTCGCCCTTCTCGCCTACCTTCGGCTTCGGCTTCGGCTTCAACTTCTCGCCTTCCTTATTCTTCTCGCGTGCGCCGCCGCCCGCCTTGTCGGCCTTGTCCGGTCGTTTCTTCCCGGCGATGTAACGCAGGGGGTTTTCGAAACGGCCCAGACCGCCGGGGGTGGAGGGCATGTCCGCGGGGTCTCGAAGGGTGCGGAAGGCCGTGGAGTCGAGGGGATTCGAGATCGGATGTGCGGTGGCGAGGAAGGGTTGAACGGGGATGCGGAACGACGCTGTTTGCGGAGTAGATACAGAACCGGCTGTATCTGCTGAGTGTGGAAGGAGGACGGGCTGCGGGAGGGAAGATGCTGATGTAGGGATAGCGAAGGTTCTGGCTTCAGCGACGAGGACTGGGTGGCTGGGATAGAAGAGCTGGGTTGAAACTGGCAGGCTTGGAGCTTGTGGGTACGGATGACTTGAAGATGGGAGATACTGAAGAAGCAATCGCTCGCTGGGGAGAACGCATCCTTTTATAGGTGTGAAAACTTCCGGGCGAATACATACTGCCTTGTGAGATTGTGAGACGCTAAGATTCAGCTATGAAGCAGCGCCCTCCTGCCCCGTGGGAGACGGAGCTTCAGGAATGAAACCAGGCGAGCTCTGGGGTCGAATGGCAGCGAATCGAAAGGATCCGAAACGGCGTCCATTCTTCACGTGGCAGTGTCGCCGCCTTGTCTGGAGCAGACAGGGGAGGGGAAGTGGAGAAGTCTCGGTCGACGGTAGAATAGGTATTGGATGTGTAGGTACGAGGCAGTAGACAAGGCGCTGGTGGCGAATGCAAGTATGCAACCACTACGGATAGTGGGGACCACATATGAAGGGACAGGATTGCCCGTGGAGAAGTCGCTGCCTCAAGTGTGGAGACGAATGACAAAATGGACTGGAGGAGTCAGCCAGAATAGCTGGGTGACAAGAGAGTGGTGTGGCCCATGTCAAGGCAGGTCCCCGTTTCAAGGGTGAATGTTTTAGCGACCCTGAATTCGGTTTGAGATCCGGGAAGCATGCCCAAAGCTTTTCAGGGGGGGGGTTGTTTAGTCTCATCATCATCATCCATGGGCTTTGAGAATTCTGCGGAGGGTATTGCTGTTTCAAAGAACTTGCGTTGCAAACAAGACTGTACTCTCTATGCTGAAACTGTTAAAGTTCCTTGTCAAGCGAAGAAAGGGCCAGGCTGCCGGAACAGAGATAGCGAAGGGACACGTAAGAAATGGGAAATTAAATTAGAATAGACCATCACTGTAGTAGTCATAGCTCAAGATGCCATTAAACGCAACTGGTTTGGTGAGCATCTCTTTGGATTGTTATCATTGTAGCACTTTGCTACCTGAAGCCTCTTGGCCGTATTTTCAGCATCAAACAACCTACACGCTGATCGTCTTGAAGACGCTGCAATCCAAACATTATCAACATATGCCGTTATATTTCAAAACAATGGCAAGGTGTTAGGGGCGACTCACCCAAACCCTCCACCTCCAGTCCCCATCACACATCCTGATATTTGGGGGTGCCAGTGGCACTCTTTCACCATTTCCATGTAATGTACAAACAGTAGCTGCGGTGGCACGTCCTTCACATCTGCTGTATTTTGACTCTCCTCGTCATCCAACTCCACCGCCAAATCCCACAACGTTAGCGTATTATCACCTGCCGCGACAGCCACAATGCTGTCGTCAGTCGGATGCCACTCAATACTCGTGATCTGCTCTTTGTGAAAATTGAAGGAAGCGACTGGCTTTGGTGTTGGCGCTGCCCCATCGGGAGATGCGGGTTTCCATTGCCGTAGATCCCAGCAAGACCAAACGCCATCATCCGCGCCGGTAGCGAGAAGGAAGGCGTTTCTTTGAGACCATGAGATTACATTCACATCGGTATCGCTGATTTTGACGCTTAATTGGGGTTTTCGAGACTTGGAGCGGGTGTCCCAGACTTTGACCGTGCCGTCGCTGCTGGCGGAAGCAAAGACGTTGCGTTCTGTAGGAGACCATTGAATGTCTTCTACACTGCCAGTGTGACCGGTGAACGGTCTGTTGTCTGTTGTCCACTTGCCTCCTTCGCAAGTCGTCAGGAAGATCTTGCCGTCGTTATCGCCCGTGAGGAGTTTGCCCTGTGGAGAAAGCGGAGACCAATCTAGTGCGTAACCTTCTGTTCTGTGCATGCACAGCGTTGACACGGGTTTCGATTGCTGCTGAGTTATAATCGTGCCTGGATTGTCGAAGGAGGAGAGGTGGGGTGTGATGTTGTGGATTAGGACTTCGGCGTTCTCTGTCATCGTTGCTGTGAAGGTTGTAGGAGGCTTCGAGGTATCGGTCTGGGGGACTGTGTGGGCTCGTATTCGATTCGTAGTTGAGAAGACAGGTATTGACTTTGTCTCAAGTATAGGCTCGGCGTTCTCGTCGTCGTCTTCGTCGTCGTCCTCATCCGAGTCGCCTTCGTTATCTCTGTCCATCCGACTCAGCCCACTGAGCTTCATGACCAGCAATTCATTGTCCTTCGCTTTTCTACTCTCGGCCTGCGTTCCTGCCACCGCGTACATTGTCGCTGGATAGGTTTTGCGATTGTCGCCCAGAGAGTCCTTGATGATATCGAACGATAGGCATGGCCATGTGGTGCTGAGGGTATGGAGCATCTCATATGCAGAAGAGTCCGGTGAAAGCGTTTCGCCTTTTCCCAACTGATTACGGCCAGGTATGAAAGTCTGCTGGTCCACGTCCATAGCATCTGCACGAAGTCAGGACAACCGGATTGCACTAAAGGGCAGACAATCGCACAATGCTTCTGGCGAGTACCACGTACCCCTTCTCTCTTCAGCTTCTCTTTCTTCGTCCGGCCGCCCGTCTACTCCTGCTTCAAAGATGTCTTCCTCGCTCTCGTACTCGTCTTCAAACTCATCCTCAAAATCCATCTCTTCGCCATCTTCTACCTTCAAAGGTCGCTCACCGCCCTTCAGTGCGTCTGCTTCAGTCCCAAGTTCTTCTGCTGGTCTCTTAGCCATCTTGAGGTTGAGGTTGGGGAGTAATTGGAAAGAAATGTTTCAGCAAAGAAGAATTGTCTGGTGGCTTGACTTAATAATTAGCGCTCATGGAAGAAAGATTTTAAGTTTTCGGATACTGGGACCAGGCTTCAACGGCGAGGCTAAACCGGGTTGGGTTTGTTTAATATTCTAATCTGGATGCTGTGCATCTTCAACTTTCTTCAATCCAGAAGAGAAACACTCAACATTATATGTGCATTGGTCTGTACAGCTCAGAGGCACAAGTTATAGGTACCACACCGTAGTCAACTCGCGTTGGCCAGTCGCTTCTTTCGCGTTAATTGAGTTCCCCGCGCTTAAATATCGGAGCTCTCAGCCTGGAAGCCACCCTGACTCCTCTCACTCCAGAGACACAAGAGTATTACACACAGAGTACACAATCAAATATCAACCATCAACCATCAACCTCAAGACCTTGACTACCGTGTGAGTCCAACCGGACCTGCAGCTCTCTGCTCGTCAAATTCCAAATATAAACACTGCATGACCTCGCCCATGGATCCCCAATATCAGCAAGATCCAATGGCATCCAGCTTCAAAGGCAATGACGATGAACCCATGGGTGGTGTCGACGACAACATGAGCACCACGCCCACAGGTGGCTATAATAACGGCTATCAAGAGGGCCCACGACGCCAGTCCATACAATCAGAGAACTACCCGCCTGCCAATGGCTCCTTCTCTCCCTCTACAGAATCAGACCCCAACACTCGCTACCCCTCATCAAGCGCGGGATACCAACAACAAGCGCCTCAGCCATATTCAAGACCTTCGTCGGGATTGTCCGGGTCAGGGGATAGGTACGGAGGCTACTCGCAGAACCACCAAGATCAGAACCAGAGACCCTCGTCACACCAGGATGCACCAAGAGGTCAGGGTCAGGGTCAAAGTCAGGGTCAGGGTCAAGGTCAGGGTCAGGCGAGTGTCGTGATCAAAGTGGGCATGGTGGGAGATGCTCAAATAGGAAAGACAAGCCTGATGGTTAAATACGTCGAAGGCAGTTGGGATGAGGACTATATACAGACTCTAGGTAAGACCTTGATGTTTAAAGCACGACACAAGTATGAGAACGAGGCTGACTATCGAAGGTGTCAATTTCATGGAGAAGACCATCTCAATTCGCAACACGGAGATCACCTTCTCGATCTGGGATCTTGGAGGCCAGCGCGAATTTGTCAACATGCTCCCTCTAGTCTGCAACGATGCCGTTGCCATACTCTTCATGTTCGACCTGACCCGAAAGAGCACTCTCAATTCTATCAAGGAGTGGTACCGCCAAGGTCGAGGTTTCAACAAGACAGCCATTCCTTTCTTGGTCGGCACAAAGTATGACCACTTCGTCAATTTCCCCAGAGAGGAGCAGGAAGAGATATCTACCCAAGTGAGCTAAATTGGACCTGAATCATTGCCACCCACTGATGATCAACGTTCGCAGGCTCGACGCTTCGCAAAGGCAATGCGAGCAAGTCTGATCTTCAGTAGCACCAGCCACAGCATCAACGTGCAAAAAGTATAGACCCTCCCATCGGCCAACTATTTGTAAGCTCACATATCTATCAGATCTTCAAGATCGTCCTCTCAAAAGCCTTCGACCTCAAATGCACCATCCCTGAGATCGAAAACACCGGCGAACCTCTTCTGATCTATCAGCACGTGGCGGCTTAGCTGCTTTAACAAAACAACGCAAGAAGGTGGGACGAGGCATGGCTAATGGCTGAGATTCCATTTCTTAAATTCGCATGATTCAGCACGGAGCTACGGAGGAAATGGTGATGTCCAAAAAAGGAAGGAACGGCTTTACGATCTGCGTTGGCAGGCCACCAACCATCTTGTACTCTATGAGCTAGGAGCCCACATAAAGATTCGAGACTTTGAAAGGCACTGGAAAATCCGATTGTTTATGTTGGTCAATGACCCATTGCTCATTCACAATGCAAGGGTAAAGAGCTCTTCAAAGGTTACAGAAACCTGCTCTCATGTCCTTCAGCCCAGAACCATGACTGATCACGTACTGCTCGTCTTATTGTATTCTTGCTTACGCTCATCCACGTCTGAGATGAGGCTAGGAGTTTAATCCTTCCAAATCCGTTCGTAATCAGTCGGCTGTATCATGTTTGAATCAAAAAAGTAAGACCCTTACCATTGAGATTGCGGAAGCGGTGCTCATCAATGCGGCATTATGACACGAGTTCATGGCTTATTACCCAAACTGTCACCACTGTGGTCCTAATCGCGCATTTCTCATGTCTTTTCATAGCGGCGGCAGGTTATCTCTGCAAATGGGACACTGCAACCTATACCGCATCCACCCCTCCAAACAGCCACTGTGGAATACGTGCCTGCACGGCGTAACCATATAAGCTCTCCGCGCGAAAAGAGTCGTTGACAAAGCCGCAGAAGCACTGCCCTGGCTCTCTCCGTCACTTGAACCAGCTTTACGTACGATCGGGACGCTAATGTTCTCGGTGCAAATGGCGCAATCGAAATTTTTTGTGTTGGGTCTGAGGCTGCCGCTGCCTATCCTGGGCTGTGATGATGGGTCAGTGAGATGTGTGGGGGAAGAGGACGCGTCTTGAGTAAAGCCAATAGGCATAGTTGAGCCGGATTCTTCATCGCTTTCTCCCCGAAGAATAGGGTGGTACTCATATGCGGGCGGCGCCCAGCCTTTTGGAACGAAGAAGCGTGGTCCGAGGATTTCCTGGCTACCTAGTGCCCAGATCTGCAGCCATGCCCAAGCGATGAAGAAGTATGCCGTATTCCTATCATTGCCGAAGAACAAGACATTTCCAGGTACGGTGTAAAGGTACACAATGGGAGCAAGGCGGAGGATGCTTTGTCCGATGACGAATTCCCAGCGTAAAGCGCGACGACAGTTACGGGTGATATTGCGGTTGATTTGGGGCAGCCAGAAGGAGAGGTAGATGAAGCACATGGTGTTAGTGTAAAAGGAACGGAGTGGAACGGGCCAGGTCGTGGCGTGCAGGGAGAGGAAGACTAGGCCGAGAAGGAGGAAATAGAATTTTGAGTAGAGAGCGGACATCTCGCGGCGGGCAGTATTGAGGGTAGTGGTTTGACCTGCTGGTTGAGTTGCGGTATTGTCTGGATTGTCGATGGCTTCGGCATCAACGTCTTGGTCTGATGGGATAACGATCGGTGTAGCTCCTGTGTCTACTGTGCGACGGGCTGTGACGGGCAGGGGAAGGGTGTCCGCTCCAGCGGCGGTGACGTTGCCAGCAGGTGCTGGAATAGTGTTTGCTGGAGGTACGAGTGCTGTGTTATCCGCTCCAGTCTCATTCCACGGTCTTTGCCTTTCCCTGTCTCGCTCTTGTCTTTCTGGCGCTTGGATTGTCCAGATGTCCATCAAAAATTTCATGCCAAAGAAGCTCACACCCAAGAAAGACAAGAAAGCTGTAGAAATCAAAGGTAAGAACGCCGCATCAATCATCATGCTAACAAACATAAACCCCATGCATGCAAAGCCATCACCCAAAGCCATCATTGCAATCGTATAAAAGCTGACTCGGCTTTTGGTCGATGGCGTTGAGGCATCCTTCATCTGTCTGATCGAAAGGAATACTTGCGCACAGGTCACAGCAGCAAAGGCGATGATACAGCGCCTGGCGGTTCGCATGTATGACTCAAGCTTCTGGCCATTCAAATGCAACCCCTCCTGAGGCGCGAAGTCTGGAGGGCCTTGTGACTCGAGTACGAAGCCGCAATCAGGAGAGAAGATCAAAGCAGACATTCTGATAGTCGGCGCGGAAGGCATTGAAGAGCCGGTGGGGAACCGCAGTTCCTTCTCCAATTTCCCGAAGTCGATGTTGGTATCTTCATTTGGGTGCTGTTGCAGGTACACAATGAATTCGCAATGAGGAACCGGAAAAAGAGCGTCTGAAGGGTTGTGCGGTGAGGACGTCCATGGATTCGGGACAGAGCTCAACTCTGCCTCTTGGGTGTCGATTGATGCCATGAGAGTTTGATTGAGGACCCTTTGAGCGAGAGAAAAGGCACGTTCGGACAACGTGAAATGCGGTAAAGCAAAGATGCCAGCAAACCTAGGTCGTCAGACAACTTCGCATAATCGGGGACTGTAGCAGAGAGCTTACTTTTCTGACGTTGTAGAAAGGATGATGCCTCCTTGCAGTGGATAATGTATACCGAATAGACTCATTTCCCAGCCATCGCCACTCGAGGACTCGTCTTTAATCGTCATCGTCGCTTTGACGTCTCTAACCAGGCCATCGTCTTCCAGCCCAAGCTTGAAATTGTCGTCATTGCCTTCATGAATGTGGAATCGGAGGTCTCCACTTCGTCCGGTGATGTTGCGGTTGTAATTCTGGGATACATAGCCAATCCGAGGAGTCAATGCAGTGAGATTCAGTGATGGAGATTCCAAACTTTCTCCTATCTTGGAACGAGTCCAGTGTCCACGAACAATGCCCGTGACGTTCTGGTAAAGTGGAGCAGGATCATAGAAAGGTTTCATTGTAGACAATATTCTACCCACTGTGTTCTGTTTGTCGCCATCATTTGCCAACTTCCCCGAAGGCAAAGACGCGTTTTGGAAAATCGAAGTGAATTCAAAGGCGTTACATATGTTTTGTAGCTGTTCTTTTGCTCTCTCTTGCACATCCAGTAGCAAGTGCCATGCGTAACCATCATTCCGCCTCAGTCCTGTAACGTTCAACCAGCGATTCTTCTTGGTATCGAGGCCACCATAGCTTGACGTATTGAGAAAGTCCAAAGCCTGCCGTTCTTCGAGGATCGAGTGCTCTATATCACGTTGCTGCGAAAGAGACGGAGCCTGGGAGTCCGGTGAGAGGAACAGGAAGAGCAGCAGGAAAACAACAAGTGCGAACCTAGGTGTTTCCATCGAGCAAAACATCAACCTGCTGGCCGCCGCCAGATGGTGTCGCCACATTGGCTCTTGGGATTTGTTAACTTCATCTCTGCGGTCACGGTCTCCACAAAGCTATTACTTCCTCGAGTCGAGCCTTCTTAAGTTGCGCAGGATGTCCGAGGCGGCGAGGCGTCCCTTCTAAGGAAAGTGCAGAGGCCAACCTGCCGAAGATTTGCCGATCGCCAAGACTCATCATTCTGCTCCGGAGAAGTACGAAAACCATTCTGCAACATCTAGACATACTTCGAGCCATTATAAGCAGATGCTCCCGTGACCTTGAGATCCAGCATGCAGTCATCATCGTCCCGGGCGCTCGTGCGTCTGTCAACAAGAGCCTTTGGGGCAGCCTCGAAGTGGCCTCCTCTATCGCGAAGGCGATTTGCTACAGTTGTTGATCAAGCACCGAAAGTGAGTACAGGAAATGCTCTCTATGAAAGCCTCGCTAACGAAGCATAGGATCCTACAGAGTTCGACCAGATCAGCACCCTGCCAAATGGTGTCCGCGTAGCCACCGAAGCTCTTCCAGGGCCTTTCTCAGGTGTCGGCGTATATGTCGATGCCGGATCACGTTATGAGAATGAAGAACTACAAGGCGTCAGCCACATCATAGACCGGTTGGCTTTTAAATCTACCGGCTCAAGGACATCAGACGAAATGCTCGAGTCTCTAGAAAGCCTTGGCGGAAACATACAGTGCGCATCTTCGAGAGAATCGCTCATGTATCAGTCCGCTAGCTTCAACTCCGCTGTGCCTACAACCTTGGGTCTCCTCGCCGAGACTATACGAGACCCCCTGATCACAGATCTCGAAGTCCAGCAGCAACTCGAGACCGCTGAGTACGAGATCAGGGAGATATGGTCGAAGCCAGAGCTCATCTTGCCCGAGCTGGTCAACATGGCTGCGTATAAAGATAATACCCTAGGAAACCCACTGCTCTGCCCGCAAGAACGCCTAGCATTCATCAACAGAACTGTAGTACAGAAGTATCGTAACACTTTCTTCCACCCGGAGAGGATGGTGGTAGCATTTGCAGGCGTCGGGCATGACGAAGCCCTGAGACTGACGGAACAATACTTCGGCGATATGCAGAGACAGCAGAGTCCAAGTCTCTCCCAGTCTGGCCCCGACGTCTCGATGTCAGACATGTCTTCCCAACGCTCTTCCTCATCTAACTCCTTATCGTCGTCGTTATCATCAGCATACTCATCGCCCTCATCCACACCGCCTTCCCCACCTCAATCGTCCTCAAGATTGCTCTCGCACATACCCTTTCTCAAAAGCCTGTCAACTTCTGCTCCAGCTCAAGCATCCGTCTTGGATGGATATCCGTCGCAAATTCACCAAATCAATCTCGATACACCTTCCCATTACACTGGGGGCTTCCTCTCCCTTCCTACTCTTCCCCCACCTGCGAACCCAGCTCTACCCGATCTCACCTACCTCCATTTAGCCTTCGAGGCTCTTCCTATCTCATCTGAGGATATCTACGCGCTCGCAACCTTACAGACTCTACTTGGCGGTGGAGGCTCATTCAGCGCCGGTGGCCCTGGAAAGGGCATGTACTCACGACTCTACACGAACGTGCTCAATCAACACGGCTGGGTCGAATCGTGTGTCGCTTTCAACAATTCATATACTGACTCCGGGCTTTTTGGCATCAGCGCTAGCTGTTCCCCCCAGCGCGCGTGGCAGATGCTGGAAGTCATGTGCCGCGAGTTACAGAATCTGACCTTGGAAAGCGGATTCTCGTCTCTGCAAGTGGCAGAAGTGAATCGTGCGAAGAACCAGCTAAGAAGTTCGTTGCTCATGAATCTAGAAAGCCGGATGGTGGAGTTGGAGGATCTCGGAAGGCAGGTTCAGGTCCATGGGCACAAGGTTGGTGTTAAAGAGATGTGTGCGAAAATCAATGCCTTGACAGTCAAAGACTTGAGGAGAGTTGCACAGCAAGTTTTTGGAGGCCGTGTAACAAATGCAGGACAAGGCAGTGGAGCACCAACGGTTGTCTTGCAGGAGGGCTCGACAGCTAATGGCAAGGTGGACTTTGGGTGGGAGAGAATTCAAGAGAAGATCTCGAAGTGGAAGCTGGGGAGGAGATAGCCGTAATTTTGTAAGATATGTAGATTGTTATCATAAAATCATTCAGCTCCCGACAAAGTCTTTCGTTTGAGATTTGGTGATTCTTTGAGGCCTTCTTGATGCCTTGCTTCTCACATGATGAAGAGTGCTTAAGATGTTTTCATACCTTTCGTTCTCATGTCCAGAGCCTCTCCGACACCTATCAGTTGACGCACTAACACCATTTGCCAGTAGATTGACAGGATAGACTTGATGTCCCTTCCCGACCTTGACTTGAAAACCCAGAGTAAGCAATAGGATCTCTTCCTCAAACTCTAGCTGGCCTACCTGTTGTGCTAATCTGCTCTCATCTTTGTTCCTAGGCCAACCTGTACAGCCATCTTTGACAAGACGCGATGATGGAACTCTGTAAACCTCTAATCGAAGATGGTGGATGTGATACAATTTATGGTGTGCCAAATACTCACCGCCGATCACAGAAGTCTCCGATACTATCTCCTCCCACACCATGCTCTCTCGCTTAGCTCCTAGACTAGACTATTTGCTATCTCTCTGTCTGGCTGTAGCCCATATTATCGAGGCTACTCGGACGACAGTCGTGTACGGGTCAACAGTTTTCTTCTTGATAGAACGATTTGACATGTTGATCAGCTATCTAAGTAGAATCACATCCAGCTGGGGTTTAATCAAACTGAGTTCCGACCAATCTCTCTTATGGAATAGGACGTGGCGAATTACTACAACAGGGGAAACACTTACTCAACACGATGGAGCAATGGATATATAGCAATACTACCATATTCTGGAGGCCATGGAGTTAAACCATTTGATCCTTAACACCCATGGAGAAATGATAAGTTCACAGCCAGCAGTCACAGTGCTTACTGCTGGGGCCATGTTCCTCCCTCATTGTTCAAATTATACGCTGCATTCCAAATCTACGTATCATTCCAGAACACCTGAGGAATAGGGAAGCCTTAGCTGGTTAGGCACTTCTCGGAGCGATTGTTTTCCGGGTTGGTATCACAGCCTGGATCAGTGAAAGCGAGGTTGCACGAGAAGCAATCGAACGCTCTTTTTCAAAGTACGGACGGGCATTCTACAACATTGCTTAGCCAAAGACGACGGGCGAATTCGGCTCGATAAGCGAGGAGAGACTCTACGAACGGTGGTTAAATCTCTAGCCAGAAGTATTGAGGTCGTGCCGTTTAGGAGACGGAAAGAGATATCATCGTTTTCTTGGAATATTCAACGACTAATGAGAATGTCATGTCTGCTTGGCTCGCAAGGTGAAACTTGCTCCGAGCTCTTGCTTTTGTTGTAGATCGCCTGACCTAAAAACCTGTTTGAGACATAGAAGCTGCACCGACTGAACAAAATCGCCGAAGCGATTCCGTATATTGAGAGGCCGCTGGTTGGTAATCGACATATTTCAGGGCAATGCCATCATTGGAAGCCATAGGATAAAAATGTCAAGCTCCTTCAAATGCTCGTTTGAAATTGTTGAGATATTTATGAGAAAATCAGGGAACGAACATCTACTCGACAGAACGACCACGGATGCGCACTGTCCCTTCCTGTTGCCATCCACCTCGGTGCCAACCTGAGGTCCCTAGAGTCGGAGGGAACTCTCGAGCTTCGTTTACGAAGCTGGTGAGAACACCATATACAACGTTTACAGACTCACATGGAACTTTCCCCTCCTTATTGTGCCTTGCAAGGCCGTCCAACCCAGAAGTTGTTCAGCCGGTCTCTGCCGCAAGGACAACATCTAAACACGATCTGGGCTTGTTACCCGTCAAGGCATGTCAATGAATAAAGACTGGAAAGAATTGACCATGTCTTGTATTACCGCTGTGTATGAAGTTATTGTCTCCTTAGTTTGTCTTCATCCGCGTGTTTGATCCTCTGAGCACTTTGATCGTCAGGTTAGCCTTGCCATGGCTCAATCTGTCTCTATCAAGCGGCTTTAGCTACCACTACCCCCACCAGCCCCTCCCAAGGTTCCGGTACGAGTAGCGATCGAGTAGCTACTAAGCAGCAAGCTAAAATCAGCAAAGTAAGAGTCCCACTAGGTAGGATGATTGTCTACACAATCTATACTGTCGACGGCGATTTGAGCGAACGAACTCGGCACGGCGTTGCAGTATCTGTTGAGCTACAGATAGCCTTGGTGCAGCGGTAGAAAGCTGTTCCAGAACGAGGCCTCCGCCGTATAGATTCTGGTTGCCAGGATTGTATGACGGATCAACCCCAATACTGTCCCATATCGTCAGAGTCCAAAGGGCGGAATTCCCAATTTACGATAGTTGTCACTGAGCCGCCCTGATGGAAGGCCTCACCACACTCACGAAAGTCAGCCCAGAATTCGATAACTGGGTTGGTCGCGTATGTCGTCAAACTGGCAACCCCCTTAGTCACAAAGTCGCATTTGTTTCGCCAACTCTGTCTAGGACCTACACTGTCACTGAAACGGATACCGTTTGGCACGAATTGGGTGCGCCATGTTTCATTCGCATATGGGCTCGAAAGCTCGAAATGAATCTCGCAAGTTCCTATCACATGCTGCCTCAGCGACCTAATTTTCTTCACTTATTCAGGTTGTAAAGAGAGGACTACTAACCGCTTTTCGTTATCAAGGGCAGGCCATCGGGTGTAGGGCCCGAGAGTTTTAAATTTGTGAAACCAACTGTAGCTGCGCCGATTGGAGTGCCTTGTGTTTTATACGTTAACCAGCAATCAGCAGGTTTGTGCGAGTTCGCCTGCCAGCTTGAGAACTACCCCTGGCAGATCGATAAGTCTGGGTATGCGAACACCCCAGAAAAACCATCTGGAAAGAAGATTCGAACGTAAATGACAGAGGATCAAAGAGATGCGAAGAGAGCGATTGCGTTTGGCCTCTACCAGGCACCCAGGTCGGACGAAAGTCAGACGGCATGCAAGCCACCTGCAAGTACGGAGGTAACGAGCATTTGCAGAAGTAGGATCTTCTAGGGCACCATTATTTCAGAATTGAAAGGAGACATGTGTAGGCTTTTGATGGTAAACCCGCGCTGGAATGCCGAGAATTCTGATCCTCGGGACATGCGACTTGCAATCGCTCTCATCTCCGGTGCGGGTAATGATGTATCCTGACCACAATGATACGTCGAGTCTCAGAACACTGGTCTGCGTCGTATTTGACACCTATTCCGGGATTGGCAGATTCCGAATTTTCTTGAATTTGGTCCCCAGGCGCTGGCTCGTTGGATGAACGGTCTCGGATCCGCGCTCCCAAGTGCATGCCAGGCATACGTACTGCAAGGAATCTAGGTCGAGGGTTATGGCCAATTCCTGATGAAGGTTTCAGCTCCGAGTCACCCAGGAGCATGCAGCAGCTCAGAGACATAAATACGAGTATTCATCCACTACTACCGTTCCAAAGTCGTACTCTCAGGCCTGCCACCATTTCCTGCTCCTCCATTGCACTTCCTCGAAATACTCACAGACAACCCCTATAATCATGGTCGCTGTTTCGAAGCTCCTCACCGCTTGCGTCGCATTTGGGACCACTGTTTCTTTACCGCTGACGATCAACCCTCGTGAGTCACAGCTTCTTCCCTGAGGTATCAAAATTCCTCAGCCATTGCTGACGAGCCTCGTAGTGTTGAATGGCAACAGCAACGGGATATTGGCTCCTGTTCGGCGCTCCGAGGAGTCTAAGGCAACCCCAGACAGCATGTGGCACCCAGGTGTGGATCGTATTCGCCGCTCCGAGGAGTCTAAAGCAACCCCAGACAGCATGTGGCACCCAGGTGTGGATCGTATTCGCCGCTCCGAGGAGTCTAAAGCAACCCCAGACATCATTTAAATATTGCGGAAATCAATTTGGCCGTTGGTTTGGAAGAAGGCGAGGAATCATTGAATCACCCAGATATGTATCCTAATCAGGTTACAAGAGACGGAAAAAAGAAGCTGCCCATGCGAGTTGCCATGCTAGGTGTCGAAAAGTTTTAGCAGAATTAGAATGGTCGATTATGTCTCCAGTAACAGCACTCTGTAGAAACAATCAACACTAGACATCTCACAAAGATTCCGATCTCTCTTCAAGTTTAGCAGTTTAGGTACACCATGGGAATATACATTTGCACCATGATGCAACTGAAATTCACTTTATACATTAAGCGAGCGTAGCGTTGACGCACCAGGAGCAGCACATTGCACCAGAACATGATTTGCGGTCATCAGACGTCTGCTCTCCTTAAGCGGCAAAGGTAATCACTACTTCTCTGTTGGCAGGATTTAGCTGTCGCCCGCCAAGTCGCTTCGTTCCAGGCGACTACTTACCGCCCCTCTACCACGGTCGCCAAGAAGATAAGAACCTTTGTCCCCGCATCCGTTGAGCGCGCCGGCCTACCCAAAGTTGGTACCGGCGCCAGGGCATCGCAAGTGTTGGATGATGTTAGCATGCTCGCAACGACCTTGTCCACACGTCCTCCCAATGACCTTCCAAGTGACAAGTTTGGTGGGACAGTGGCCCTGAAAATCTTCTCCGGGTGCGCCTTCGTGCAAGGCTTCTCGTGGGGTACGGGCGAGCAGAATCCGCCTTCTACTCTGTCGAGTATTCCGAAGCCTCATAGGTGTATTAGAGAAAGATAACAAGATCTTCTGTATGCTTTACTCGCCTGCAGCTGGACTGTACATAAACAATATTGCAATATTGAAAACAATCCTCTTCTCAATCACCATGTGCGATATCGCGCTTGTTCAACGGGGGACGGTCGCCCGCATCTACTTTCTGCTCGTTCGCACGCTCGATCAACTCATAGCTCCTTCTCTGGACCGTTTTCTTTTTCAGATCGGCTTTATTTTTACCCCAGAGATTACGTTCGAGCCCGAACACGTAGAAATATTCAACGAAGATGGGCACCCACACAAATAACGCGAGGATCTGGCCATAACCCCACTGATCTTCATTGTCCGCCGAGGAGATATCTTGCTCACTTTGTCGAAGGTACCAAAGGAAGCGTATGTCGATGTAGGAGTCAAACATAGCGTAGGCTGCAAGAAGTAAGGCAATCACTCGGCGCCAGGGTATGTTGGTCCAGGCTGTTTGGGAGAAGTCGGAAACTTATGTTCATTAGTGTAAATTTCGAGATCCAACGATGCAACAGACTTACCCGTCTTATATGCGACAGAGCTCTTAGCCCGCTGCCACCAGGCGATATCGACCTGGACTTTGCGCTTGTCTCCTGGAGCCTTGCGAAAAGACCGCCAGGGTACTAGGTAGCTGACGAAGAAAGCTAATACTAGACAGGCCCAGACCGCCTTTGCAATGAAGCGCTGACGGAAGACATTTTGCACATGGTCATTCCAGTCTAGGCAGAGTGAGGTACCGGGATTGAAGCTCTTTGCCTTCCTGAAGAGAAATTGTATTATGAAAACCAGGAGAACCGCAAAAGCCACCAAGAAGCCCCTCAAAGCGCCTCGATCCAGATGCGCATATGTCAAGAGCAGTACAGCGACTGGAGCATCAATTGCAAGCAGCGTTGCGGTTTGCCCAAGCTTGTCTTCGTACAGTAAGTGAGCATCTCGGTAATTGAAGATAATGCCAGCGAACGAGACTGCGAAAGAAAAGAACACTGCATTATCGAGGAATACGCCAGCACTCTTAAGTGCAGCGGAATCATGTTGGCTGAGCCACTTTGGCTTAGGTCTTTTTTTGTAGATGAAGTCTGTCACTAAAGCGACGCCGAAGGTAACTACGGACAGTGCCATCAGACTTGCTTCTATGAAGTATGCAGCAATCACCTACATCTTGTTAGCCAGCATCCAAAGTGCTCGCGGAGGCCACTTGATGGCTACTTACTCCAATGCCTCCGAGATCCGGGTTGCCTTGATTGGCACGCCGGCAAATGTCAAAGGCGCAAGCATCGACGACGGTAAAATTTGGGTAGAATGGATAGGGTTTCTGGGACTCTTCACTATTCAAACCAGAGCAGCAGTATTGAACCATGCAAGCCGGTTGCATGTCTGTGATGGCTTGGACCTTGGAGAGTGTCCCATTGGAGCCACAACCTCCTGAATAAGCCAAGTAATTGGACATAGATAATTTGTCCGTCGGGTCAGCCCAATAATCGTTTGCATTCTCTTGGTCAAAGAATTCAAACGCGTCAGTCGTATTCGACCATTGAGCAATCTCAGCGTCTGTGAGGCTCATATAGATGGTGGGCAAGGCGGAGGCCAGAGCTGCACGCCAGAAGCCCAGCCATTCTGGTGAGGTACCGTTTGTCCAGAAATCGGTGTATTCATCGGTAGGGCCGTTGTCGACAGGATCTACCGACTGATCAACATCACCTGACGTATCGTCGTCGGGTTCAAGTTCTTGCGCAACAGTGGGGTTATCGGATCCGCCTGGCAGATCGTTCGTTGCGGTTTGGTTGCCGGGAGAAGCAGCAAAATCGTTGAAATCATTTATCCATACAGCGAGACCGAGAGCAACGTTTGAGCAATTGGAAGTGAAATTGAGGTGTGAAATGGTGAGGTTCGCGAGGCTCATGGGGAGAGTTAGATTCATAGCTCGGACGGCACGCGCGCTGGACTATGGGAGGCGACGATGAGCTTCTTATACTTTCCTTTATTAAGGCTTCTCTTATCTTCGCGTCGCCCTAAGATACCTCAGTACCTACTTTAGGGCTAGCACCTCAAACCATCTTCCACCTTACGCTGTACTCGATTAAGCTAACGCCTTGTTTTCTTACAGCTTACCTTAGCGGAGGGCTATGGGTTGCGGTAACCGTACCTATACTAAATTAGTAAAAATTATCGCCTTTTGGCGGTTACTTAGTAATATATTATAATACTAGAAATTTTTAAATACGTTATATATTTTTAATGGTGCTTTTCGTAGAACGGTAGTAGATTAATTTCTCTAAAAAAGCGTATTAATTTTTAATACGATAAATCTAGAAATCTAATATATTACGATAGTAATTATAAATTAATAGAATAACGATATTTATATAGATATCTTAGTAATAATAGATTTACGTAAATTACTTTATATAGTTAAATAAGCTATTCTTTAACTTAAGTAAATTTAATCGAGTAATAAAAATTTATAGAGTAAGATAGTATCGTAGTTCGAATCAACGAATATAGATATATTATTTGAAATTAATTAATTTTGAAAATATCTTATTCTTCTTAATTATTATAGGATTCTTAATTTTTTATTCTTTTCGAAATAGTTTTTGATTTTATAACGGTTTCTCGGTTTTATAACGTATCGTAATAGGTGTCGCAACGATATCGTAACGGTTTTAATCTATAAAACGTATTAAAAATATTATAGTTATTTTAACTCGATACGATTTTTTATTAATACGTACTAAGATATATAATCGTTAATTATTTAGTTCGTTTTTTATTCTTTATCGTCTAAAGGCGGAGGTGGCCTACTAATACGTCTTAATAAAATAATCGTATATTTATCATATATATACCGTAAAAGAAGGCCGCTGCTACTCGCCTAGGTACCTACTTTAGAACTAGCACCTCAAATCATCTTCCTTACGCTGTACTCATTAGTAGCGCCTTATTTTCTATGCTTAGGTACGTATATACGAAGTATCGTAAAGTAGCAACTGACCTAACCCTCAAAGACCTAGGTCCCTTGCCGCTTTAGATCTCCCAAAAAATATCACCGACATCAATCACGCTTCGCAGACAGCGTCCAAGCACACTACGATTCCACACACCAGCTCGCCCACTCCCGCGCACCTTTTCACTTCAGCCCTCCCCCAAACACTGCCAAACCAAACAACCGCGGCAACAACCAACCAACCAACCATGGTCCAACTCGAAGAAGTCGAGGATGCGGAGCTCGACCAAGCCCAACCCGGTCCCGTCGGAGACGACTACGACTCCGACGACTTTGTCGACACGGGTGTGTACATGCATCTCTTACATCTGCTCCGAAAACCCCCAAACCGCACACAAACGTACCAAATACGGGTGAGAACTCGCTAACAGCCACCCTCCCGGGCTGCCAGATTCCGAGCTCTCAGACGACGAAATCATATCATCCGGCCCCCCCGCCGAATCAATCACAGACCGGTACACACATACTTCCCTTCCCTTCCCTTCCCTCCCTTCTCCCCTCCCCTATCCCCTCCCTCGCTCCACCCCGCGCTAACACCCACCAGCCTCCTCGCCCTGCGCGACATCCTGCCCCCCCGCTACCGACGCGCCCTCTCCTCCACGCTCAGCTCCACGCTCTCGGCGACGAAGACGGGCGCCTGGTGGGGCGGCAAGGGCCTCTGGGTGTTGACGACGGGCGCGGTGATGCTGAGCGTGCCGTTCGCGGTGTGCATGGTGGAGGAGCAGCAGATTATGGAGCAGGAGCGGGAGATGAAGGCGCAGGAGGGGGCGAGGGAGGTGTTGGTGCCGGGGGTGGGGGCGGGGAGTGGGTTGTAGGTGGATGTGGTGAGAGGGGGGTTGGGGGAGAGGGTGTGTGCCCAGGGTGTTGTGTGTGAGAGGTTTAGGGGCGACGAGGGAGGGTGGTTCGGTGGGTGTAAGATATCTCTGCTCCGAGTCGGATTGCATACAGTGTGAATAGGGATTATTGTACATTGCCACTGGATCCTGAAGCGTCTATGATATGAGATTCAATTCTATGTTATATACATCGTTCATGAGTATTGCTGAGATGGTAGGCTTGATACAGGCCATACATCGTGCCAGCTGTGGATTGGCTTCAGAATCTTTCATGACATCCACAGATGTATCCAACCAAAGCGGCTTCCAGACCGATGGCTGCCTATCAGATACAGCGTGATTCAAGGTCCTTCCTGGTGCGGAGTATCCAAGTGAGTCGAACCACTCCATGCTACCGTTTAATGGCTGTATTCACACATCACCCCAAAGCTGGCCCAGACTATGGCCATATTGAAAGCTGAGAGCCAGGATGGATGCCCCGTTCTCGCTATCAATGTCTGTTCGTGAACCTCTCGGGCTGTCGAGAGATCAGTTTCAGACCCTTGACTATCTTTATGAGCGTAGACGTACCTTAGCGTCTCTCGCAGCCGCAAGATTCTCTTTGAACTGCTTGTAGAGCATCTTCATGACCCCTGTATCCTTCATGCCATCCACAACTTTATTAGTGGCCTTCTGTCTCTTTTTCTGGCGCAGATTGTCTCGCTCGACAACCTTTGCAGGGGATAAATGGCCTTCCGCTGCCAGCCACGCAAGGACACCCTGATTGAGTGCGTAACGCCAGTGATAAAGAGCATGCGCCATTTCAGCGTTGGCGCAGCAGAACCTAGACCGCGTCAGCTACAATAAGAATCTCTGACTGGGTTGTCATATTCGAACCTGCCAAGGAAGAAGGATTCTCCCTCTTGGGTACTGCTGCTTTCGTCATCATCTGAGTCCTCCGTATCGTCGTCATCGTCGTGTTCGATTGTTTCTAGCGTATCACGATTGTAGGGTTCGCCACAAAATGTGATTTTATGCTTCGGGGGATGATTACTTCTCCGGCAAGCATCACACTTGTGCTCCAGCATTGTTGGTACATCAATTCTGTACAGGTCGGGTCGTGCTTTGAGTGCTTTGTTGAACTCTCCACCCCAGACAGAAGACGCGAACTTAGACCCAACGAATCCTTCAACTTCTTTATCAAGCTTCCGGTAAGCAAGCTCGTACATTTCGTCATAGCGATCAAATGCTGGATTTAGTTTGTTATGGACCATCCACTCGATCTCCGTTTTAAAGTACTCGAATGGCTTCTTGTTGGCATGGTATGTGAGTTCGAGGGGCACGCCCGCAACTCCGAGATCAACTCCCACATTGTCGTCCTCGTCATCCACAAAGTCGTCCTCGTATTGGTCTAGGTTGCCTCCTCTGCGCATTGCATGATGTATGGGCTCCGGCCATGACAAATTGGCCTCCTCAATATCGTCCTGCTCGTCCTCGTCCTGTCCGTTCTGCTCGTCCTCGTCTTGTGATTCTTCTCTAATACCGGCACGACGTCGTCTAAGTTCTTCAAGCTTTTGCTGTCTCTTGCTCCGCTCAGACATAATATGTCCATCTCTAGTGCGAGTACTGCGCAACGGTGTACCGGTCTCTTTTAGATCCTCCAATTCTCCTTGTAGATCATCCGAAGACTCTGACTCTTCGTCATGATCGGTTTCTCGGGTTGGGGACTGGATTTGCGCTACGGTCCTACGCTTCCGGACTGGCGTCGCCACCACATCCTCGCTTGAACTGTCTTCACTGCCATCTGTTATCACAATCGGCTTTGCTCTCTTCTTTGCGCTTCTTGCTTCTGACGGCCCAGCCTTTGCTCTGGTATCGCTATTCGTAGCACGGGTTACATGTGGCGAAATTGAGAGCTTCTGCCGCAGTCTCCTTGTAGGTGCTTCGTTATCAGTCTCAAATGGGGGGCTGCTAGCTTGCGTATACGACTGAGAAAGCCTTGATTCCTTCGTAGGTGTCACTAACCTTTGAGGCGTCTGCGGCTGCGAGCTATCATCACTGGTCAAGGTTGTGGGCGCCGGCCTGGTTCTTCTGATACTACGAATAGGTACGTCGTCGTCTCCTTCTTCGCTGGTAAATCCCAGGAATGACCGTCCATCGTCTCCAGTAGTCGTGTTGGCACCGGCTACGGGTTGCATAGAGTTACTGAGAGCGTTCTGCTTGGAAGGATTGCCAGACAGTGGGCTTCTCTTCTGTGGTTCTGCATTTAGAGAGGCATATCAATCTCAATAGCCGATAAAGTGCATAATCCAAGGTGTAATTACCTGGCTCATTGTCCATTTCAACCTGTGATGATGCAGGCGGGGTGGGTAGCTGGTCCGAGCTCTTGCTTGGTGACGGAATCACCACCTGAACTTTTTGACTCCCAAAAGGCGATCCGGCATTGCTCGAAGCCCGACTGAATGGGGATCTCACAGGTGGAGAGCCTCCGACTCGGCGCTTCTTGATCGGGCTTGACATTGCATCATCGTATCGAACTGAAGCAGCTCGCTGTCGCACTTTTTCAGGGTACTGGGAAGCAGCGGGAGAAGATGAAGGCAGGGGCGTGAAAGTCAGTTGTGTCTGTCGCTTTTTGCGTGTAGATCTCCGTGGCTGGGACATTGTGGGATTTTGGCGAATGGCAGTGTTGATCGTGTAATGTGAGGAACATATGAGGTTCGGGTGAAATGAGATGAGTAGATGAGCTAGGAAATGTGCAAAACTGAGTGAAGTTGGAGGAGTGACGCGCTTCCTCGCGACTGCCAAGACTCGAACCCTAGCCGAGGAGCCCTAAGTGATCAATCTAGAGGAGTTGACGGGCTCACAGTTCGGTGGTGGGGGTAAGTAGATCCTAAGTATATACGCCGCGCCTTGTTCCGATAAAATAGAATACACTCAGCATATACTAACACCTCATCGAGGATAAAAAAAAAGAATTCAGTCTAGCGGTTTTTATATATGCGAGATAATCCTCATACGTAGAATATACGATGTTGATACTTAATATATATATATTTTTCACGAAGAAGAAATAGTAAATCTATTTACTACTCAATAATGAAGGACTATCTATTGATGATATTAGTTAGAAATTAAAAAGTCTATATTATATACTTATTATATGCTTATACTAATTACTTAGCGTATGTAATAATCTAGATAAAGTGTTTATAGATTTTTCAACTCGGTCTAAGTTTATTCGGGTGAAATAAATACGTTCAGCTTTACCCCCGCAGAACTTCTTTTCACCCCTGCCGAACTGTAACCCGGGAGTGGGCAGGATATTCTCACAGTCTCACCTCACTCCGTTGTTACAGCCCTGACTCCTTGGCTATGCGGACCAACAGTACCTCCATCCTCATCACATGACTTGCTCCACCTCCTTCGCCAGCTCTCTGAGGTCGGGAAAGGCTCCTTTTGCCTCCGCAATGATATCCTTCGCTCCCACAGCTTCACAAAGGTCGTCTACCTCGCCCCCTTTATCTGTCATATACTTCAACAGGCCGACGGCAACAAGCAGCCCTCTCATGCCGTCCTTGCTCTCTCTTTCGCGTCCCATCGCCTCAAGTAGACTAGCTACTAATTCCACCTGGCTGCTCTCCGGTAAGAAGTCAGCCTTCCCTTGAATGCGTTGTTGATGGTTTGAAGCAGCCATATTGAATGCTAGGGATGATGCCGCGACTCGTACAGGTGGATGTTCATTGTCCAAGAGGGAAGATGTGACGAGTTGAAATAGAGGTGTTGAATAGGACGGCTCCATGAAGAGTTTGATAGGGAAGAGTTGTGAAGTGAACAAATTGCATGCCATATGTAAGGTCACAATTCGTAATTGATATGGGCAGCTCGTATCTAGGCGATTGACGGTATTCAAGATCCTGAACACGGTTTCGGAAGCATCTTCAGCGTAGTAGCCACTCACCCGGGGATCCACGAGGGCTAGGCGGAAGAGGTCAACTATTGGAAAAAGGCTCTCTGGCTGTAAGGTTTGAAATGATTTGGATATGAAGGCAGAGACAGCAGGCAGATCGGGAAGTGGAGCATCCACAGCACCGGACTGTTGTCGAGTTGTGACAAAACCTTTCAGAGCGCCAACAGCGGTATCAGAGCCAGCGGTTCCCATTTTGGCGATGAGCTTCTCGATTGGTGGAATTTTGGTATAAGTGACGGGCGACTTATGCAGACGTTGCAAGGTCGGTAGTCGGAGGAGAGTATGTGGATGCGGAGGATGGGCCATCTGGATCAGTAGACGTACATTTCCACGAAGCTGCGCTTCGTTTGCGCCTGACCACTCGCTCTCTTTCTCTCCTTTGATGAACGTCATAAACGTAGGTGTGGCGCGGACTTGATACCTTGCGCCGATCTCGTATGCATCAGTGAGATCGACTTTTATCAGCACAGCTTTGTTGCCAGCTTCTGCTGCAAGTTCATCGTATGCTGGGTAGACGATCTTGCAGGGTGGGCAGGTGGCGGAGGTGAAGAAGACGACTGCGCAGGAATCCTGGGCCGAGGCCAGCAACTCGTCCAGTTGCTTCAACCTCGTCGGTTTATATACCACGCCAGGAACTTCCTCCTTCTTCTGCGATATGCTCATGCCCGTTTGTGGGCGAGATGAGAGCCCATTAGGTATCGATTGTGGCTGTGTTGCGGCTCGAGGGACGCTATTCGGTGGTACCGGAGCCTGTGTAATACCGCGCATGGCGTTATCGAGCTGAGGCTTCAACATCTGGCCGAAAGGCGTATTTAGAACTGTTTGTGGCAGTGAGGTGATGTGGTCTGGAATGCCTTTGCCGATTAAAAACATCGCAAAGTCATTCGTGAAGTTATTGCAATTGTGGAGGAAGAGATCGTAGGACTGGGATCGCATCAGACATTAGCAATCGTCCACTGTAAATAACACGGCGCAACACCTTACCTCCATCGTATATATTGCCTTGAGCGATTCGAGGTACTCCAGAATCACTTCTAGAGGTAGTTGGGTTGCCCCCATGGGAATGACTTCCATAGGCTTTCCATGATGAGTCCTTCCCGGATATGATGTCTGAACACCTGCGCCAAAGAAGTATTCTATTCCACCGAACACCAGAGCTGTGTGGTAAACGGCCGCAATCTGTATTCCAAGCAGCTGGCCAGACATCTATTAAATTCAGTATCACATGCATGATCATCGGCGCTGTTGGAGGAGAACCTGTCTGGCGAGTCCCTACCACCCAAATGTTAGCCCATTAGATCCAGGCGAACCTGCGAGAGAGGTCCCACCTTAGATAGATCGTAAACATACAGTTCGACATCCATCTCGGCCGCTGAAGGGAATAATCTTGCACCCGTGGCTCTAGGAAGCGGAACGATTGCAGATACAAGGTATTTAAAGGATGAAAGATCTGAGATGTTATGCTGATATGAAAAAAGGTGGCCTGAATCTCTACGAAGGATGATCACTCGGGTGGCTCAGCATGACGCGGAGTCCGTTGCCTGAAGGCCTAGCCGGGCCTGAGATAGAGTACTCTAGCGGCAGCGGGCCGTGGTCAGGGACCGAACGACCGCCGGGCGGGGAATCCCGGAAATATGTCCAGGGACTTATGCAAACCACCCTCAACGCTGGCAGCCGACAACACCACACAGAGCAATAGTTCCGACCTCTAGATACTCATGCGAAGTCTCAATTGCAATCACCTTTGATCATTGAATATATTCATTCTAGAGGTCGGACAGCCGTAACTCGGACGATGCGTGCCATCGCCTTCCATGGGCACTGTGCTAGACATGGCAGCTGCTCCTGCGTTGCTAGGCAGGGGAGAGCAATCGATCGCAAAGCCTTCTTCGGCAAGCATCAACCCTGTTCAAGATGTCTCTCTGCCCCCCCCTCCTGGCTATGAGATCGTTTCCAGCCCTTCCATGCCGGAGTCTCCTCTCTCATATTTGTCTTCAGACTCTCCTTCCACATCATCATACGCATCATCACCGCTCAAATCCCCAAACTACTTAATTCCCAGAGCCTCCTTGGTCATCGAAATCACTTTCCGACTCGTCTTCCTTTGCCTTGCGGCGAGCCAAGAACTTCGCATCCTTGGGGCCTTCGATCACGGCCTTCAACTTGGGTGCGTAAGCTGGAGAAGAATAGTCGTTGATGAAGAAGTGCGATCGCTATTAGCATCAGGCCAACTGCAAGCGTGACTGGCAGAGACTTGGTTCCTACCTTCTCGGCTCGGCATTTTTTAAAAGGCTCCAAGCACCGTTCTCCATAGTATCCTTTGCGTGCTGATCCACCATGCTTGCGACCAAGAGCGTTGTAAAAGTCCACCTTGAGGATCTTGAGATCGTTCAAGGTGAGCTTCTTGCATACGTGGTTGACGTTTATGGTGGTCCAGTAGATTGCGACTGCCTGGGTACGGTCGTGCTCATTGCCCCTGGTGCTGACGTAGAGGCGCAGTTTGGTGATGAGGCGACTGTAGTGACGAGGACATTCGATCTTGACGAAATCCGGCCAGTGCCACATTGGTCAGTATTGGTCCCCATAGAGACTCCATGTGAACCAATTATCGCCATACAGGACAGCGGCGGCTTCATCGTGGATCTTCTTGTTGGTACGCATGATCTCTGGGTGCATTTGATTGTCTCCTTCTCCAATCTCGACCATCAGCCCTTCGATGCGTTCACTTAGTTTGTCATGTTCGCTAGCGTAGCTGTCACCATCATCCTCTGCTGCGCTATCGTCGTCTACTGGCTTGAGCAATAATTCTCTGTATATTTGGTGGCGCACTGTGCGAGGGAGCTTCTCGAACTCGAATCCGCGCAACCCAGGCTTTGCGCTTCGCGTGCGCAACTCAACGGCCTCGAGGGCATGATCCTTTGCAAAAAGACCCATTTGGACGAGATCTCACCCAAGGAAGGTAATCTGTTGAAGTGGACTAAGCCGATCAGGTGAGTTGCTCAGAGGTTGTGACTGAACGAAGTCAGCAAATCTCACCGGTGCATGTGATTGTTTCATGGTGAATAATCGAGCAAGATAGTACTCACATTTGTTCTAGCGGAAGAGCATTGACAGATTTCGCAAATCGTTCATCGTGGATGAAGATGAAATGTGCAACGAGCTCGAAGACAAAACGTCAATAGCTTTGATCAGGGCGATGGAAAGTTGCGCCTCAATACAAGGCCAGTTTTCAAAGTGAACGAGACTTCATCACTAGCCGAGGTTTGGGTTTTCTTGGCGTAAACATTGCCTCAGGGGGAAATATCTTGTAACATCAACTTCCGAGCTGTTTCTACAAAGCCTTCGCTCCATCACCGATATAGCGCGAAACAAACATCGCCATTTCTAAAGCAACGCCTACGTACCTGTCAATCGCGTCTTCAAGAAGACCATCACCCCACCAACCCCGAAAATGCCGGTTACGATCGTGCCAGCCAGCCACAATGATAGTAACACACAAGTCACGAGATCTCCTCAATACAAGGGCCGGCTCTTGGAGATAGACCTCACAAAAGAAAGTTGCGAGAATATGCTCCAGTCCACCTTCGATGAGCTGAAGGACCCTCTCTCCCTGGCTTCTGCCAACGGCTTTGTTCACAGTGCCCTCAAAGCCCACAGCGAGCACTACCATCTCGTTATCAGCCCTGTCAACGTCTGGTTCGCCATCCTATCACAGCTGAATATTTGGATCAATGCAAATGGCGCGGAAGCTCGGGGTAAGTTCTTCGTCGATGTGGGCAAGAAGGGTTTGACCGTCACCATTCAGGATACCGGTGACGAAGGGAAGAATGGTGAGAATGTGGTGCGCGAGATCGAGAAGAACATGCCCGATCCCGGATTGAGGGAGTGGATCTTGCCGGCTTTCACCGGGAATTCAGCGTTCAACGCTGTCGTCGCTTCCGTACTCATGATGGGTGACATGCAGAAGTACTTCAGCTACCCCGCCCGCAGCGAGTGTGGTGTTCCTTCGGTCGTTCTACTTGGAGAACAGTCTGACTGGGTGGAACTGTACAAGAAGCTGGACAAGCTTGAGACATTTGGTGTAGAGCCCGCTCAATTCAGATGCCTACTGGTGCCAGTCATTGCGCGCTTCATCAAGAGCTTCGACGACCCAACAAGCAAAGACGTTGTTGACTTCTGGGGTCACATGGTCAGTGCCGAATCCCGGATTGTCGATGGTGGCGTATCCGTGGAATACGAGGGTTGGATATCTGCCTTTTGCTTCTGGAGTGAGCAGGGAGAAAACATCAATGATCGACATATCCAATTCCGTGGAGGACGAGGCTTCACACTTGACGGTGTCATCTACCACGCCATCGACTGTGGCCAAATCCCACCAGTCTACGCATCATTTCCCGTGAAGATCAACGACGATAGAAATGAAATTAATTCCCTCATGGTCGTTTGGTCTGTGGCCACGCCATGTATAATTAGCGATGGAACAAAGGTTGAGAGTGATGTGAACTCGAAATGCGTAGGCATCGCTTCAGTTTGGGGGTTGTTCAACAAAAGATCCCGTGTGAAGGAGACCGCAGAGGCGAGTGAGGCCGTTCGAGAAAATTTGGCTCAAGAAACCGAACCTAAGAAGTCGGAAGACGGTCTCAGCACCACCACCACCTGCGTGAACAAACCAGGTCTCATCAGCCGCCTCATCAACCTTTTCTTACGAACAGGTATCTCGAAACAGCGTGAACATAGCATGGCAAAAGGTGAATAGTTGGCTGTGCTTCGACCTGTCTCTGCTAGAACTCGTGCTCTCGAACTTCGTCGAGGGTCATTCGACTCAATTGGATCATCTTAGATAGTGCAAGCATAAAGACATGACGAAAATGAAAGTTCAATACCCTTAAAATGATCGCATACGGACTGTCTATTGAACATTTGAGTGTTGAGGCTGACCGAGAGCGAGACAAAGTTGTCACCGTTGCTCACCGGTGGGCAGTGGAGCGTGAGATTGATGCAAATGTTGACATTTCCAGGCCGCCTGGTCAGCCATTGATATCTCATACTAGTGCTCCTCAAACGACTAGCTTGAAACCGTAGGAGAATTTCGATAAGTAGACTTTCCCGAGATGACTTTCTCGTTCCTCATTACGATCACCCAGCCTTTGACCCCGGCCGTAGCGCATTTACGAAAAGCTGGCCCTTACCGGATTCTGTGCACCTGTTGATATAACCGTAGATCATAACAAGGAAAACTACATCAACCGTTATCACACAGCCTTTTCTCGCCACGGTAATGTGTCTTTCGTTTGATATGAGCTGAAGTGCTCGATACCGCGGCTCGACACCATTCGGAAATTATCGGAAAAGGGATCTTCCACGACAGCCCCTTTCCGAGACTGTAGCGCGCGAGATTAGTAGGTACCCGGCATAAGACTCAACCTCCCGCCGTCAAGTAAGACCACGTTGCCATTGCAGTAAGCGCCCGCGCGGCTCGTGAGATACAGGATGGCCCCACCCATGTCTTCGGGGGTACCGACTCTTTCCGCCGGGATTGTCTCCTTTGGAAAGACGCCGTCGCCGATGATACCGGCGGCCAGGTCGGACGGGAAGACTGTTGATGTCAATGAGTCAGAGTCCTCCCAGAGTGGAATGGATGGAAAGACTTACGTCCCGGAGCGACGACATTGGCCCTGATCTTGTACGGCACGAGGTTGGTCGCCATAGCCTTCATCAACAGCGTCGTCGCCGCTTTGCTCTGGCCGTACGCGTAGCCTCCCGGTACCCGCCTGTTGAAGCCGGCGATGCTGCCCGTGGCGATCACCTGGCTCGTCTGCCCCACGTTCCCCTTCCCGTTCCCCGCGTCGAGGAGTTTGAGGAAGGCGACGGTGCAGAAGAACACGGCGGACGTGTTGACGGCGAACGTCTTGGTGTATTCGTCGAACGACTGACTCCAGAGAGCCGACTGGTAGTCCTCCAGCGACGTCTCCCGGGTGATGGAGCTGGACTGGGGACCCCCGATCCCGCTGTTGGCGATCAGGACGTTGATGTAGCCGACGTCCTTCTCGATGTGAGAGACGATGGATTGGAGAGCGTCTTTCGAGGTGACGTCTCCGACTAACGGGATGATGTTGCCGTGGGGCGACTCTTTGGCGGCGGCGTCCAGCACTTCCTGACGGCGGCCGATGATGTAGACTTTGTGGGCGCCGTTTAGAGCCAGGGTTTTGGTCATCATGAGACCGATTCCACTTCCACCGCCCGTGATGACGGCGACGAGGTCCTTGACGTTGAAGAGGTTTGCGGCCTCGAGTGAAGACATTGTGAGGACGGTAGGATAAGAACGATTAGGCTTGTTCTCCTTTGCTATGTCAAAGATTTCAACTCTTCCGGTGTTTGAAGTTTGTGATAAGACTGTTAGTAGCAAGAATGATGTCAGTGATTAAGGCTGAGAATGGGATGTACGAATAGCCTGAACTCTTGCAAAAAGCGTGCGGGAGAATTGAGTCGAAGACCTCGATTTTTATAGCGAGAGATGAGGGTGTTAATATATCAGAGTATTCTCCATAAGCAATTGATCATGAGCTGCAGATTCCGATGGTGCCCAGTCACGTTATTCAGTGCCGCACTGCCGGCACCAAAAGCAAATAAAAAACCTTTACACCATTGTACCAGCGCCAATAGAGGGGTTTCGCAACTTTTTCAGAACACATCCTCTTTCCTTATTCGGTGTAATATTATCTGAAACAGGCCTAGCCCTGGTCATAAAGTAAGTAATAGACTAGTCATAAAGTATGCTTATCGAGGCATTCTACAGTTCGTAGAATCGTCTTATAAGCATTTAGTGCGTTTAGTGCGTTCATAAGAAGTATAGACCGTAGTCGCTAGAAAAACCAACACTATTAGTATACGCCTTAAATGTATAATAGAACGTCTATCTTCCACGTGGTTTTCCCTTGAAAATATCTTCAAGAACACGCTGTCGCAAGTTCGGGTAATCAACGGATATATTGGTTTAAACATCGGCTACTACCTAATCGGGCTAGCGTTGAACCCTGACCCTCGTAATCCTGCGCAACTAAAATTGTAATCTAAGTTGCGAAACCTCTCTAATACCTTAGCGAGTAGCAGCGGCCTTCTTTTACTGTATATATACGGTAAATATACGGTTGTTTTATTGAGACGTGTTAGTAGGCCACCTCCGCCTTTAGGCGATGAAGAATAAAAAACGGACTAGATAATTAACGGTAATATATCTTAGTACGTATCGATAAAAAATCGTATCGAGTTGAAACAACTGTAATATTTTTGATACGTTTTATAGATTAAAACCGTTACGACACCGTTGCGACACCGTTACGACACCGTTCTGGAACCGAGAAACCGTTATAAAATCAAAACCTATTTCGAAAAGAATAAAAAAATTGAGAACCCTGCAATAATAGTTAAGGTCTATTAAGAATAAGATATTTACAAAATTAATGAATTTCAAATAAGAAATACATTCGTGGATTCGAACTACGAGACTATCTTACTTTATAAATTTCTACCACTCGATCAAATTTACTTGAGCTGGAGAAGAGCCTATTTGACTACATAAGGTCATCCACGTAATCTTTTATTACTAAGGTATCTGTATAAATACCGTTATTCTACTAATTCATAATTACTACCGTAATAGACCAGATCCTCCGATTTGACGTATCAAAATTTGATACGCTTATTGAGAGAAACCAATTTGCTACCGTTTCAAAAAAAGCACCACTAAAAATATATGACGTATTTGATCCTTCTCGAAATCATGGTTGCATTACAAAGCTACCGCCAAAAGGCGGTAAATCTTACTAATTTGGTTAAGGTACGGTTAGCGCAACTCATAGCCCTCCGCTAAGGTAGGAATTGAACTTATTACGAACAAAATACCCTTTAACCCCCAAAAACCCCTCTAATTTACTCCCCCCCCGGGGGGCGGGGGTTTTCCCAAAAAACTAAAAAAAAAAAAAAAGAAATTTCCCTTTTTCCTTTTTCCTTTAAACCAAAAAAAAAAAAAAACTTTA